TGGTGTCTGATGCACGAAGACGACGTCCGGCCGTTCAGCTACCCATATAAGAAAGATACTACTACTACTAGTTTGATTAGGCCTTAGCTATCGATAGTGGCTTCTTCGTTAACGATCTAAGTCGTTAATTTCTATGTCGAACCTGTACCTGAGGAGTCGTATCGACCCCTGCTAACGAAAGACAAATCGACTGGAGTCGCAGAGTTGCAACCAAAGAGTACATTATTAATATAGAGTCATCGGTCTCCTCGTGAGACAGCGCCATCTCTTGATGCGGGACCGAACTACAAGTTCAGATGTTTATAACTTTAATTAATTACATTACATTAACCATTTTGTTTTTACAGTTGAGAGCTGTACTGTCAACCATAGAGTAACTTTGTATACTTGCTGTCAACTACAGTTTTCTATATAGTGTATATGAAATTTATTTTATTTATATTTGATAACATTGTATAGAAAACTGTAATTGGATATTGTTATTTTTGGATAAAGTAAATAAAATAGAGAAATATGTTTTGGGAACTTTATTTCGTTTCTTATCATTCTAATCATTCATAACAAAAAATAGAGAGTGAATATTCACTCGCTATTTTTTGTTATGAATGATTTCGAGTCTGGTGCCATTTAGTAAATTATTTAAGTAAAATTATTTTTGGCTATACAAAATCAGTAAATTTCCTCCAATCGATTGAAACCATGTTTTAAATCAGTCACTATCAGTTTCAGGTGAGAAAAAGAATGCAAATTTGCGTTGCAGTCTTTACCTGTAAATACAATATGAATGTTTTGCCGTAACGTATAACAAAATAAAATGATGAATAATGAAAGATAACCGAATAAAATAAATGAATAATAACCAGCCGCAGTATCAGTGTTACCAACTGTTGAAAAAAAAACTCCTAAAGAACTTCAAAAACCTAAAATCCAGTGTTTTCAAAAAAAAACTTCCTAAATGAAAAAAGTCACCTTTTTTTAAAATTATCTAACAAGCTCTTCCAGCTTCATGAATTCAGAAAATTTTATTATCTGGGTAATCAAAATTGTTTTATTTAAAAATTAATTTATTTAATATACTTGACATTGAACATTGTTCATTGACTTGAAAAATATTCATACAAATGAAATAGATTTTATTGTGACATTATAATCATTTCGTCATCATTATTTTTAAGAATCAGACAATAAATAATGGGAATAAGTATCATTCAATTATAAAAGATCCGAATGAAATATACCTTTAAATTCATTGTCTTTTTCCCACTTAGCAGCAAATATTTGAACATATCCGAAGGCAATTTTCTCACCATTTGGCATTTTATATTACTTATTAAATGAATTTAATATATTATGAATAGCCGTATATTCAAAATAAGAGTTTATGGCGGAACAATTTAAAATACTACATAGGCCAATGCTGCCAATACTATTACATTATATTTTGTGTTTTTTTCAAATTAATAATTTTTGTTTAATAAAATACAATTTTCTCCAAAATAAGTACACAATTTTTTTTTAAATTTATTTTAACTTAAAATCAAATTTTGTTTTTAATTTAATGGTACCAAGGTTAAAATGGTTTTGCATTTAAAACAACGCCATCTGTTTTCGACAGACGGAACTAAACGGAATGAGCAAGCTCCATACAAATATCAAATGTATGGACTGAAAAGACCGTAAATGTCATATACCGTGTGCCTAAATCCAACCCTGGTAGCCAGGGCCTGTCAACTTTGTTCTATGAACATAATGTACGAGGGCCAGAAAACAAGAGAGAGACAGCGATATCAAAGTAAAATAGATGAATTTAGACATTTATATGATGTTGCCACCAATAATACAACTTCGTATTCTCCATAATAATGAGTTTAAATTGATTTTTAATGTAAAATACCCTCGAATATATCTTTTCCTATTGTTGGGGTTTCGAAACCAATATATTTTATTAATAAATATAGCATATTTAACTAATAATTACATAATAAAAAAAATTTGGGGTTATTGATTGGCATTGGCAATAATATATATTATTATGACGTCATGACGTCACATTGTAGGAAAATGTCAGCCGTGAGCGCACCATTTTAACTTGTTTGTTTAAACCAATGTTTATTTGCAATAAATAAACTAGTTCCATTTGTTTTTACATATATTAGTAGCCTCCTCCTCCGCGGCTGTGTTTTGGTGAAATTAAGTGTGTATTTGTGAGACATAGACTCAGTGTATGGTTAATTTCGCGATGATTATTGACTTCGCAGAAAGAGAACTCTTAAATATGTTGCATGTGTGGATCTTCGCCATTTAAAGATACCAGCGTCACTTTATTTCGGTTCCCAAAGCCTGGCTGAAACAATACTCTGCGGTATGTACCTACTTCTGTACTTTCAATGCTATTAGTTTTAAACGACTTGGAATTAAGACTAACACACCACAACTATTGTCAAAGTATTTGATTTGATAGCCTTCGCTTAAGTATTAAGCTTTGCAAAATGGGCAAATGTAAATAATTTTAACTGGCGTAATTCAATTAAAATAAATTTTAAACGATAGAGAAATATCTCTAATGAATTAATCAACAAGCAGAATTCAGCGGTCGCTTACTTTTAATAACAATAAATTCTTTTTGATGCCAAAACTGTACTGTGAGTACTAGTTGACTTTTTATATTAACAACGGTTTGCTTAAGTTTTTCTTATTTTATTTTAGGATACAACACTAATCTGCCTAAACAATCTGCAGTGTTTGAACCAGTTGCCTGTTCATCCAGAATTTACCCTTTAAGAGAACATAATGCCGATATCATCACTCCAACAAGTTCATAAATGTTTGTGCGTGACTCCTCAAAATTTTGTGAAAGCAAATTATTGATAAAGAAACTGAAAAGGAGTATGAACAAGGTATATTGATCACAACAAACTGTAAATCTTTTAAAAAATGAGGGTTTATAAATTTTACTTGTAACAGTAAAACAGTTAGTTTGTGAGCAACAGTGCCATAATTACTAATTTTAAAACATTTCTGACGCCAGCCACAGACGTGAATGTAATAATGCATGTAAGAGATTTTTTACAGGTCTGTAAAATCGCCTCGCTATCGCCCCAAAGAATTTATAAGATTGTGTAGAAAAAAGTGCAAATATAATAAATATATTTTTAGAGAAACATGTTAAAGAACTCTATAAATTATGACTTCCTTGAACATTGCCTTTTTTACAAAGACTTAAATATAATAACTTACATAATAAACAGTGTCTTCCATATTAGCATTAAGATTTACTGTATATTAAAAAGCAGAATGTATTCTGAAGACCCGTATAAATCTGCACTACAAAGAAAAATGAATTATGCATAAATAAATGCCATCAAAAACAAGAAATATATACATATAAAAAAAATGCCATGTTTCGCAATGTATTTCTTCCACTACAAATAGCTGTGAGTTCTGTAATGACTAGGCGCTCAATGAAGAACTTAACATTGTATTAATTCAAATACTTAATTGTCAATTGCATTCAATAGTAGATTATTCTTATATATCTATGTTGCCGTGCGAGTGCTGAGTGATTACAGGACAAGCTTTTTGACTACAAGCTTTTTTTATTTGGAGTGAAGATGGCTGAAATACTTAAACTGAATAACTTTCTGTACTTTAAAATTTTCTGCATAATGTCATTTATATTCTTTATTGATCTAATATTTACAAGATTAAATCTATCTACAATTACATATTATCTAATAAATCTAATCCACGCGGCATTTATATTGTATTTTAAAAATATTATTTTTATTTGTGTTTAAAATTTGCTGACGTTTGAGATTCATTATCATTACACACACTTACTTGTGACTTTTGTACGAAATTTCTGGAAATGAATACAACTCATGCATGAATTAATGTAAATGTATGTCTGTTATAATATATATTGCAGAAATGAATATCTCATATATTGTATTTATTATCATGTTAAATAAATAAAGGGAAATACCAATTCATTCGTTTTTTTTTTTTTTGTTTACTTAGACTGCTCTCTAAAGATGAATAAATATAACAATTTATGCACAAGTATACTGTGTGTTACAAACGCATTGTATTTGTGCATAAAATGCAACACCAAGTACCTTTAAAATTACTAGTTTGAAATTCCAGCCCTAGCATTTGCTCACTAGTTCTTTTGGGCAGAACACAGATGGCGCCAATCGGTAAGAAAAAATTTCCTCCTAAAATTTGTATGGAGCCGTCATTCTTCTCTTTGAGTAAAAGTATTCTGTGCTGGTAGCAAATAGCAATATATTGTATACGCACACAGAGTACGAGTAGATTTATATTTATTGTATTTTAAGCAATGAATAAAAGCAAAGAATTGTAGGTAAAGGAAGGTACAATAATACCTTAAACTAGTTTATAACACCATTGTTTTTGACTAGGTAATTAGGTATATGTTGAGATTCGCTACACGCTGGTAAACAAACCATCGTCATTTTAACTTTCAGTGTTGAACATTTCAATATATAATCATGGAATATAAACGTATGTCGTATTTACTTTAGATATGTAGCGTTTTGTAAAATAGATAATTAATAAAACATTTATTATCAGGATGAATTAACGCACCATTTAAAAGGAAAAGCGCTTAAATGCAGTTTTTTGGAAATAATTATTTAAAAGTTAAAAATCTATATTTTAATCTTACAATAATAATGTAAGCACTATAAACGAAACCTAATCTAAGGTACTATCTACGAACGAAACGTTATAGGGTATGTTAAGAGTTATGAGTCCCAATTTTCCATACTTGATAAGTGAATATGTATTTAATCTTTAGCATATACCTACACGTACGTAGTCGTAGGTATTTTAATGTATTCCAAACAATCGATACGTAAGTTCTGACGTTTAATAGATATAAGATTCAACACTTAGAGCAATTATCAAACAGATAAGAAAACTGATAATAAGAGTACACAATAATTTTTCAGTTTATGCTTATTTCTTCAGACACTATGACAACTGCCTGGTCCATGGGTCCTGGTACATTAGAAGTGCCCCTATCGCTTTTCGCCAAAAATAGGGAACGGCTTGCCCTAAAGTTAAAAAGAGGGCAAATTGTAGTATTGCAAGGTGGAGATAGTATTAATCACTATGATACAGATGTGGAATATGTTTTTAGACAGGTAAGTACAGTGTATTGCATGAACCTTATTCATTGTTTACTGTGTTAATGTTTTTCCTTAATTTTAAAATACATGTGTACATATAGCTAATTACTTGGTCACCTAGACTTATTACTGGATGTTATACCTTTTGTAATTTTTTTTATTAATGTATGTGAGATCATACTGAAACCTAAAATTAAGTGACTCATATAACATGTGTGTTTGTTTGCAGAATACACTATCATAAATAGTAATACTGTGTTTAAACACAGCTAACTGGTTTTTTATGCTCATAATAAAGTAACTGTTATGTTTAATTTGTTAAACAAAATTTAAATAATCTTAACAGGAATGTCAATCAAAAACTGTGGCAGTTTTACATTGACATTACTGTTACATTAACGGACATTGAATATTTGAAAAAAAAATTTTTTTTTCTATTCATTTGTACATAATCGATGTGTCGTCGATACATAGTAAAATTTATTATAGCTTTATACTTTATTTGAAATAAATGTTGGCTTCCATGTATAAATATGATAAATATTGATAAAGCTATTACAAGTTTCATTGGCTAACAACATTTTAGAGAATTGTGTGACCCAAGTATTTCTTTTTTATTAGATAAAATTTTTGAGCTTGAATTACAGTCAAAATATATAATACATACTTTTTCCTAATTTATGTTTAAACAAAACACTAATTGTATTATAAAATTGCAAAATTTTTATATCAAATACGAGTTGACATTCATGTCTGGGATTTGTAATATTGTGAATAAAAAATTAATTCATTCCCACACTACAACTGATATTTTTTTCGGCTTGGGTTTTGAATCGAGTCACACAAATTAAAGGACACTGTAAGTTTGGGAGGGTTAAGAAGGTTCGGTAAGGTATTGAATTAATCAAAAACATTATTCTCTGGTCGCATTCAGTTTACCAGAAAAAAAATATTTAAAACTTTATATTTTCACTAAGGAAGTATTCACATTTTATTATTTTAATAAAATTCTAGGTTCTATTAAATAAATTAAATTAAAAATTGTATAGTAAAGTAAGTAATACAAGTGGGGGGTAACTCACCACAACAACGCCCTCCTCACATCCACCCCCGACCCCCTACAATACCACTAAGACCGTAGCTCAGTGTCCAGGGACTTGCCTTTAATTTAATATACTTGAGCTCAGGTTGAATTTGATCTCCAGTGCCAGCCAGCACCAATGAAATTGTTAGTTTTAAGTGTTTACTTATCACATGCTCTACTGTGAAGGAAAACATTGCGAGTAAACCTATTTTTGAAATAAATAATAAAAAATATATTTCGAAGATATGTGAAGTCCTCCAATTGCAGTGGGACCATGTGCCGTAATACCCTCTGTACAGGGGAGGCCTTTATCAAGCAGTCAGATTTTCATAGGCTTTTACTTTATTTACTTTTACGTTTTAAACAATACAACAACATTTGTATAAATACACAAAGTGTTGTATTTATACAAATCACTTTAAAGTGATAATTGAATTTACTTTATTATGCAAATTTTATACATTTACTGTAATATTTAAATGGCAAAGACATAAATAAATAATGGAGACTTGACATACTTGACACACATTTTGGTTCACTGATGGTATAATAAGAATTTTATTGAATCTAGCAACATGTGGTAATAATGGCTTATGTTGTTGTTAATGGCTGTATTTATTAAAATTATAAAAAAAATGATCAAAATTAAAAAAAATGGTGGTACATGATTACCCAAGTTTAGACAGTTATTCCCAAAAATGTTTTCAGAGTTATATCTTTCACTCTTAAATGCATATTAAGTAATTATAGACACATTTTTTGCTAACATTAAAAGGGTTACGATAAGCTGCTGCAAATTTTAATAAATATTTGTTTTAGGAATCATATTTCACATGGGTATGTGGTGTTAGGGAACCAGGCTGCTATTTTGCATTAGATGTTAGCACAAATAAAGCGCATCTGTTTGTTCCTCGTCTTCCTGAAGAGTATGAAGTATGGATGGGAAAACTTCTTACCTGTGAACAATTTAAGCAAATATATGGCGTTGACGAAGTACACTATGTTGATGAGGTATGTTATAACTCTATATGTAATGTAGACATATAGAACCTCCAAACAGAGGAATTTCACATGTACAAGTAATAGCCTCTAATATCTCACTGGTGAAATATTAAAGTCTGTTACTTGTACTAATGCAAATGAAGGGTATATCAAAGGGCCAATTATGGCTATTTTCACTGTGCAATCTTCATATAATTTTGCTTGTCTTTACAGCTACAAGATGTGTTAAAACATTTAAATCCAGAAGTCCTACTGACACTTGTGAGTATCTTTTTATCATTTTAATTTGATGAATATCTATTTTATATAAACTTTTAATATCCCACTGTGTCAACAGACCGTCAACAGACTTCTCAATTTCGTTTCACATGCCATAAGTAAATTTAAAATAAGTACACGTTTAACCTCCTACACACACACACACACATACACGCACACACGCGCGCGCGCACGCACACACACACACACACACACACACACACACACACACACACACACACACACACACACACACACACAAGCGCGCGCACACACATACACACACACACACGCTACTCGTGTATATTTATTATAAACATCCATTTTGAATAGAGGTAGGTATAGTACCTTTATTTAATTGACTTATTTCGCTTTAGAGTGGACCTAATACTGACAGTGGACTCACCGCTAAAGAAGCAGTCTTTGAGGGGATTGATGAGTATGTTTCATTTAATATTTATATTTTTATAGGAAGCCGTGATAGCTCATTTTCCGGGCGCTCACTTTTAATTCAATATACGCTTTTAATCGACCTGTGCTCGATCTCTGGTGTCGGCACCAATGAATTTGTTTATTTTAAGTAATGACTTATCGTGTTCAAAGATATCTGAAGTCCGCCAATTCGCATTTGGGTCGCGTGGTGGACTATGCCCTTAAACCCTCTATACAGTGGAGACTTTTTCTCTGCAGTGGAAAATATTATAAAAGCTATTACTTTACTTTTGTTATTTGTATTATTTTGTCGGTTATAATTTAAATAACATTTATTATAAAAAAAAATAAGATTGGTTATGTATAGTAGGTATATATCATATTAACTTAACAAATTCAAAGATTGAATGGAAGGACACAGTACATAAATAAAACATTGCTGTACTGTTTAGCACATTCATACATAAAGTATTGATTACAAGGTTATTTCGCTTTGAATTGAATATCTGGTATGTTAGCAAAGTACTGTTGGTTATTGTGATTGAAATTGATTGTTTTAATTTTCAGATTCCAAGTTGATAATGAAACTCTGTTTCCTATCATCGCTGAACTGTAAGTATATGTATAGATACGTTTGTTTGATGGTGGTGATGCATGAGTTTGAATCCAAATAATATTACTTATATAATATACTTTGTATATAGGGAGGCTTTTTAAGTGTATCCATTTTTTTAATTAAATTCTAGACACAAATAATGTTATATAAAAATGATAAATCTTTTAAATCACTCGTAAGTAATTGATTACATTCGTTTGAACTTATCTCAAAAAGTGCGTGATTTATGGGCAACTCATTTGTTTTACGCGCGATCATTCATAACTAACACGCACACAAGTTCGTGCACAGTAAAATTTAGGTAATTATGAATGACTACCGCGTTGTCAACAAGTTCTGTTTTAAAAATTAAAATCAACTCTTCCCCCTTCCCATTTCAAAAAAATAATCTATTTTTTGTTGCTTAGTCAAAATTAATTATAATACATTTTTAAAAACCGATGAGCCTAAGATATAGGCTGCGGTGGCACTGGTCTTGGTGCAATTCTCACACGGGATAAGTATTTATGTGAACCACTAACTGCAATTAGTTGTTTGAGATCTGGAATTTTCTCTGTGTGAAATTCATAAAAGGCGAAAAGAAATATTCAAGCTATATGCCTATTATTAAAATGTCATGCCAAATCCGAATAACATGTTTACTGTACTATCTTGTGTAGCAACCGATGTGTTTGATAAACGCATTATACTCATAACAAAACGAATTAAATCATAAATTTTATTATAGAGCATGTATTTAAGGAATTAAGCTTAATCAAGTGGTGCATATATTTATATATATAATTATATAGTAGTTAGAAACATTTCTATTCATTTGTGTTAAAACATTTCATAAAAATATTTAATACATATATCTTTTATATAAAGATTTTATCGCGATCGGTCTGTACCATAATCGTTAATGCGAAAAATAACTCATGTGTACAATGTAGAAGATTATTAGATTTTATGCATTGTTATCACCTATACAGTATGAAGGGTGTTCCAAATATTAGAAGCCTTTATTACATACTTATGAATTGATATCGTGGTTTTTGCCGTTTCAAACTTCCAAACTAATTACATATACTGATTTTTTATTTATTTTCGAATTACTGGACATAGGTATTCTGTTTATGAACATTTCCGTGGATATTACATATCTAAAAATTTCTGTTTTGCAGACGCGTTATAAAAACGCCCGAGGAGATCGAAGTGATGCGGTACGTGTGCAAAATATCCTCAGACGCGCACAAACAGGTTAATATCGATTTATAGAAAACGTATAGGCAGGATAAAGGGACCATTCGCCGTGATAGGTGCTTCGCCAGACGTGCCGTGCATTATGCTGCGATCTTTTTAGTTCAAACCATACAGCGTGTCGTTACAACCGCGACAACAAATGAACACACGTCTAACGCTACTTGCCAATAATCATAAAAAAATATAAACGTTAAAATAAATCCATAACTAAAAAAATTTTTCAAACAAACTAATTACCTAAATAAAAAAGAAACAAAATTTGTAACATCTTATACTACAACTGACTGATTCATACATTCAGAGACTTTTTCCTTCATGGCCACAGTGTCTCATTACAAATCTCTCCTTTTAACAGTATGTTTTATCTCTTTTAAATTCATTCAACCCATTCATATGCTTTGTGACCTCTAAAGATGAACTTTACGTTACAGTTTTGTACGTAAGGATGATTGTTTGTTTTGGAAAATTTAATACCTCGGTAAATATTGATGTTTAAAGAATGTAAATGTTTAATACAATTTTAAAAAGTTATCCTCTACATGTGTGTTCATTTATTGTTGCGGTTGTAACGACACGCTGTATATCTATCCCCGACAAAGTACGCACCGAAATGAAATTTACAAACGTTGTTTGTAAAAAGTGATACCGTGATAAAGATGAAACGTTATAATAATAAATGAACATTAAACTGAAATTACAAGTATTACAAAAAGAATATTACGCAAAAAAGTATTACAATAATAAACACGCTTTGCAGGTTATGCTCCACGCGAAGCCCGGCTTAATGGAGTACCAGTGCGAGTCGGTGTTCCTGGACCACTGCTACCGCATCGGCGGCTGCCGCCACGTGTCCTACACCTGCATCTGCGGCTCCGGTGACAACGCCGCCATCTTGCATTACGGCCACGCCGCCGCGCCCAACTGCAAAATTATCCAAGATGGCGACATCTGGTGCGTACCCGCCCAACAGCGCTTCAATCATCCGGTATTGTTTTAAAGTTATACTTCTATTAACTATGAGAGTAGATTTTCACGATGCGCGACACCTGAACTACGGCAAATTCATGGTGTTACCCTGTTTGTCATATAACAACTTTTTGATATTTATCTATAATTTATCATCTTATTTATCTATATCAAGTTATTTAGATAAACCGTTATCAATCGCATTTAATGTTTGGTTAAAAATTGTTGTTAAATAATAAAACGAGACCCTATTGCTAAGACTCCGCTGTCTGTCTGTCTGTCTGTCACCAGGCGTCGCTGACGCAAGATACTTCCAGTTTCTGGAGGGTTTGCTTGCTGGCTTGCAGGCTTTGCAAATTTTGTCCCTTTAAATTAGCATGGGGTAGCCCATATTACAGATTAACATAAAACACTTATGTCCAGAATTTAAAAAGACCTGGAAATCTTAGATACCTAAGTACACTTTGGCCATGTACAGTTATCTCTCAAAATGCTTGTCCAATATTGGCGAGGAATCGCGCAATACTTAGCGGAATTCCATTTGGCGATATAAACCTATGCACCAATCGCGCAATCAATTATACTATTTTATTTCAATAAGAATCACGGAACATTAATATTGATCTCTAATATACTACTTTTAATCTCTTTTTATATTATGGTGGACAGTGTCTAGGCATATAATCACCTATTGTCTTCATTCATGTCCCCTAAGTTTGCGTTTGTTACGCAAAGTATTAGTACTCATGATCAGATTGCTTACTCTGTCAGCGATATTACGTCTGCTGGGAATGTTGAAATATATTTGGAATCGCTGGCAAAAGAAATTGATGCTGGTTCTTGTATAATAAAGCCTTCATTACGAAGGCTTACACTTTCTCTGTATATAAGCAAATTAAAGCATTATAAGCAAAAAAAAATTATAAGCAAAAAAACCCCCTTATAAGGTTAAAGTTATATAAAATACTCCAACAGTCTTTTCGACATGGGTGGCAACTATGCGGGCTATGCAGCCGACATCACGTGCTCCTTCCCGGCCAACGGAAAATTCACCGAGCGGCAGAAGCTGATCTACGAGGCCGTGTTGGCTGCCAGGGACGCCGTATTCAGGTGACCATCGTCTCGTAGAGAACAATGCGAATAAAATTCAACAGTTTTTCTCCATATTTGATTTTTTTATGTGAAAAATTGCCAAACGAGCTGGTGGTTAAACTGATGTTAAAACTGTGATAACGGCCACCCATTTACATTTGCAACACCCGTAGGGTTGCAAAAGTGTTGCCGCTGTTTAATACGGAACAGACGGCTTCAACACTCAACAGACGAAACGCAGAAAACTTCAGACCTGCCCATTCGTAAAACAGCGAAGTCAGTTGCGTGGCCCTACCACAGTTAACTTTATAATAAAAAATATGTAATTTTAATAGGAAAATACTACAATGGTATTTCAAGAGGAACAATAATATGTTAGTATAACAACATTTAGAAATTCGTGCAAATATGAAGTAATAAGAATGAAGAAGTAACAATTTGTAAAAAATTAAATTCCAAAAAGGTATTGCGCAAATCTGATCTCAATGGGGCAAAACACACATATTAACTTTAAACATTTAACATTAATTTTTAGACATTTAGTTAAAAAAAATAACTAAAATGAAAGCAAATGTCTTAAAAGTTATCTGCAATACTAACTTTATTCACATTATAATTAGTTTTTATTTTTTAATATTAACACAAAAAAAGAAGATGTGGCACAGGAAACTCCATTCTAGCCGGGTGTCCATGGGACACCTCTCTCTTTTATTATTAAAATTTATATTATGTTTTGCACTGGGAACAACACTGTCGACACGAGAATTAATGCCCTTTTATTGGTGGTAATATCTTTAATGCTCAACATAACATAAGCTCTTTTCATTTATAGGGAAGCAAAGCCGGGTGTGAAATGGACTGATATGCACCTGACTGCCAACAGAGCGATGCTCGAAAGTCTTAAGAAGGGTAATCTGCTCAAAGGGGATGTTGAAGAAATGATCTTGGTAATGTATATAATAAAGAATTCAACAAATTAACCTCTACATTGGTTTCTGATTATGCTTCTTCATTTAAACTGGAACTAAATAAATACATTCTTTCATTTTCAGGATTAAATCTATCTAAAATTACATATTATCTAATAAACCTAATCCACGCGGCATGGTGCCAAGAACGCTAGCTGCATTTCCTCGCTGAATAGTTATGCTTAACCTTTGCGCGAGAAAAGAACCAGCTCTCTTGTCACCAGCCGCGGCGTTAAGCCTAGGACATAAACTTTTAAATTCTTTAACTTCTTTCATTTTGTTTTACTGCGACTAGCTTAATACCTGTCATATTTCTTTAAAAAAAAAACTTCCCGAAAAATGCATTGCATTAGGCATCGCTGTTTTCTTATTTTGTTTTTAATTTTTTTCTATGACGGATGCGTAACTTTTTTTGTTTATTACCCCAGCACGGTATTAATGGAGTACTGCAGCCTCATGGCTTGGGCCACCTGCTTGGTCTGGACGTACACGACGTCGGAGGATACCTGCCCCATTGCCCTCAGCGCCTTGGTGGGCCGCTGGCAAGGCTGCGCACCGCTAGGGTGCTGCAGGCTAGCATGATACTCACTGTGGAGCCAGGTTGCTACTTCATACCCAAGGTATGGTCTGCTTTTAAGTACTCGCTGTAGAGAAAGGTCCGCTCGGATTACTCAGTGGCGCAGTTGCTGTGGTTCGATAACCTTCGTAACGTTCGACGCTTCGGCGTTCGGGGGTCGTGGGTTCGATTCCCACATGATACAACTATTTTTGTGACCCGCAGATAAGTTTTTTGGACTTGGTGTTTGTCCACGTCAAATGTATGTTTGTAAAATATCCTTATAACTTACAAGATAATGTTAGTCTATGTTTTAGGTAGACTACAAAAAATCTTTCTAGATTGCAGAGGTAATATTGAGTAGTGGGAAGATTTAGATTTGTGTCACAAGCGTGGAGTGACCAAATTCGTTCTTTTTTCACTGTTTACCTTAGCCAGCCATAATGTCGTACACAATATAAGCATTGTATAACATTATTGTGCCTTAATAAATTTACACAAAAATTTTCTCATCTATGTTAAATTTAAATGTTATCATCACCTGGGATTCAGATTAAAAGGAGGATAAAATTTATATAAAATGCATGAACTCAAAAATTGAATTACAAACTGTTGTACTGTGTTTTGTTTTCGCTTTTTTTATTATTGTAATCTATTAAAACATAATAACTGTTTTTATCTGGAACAATTTTTTTTTGTAGCTTCTAGACAAGGCGCTAAATAATCCGGAGCAAGCGAGATTCTTCAATTGGGACGTAGTGAATCAATTCCGTGGTTTCGGGGGAGTTCGTATTGAGGACGATGTTCTTATCACCGAAAGTGGCATGGAAGATCTTACGAGTGTGCCCAGAACGTAAGTCCCTCATATGGAACCGCTCATTATCTGGTATTTTTTTGGAAAATAAAAACTAGTTGCCACCATTACATTAGCAAACTTTTCCCAATTTCAAAAGAGTGTTTAAGTTAAATTAAGGTTAGTGCTAATGGTGCACTAACCTTAAAAAAAATATTAAGAGAATTTAATTAATTTTAAAAGTTTTTAAAGGTTAGTACTCCAATATTTAAAAAAATATTAAGATAAGTTAATTAAAAACAGCAAACATTGTTAATTAAAAAGTGGCAAACACAATTGTGCAAGTGTGCCGGGGGAAGTCGATGAATGGCTCAGGATTGTGCATTGAGGCAGTCTATGGGGAGGTATGTGTTCAGCAGCACTCTTACATGCTGAAACTTGGCATGTTTTAACTGTGGTAAGACTACGCAACAATATTCGCTATTGCATAATGGGCAGGTCTGTCTGGGTAAATGCCACAACTTAGACTTAGAAGTATGTACTTCTACGTTAGTGAGTGAGGTAGCCAGAGTCCAATGTATTATAAGGTGGCAACGCATGTGCAACCCTAAGGGTGTTACAAATGTCAATTAGCGGCGGTTATATAGCTCAGTGTCCGGGCGCTCGCCTTTAATTCAATATACTCAGGCAACCTGAGTTCGATCCCCGGTGCTGGCACCAATGAAGGTTTTAACGTTAAGTGCTGACTTATCACGTGCTCCGCGGTGAAGGAAAACATCGTGAGGAAACCGACATATTTTCTAAATAATAACAAGAAAAAAATATTTCGAAGATATGTGAAGTCCGCCAATCCGCAGTGGGGCCGCGTGGTGGACTATGCCCTCTGTATAGAGGAGGCCTTTGCCGAGCAGTGGGATATGTATTGGCTGTTACTTTACTTTACTATCAATCATCAGGTGATCATTTCAATCAACATCAGGAATTGTCTGTTTGCTCTCTTTTCACATAAAAAAATGTAATTGAATTAGCTTTCTAATTCAAAATGTGTGTAATTCTGAACTTTCTATTTTAATTGAAGGTTATCATTGTGATAAATAAAATATTTCTAATTTCTTTAATTCATTTATTTTTCATCCATTTATTATTTTTTACAGGGTGGCTGAAATAGAGGCTTTCATGGCTAATGGAGCAAATTTTAAATAAGTACAATATAAATATGAAGTAGTGTACCATGTAATGTAAAAATAAAAAATAATTTTGTTCATTTTTTGTTCATATTCTAAATATACTTTGTTAATTTTTTGTTAAATCTTTATATAATTATAAGTACATGATATGTTGTAACTTAATAAATAAAATAAATAATATCACAAAAAGTAAATAGCATATTTTATACTTTTATTTAACAAATAAATATTTCCTATTCAAACGAAATCATTTATGAGTTTACTTCGCATCTACTATGCGAGATCTTTTAGAATAGTTACCATTGAAACAGGAACTTGACAAATATTTAAACTCCTATTGCTAGGTGTATCGTAAATAATCTTTAATAACATTAGGTATTTTTAAAGTATTTAATACTACAAGGAATTTTTTGGTGGAATGCATCCAACCCACTTGGACCCTCAATACTTCTCTGATCTTCAGTCTGCATAAATGTCTTAATGGTAGTACGGTGTATGATAGTGTTTCCGCCGTAGTCCTGTTTATATCTACACCAATTTGAAGTAGTAAATATTCTTGGACCTAAAAAGAGACAGTTATTTTATTAATGTTAAATTTTATGATAATTACGTTACTTGGTCATTAACAACAACAAAGCTGTACTAAGAAATAGGACCCGATATTTTAATTTTGTTTGTAAATTGCAGTCTTTTCGAGAATTTGTATGAGCACTAAGGAGAGCAATACTCAGATGAGTCAATATACTGCTCATTATTAAACACATTTTAAGACAAATTATTTACCTATTTATCTACTAATATATTTCTAATCAAAGTTATTGATTGAAAAATATCATAAGTAACAATGAAACAATACAAGACTGTATTGTTTCATTTTTATTAAGCTGCAAACAACATATAGATCCTCTAATACTGTTTGCAGTGTAATGATTTGGAGGATGCATTTAATTAGCCTTAAACGTTTAAACACTTAAGTTTCTTTATTTAATGGCTATACCCACAGTTCAGAGTCATATTATGATCCCAAAAGTATAATAAGAAGTATTATTGTTAAGCATAAGAATAATATAAACACTACCTGTATTGGTATTCTTGGCAGTAGACCATTTCGAAATGAAAATTGTAAAAGAATATCTGGTTCACAAACTAAACTGTATGGCATTAAAATAGGTATTGTACTTGGATTTGAAGTCAAAGAAGCTAAAAATGCATCTGGAATGCACCAATCTTCACTTGAACCTGACATAGTTGTAGAATAGTCAATTTTGCAACCATGGTGGCATAGAATTTTGAATACCTGTTAAATTAAGACGAGAATTATTAACTGTATGTGACTTAACATGACTTAATTATTACATTAACACAGGAATTATTAAGTGAACTTCGCTTGAATCTTTTATTAAATGGCATAATTCTTTAGCCACAATCAATGAAAACACTAAACATCCTTTATAACTTTATAAGACTATTAATTTAATGTTCACTTTGCATACATTACAATAACCCTATTATTGAATTTAGTAATTTATTATAATCTGTAGAATTTGCTTTTACTATTAATAAAAACATTTCTTTAAAATTACTTGTAATCCTAAAATGTTTATGGAAAAATTTATTAGTTAAATAAATCTTTTAAACTTAAAAACCAAACAGTGAACAAAATCACTAATCTGCTTGAGCCCTAGTAATAAGTAAACACATATTTATGCACTGTAACTTTATTTCACTCCCTTTAATTATAATTATTATCAACTTACCTCTTCAAAACAAGTTGCATGTGTTGAATAATGTATATAAACCAGTGGAGGACATTCAGTGACATTCATTGCATTAACTGCAACACCTCTTACCAGAAATAAATTGAAAAACTCTTGAAACTTTTCAGGGGACTGATTAAAAATATATTCACATATATTCAGAAATGAATTTAATGGAGCATTTGTAAGGTATGTAGGTCTTAAATTTCCTATTCTCTCCATTGTGACATAAAAAGGCTCCACTAAATCAAAAAAATCTGGTCCCAACTCATTTACTAACAAGCTTTCAAGTATTTCCAACTTAAAGTAATGTGGCTTACAGGCATATAATATAATATCAGTATTTATTTTTTCTTTATCAGTTACATGCAAAAGAGTTTTAAAAATTGAACTATGCCCACTTTTTAAGGCTATATTTAATGCCATATCACCTTCTAAATCTTTAATGTGAGGATCTGCACCAATGTCCAATAGGAATAATACTATATCTTCACAACAACTCATTGTAGCTAACATTAAGGGACTGTCACCATTTATTGTTACTTGGTTTATATTACTTACAAATAGATGCAATTCTTTTACTGCTTCTAGACATCCTTTATAACTAGCAAAATGAAAAGCAGTGAAATAACAGTCATTTAGGATTTCAGGATCTGCTCCAGCTGATAGTAAAATTTTCAATGCTTCTGGTTGCATAGCTAATGCGGCGTCATGTAGTGCTGTGTGACCGTCAAAGTCTTGCACATCAATCATGGCACCATAGTCCAATAATAATTGCATAACGTCTAGTCTACCTAAAGCACTCGCAACATGTAATGGTGTCACATTTTCAGTATTTCCATAGTTTGCAATATCTGGTACATTCTCCAACAATGCCTTTATAATCTTAATAGAAACTGAATTACTGCATGCAACTTGCAGTGCTGTGCAACCTTCATGGTCTTCGGAAAGAGGTCGACAATCGGGGTGTTCTAGGATTAATAATAGGCTTTCATAACTGTCCGAAGCAGCTGCTTCGTGTAAACAAGTCCATCCCCTGTTGTCAACGCAGTTAGGATTGATATTTTGAATAAGCCTTTTAATCGCTTGCACATCATTAGCCCTCGCAGCCAAATTAAGTGCGTTTGAAGTGATAGGGTTTAGGGAACTGAAATCCATGCTAACTAAAACTTGAAATTCTTATTAATAATTAGTTCTTATCAATAAACTTGGGCACACAATTGTTAACCAACTTTAAACAATAGACACAAAGACAAAAATTATACTGATTTGATAGTGTAAAATTTTATTATATTTCAGCGCATTATAATATGAAATATTATGACATTTTTATGATTGACAATTGACATTGACAATAGTACATTACATTCGTTCAAATCATCTTCTCATTGAGAATTATTAAGAACTATTAATAAAATTACATAAGATATAAACAAATGAAGAATTTACATATGTTAAAAGGTTATTGATGTTAGATGGACGAGGGATGTTAGAAGGAAGATGATCATGGAAGGAACCTGGAATTCTGGGACAGTTGAAAAATATATGATCAGGTGAATCATCATCTAGGCTCTCAACACTACAGTGAGAAGTTCTCAACACTACAGTGTCATTAAATCACAAATTCAATAAACACAGTTTTTTTTGTATTGTCTTATACTGTTAGCAGTGTATTAGTAATTAATAAACACTAACAGTACGTACATTAGTCTATGACTGTTAGCCGGCGGCTTTGAAAATTGACAGCTTCGTTAGATGCTAAGGAGATCGTTATTTAGTGAATGTGGCCTAGATGATGATTCACCTGATCATATATTTTTCAACTGTCCCAGAATTCCAGGTTCCTTCCATGATCATCTTCCTTCTAACATCCCTCGTCCATCTAACATCAATAACCTTTTAACATATGTAAATTCTTCATTTGTTTATATCTTATGTAATTTTATTAATAGTTGTAATATTAATTGACTTAGCATAATAATTACAATCTTATTTTCTTTGTTCTAGGTAATTGCTATAATTATGTAAATTTGTTTAGATATTCTATAAGTATATAAAAATATACATATTTAACATTCATAAAATCATTCTCTTCATCATTTCATTATAAAAGTTAGGCAAAAATAAACAACCAGAAGTGTTCATTGGCGCATTCATTGAAAACCCCAAAAAAGAAAAGAAGAAGAAGATCGTTATTTAGTATCAGTCTGGCGAAACTAGGAACAAAAAATTTTTCTTTGGACTTTACGCGGCTAATAATGGCGGACATTGCTATTACTCTCCCTCAATGTGGTTTCTCTTTCTTGCAATACAAAAAGTGCCATGTTGTTTGTCAAAACTTAATTTCGCACTGCGTATTTTGAATGTAAATGCGTATTTCATTGTAAATTTAAATTATTTAGAGTAAACTTCCTCACGAAAACTAGGGACAGGTGAACAGAGTTATACTTTTAATTCAAAATGATGGATGAAGCCAAAGACAAAGATGACAAAGACGGATGAAGCCCATGTAAGCACTTAAATATGATACTTTGCAGCCATATTTATGTAGAGCAGGCTATGACCAAATAAAATTAACAAATTTATCTCATTTAAATTGTGTGCTAGTGATGTACTGCAACTGTAAATCCACATATCGATAACTACGTTAATGTTTATCATTGAAAAAAAAAAGAAATAAAATGTTGCATGAAAGAGTAGGGGCACAAAGTTTTACATATTTGAATGGTGTGCCTACATAAATGAGCAAGGATCGGAATAGGTGAATTTTGCAGGATTTTGAAACATAATCTCTGTAATATTAATACGTCATATAATTATACGCCAAAGGTGATCGGATCCATGGATTGGATTCGAGATTCGGTACGAAATCTCGATGGCCCATACCATACCATGGTGACAATCCTCCCTATATATAACGCAAAAGTGAGCACATACGCACCGACGCTGGTGGGTTTTGGCTAGCCCACAATTTCCACGTTCGAAGAAGCTTTAATACTTTACGAGCTGAAAGCAAAAGAAAGTAATAAATACAGAGAGAATATGTGCGGCGGTCCTCAAACCTACCCACTTCGATAAGGCGAATTATTTGCTGCAAAGCAGTGGTGAGCAGATTTCAGACAGGGTTCTGATTATACTACAAAAATCTTACCAATTGCTCCAGTGGGTTGATGATAAAATACGAGTAAACAGGAAACTTAAGTGATATCCAAAGTACTCTGAAAAGGCTGTGAGATGCTAAATTTGTTTTCTTTAACTTAAAAATAACGACAACTTCAATGTAACTCGTGAGTTTCAGTGTTTTGCGCCTGTTTGTATGGAACGACAGGGTATGTGTAGCTTTTTTGCATGTATGGGGTACATGCGCATGCAAAACAGTTGCCCCGCCACAGAAATACAAAGTGTTCTTTAACCAGTAATGCAATTAAAACATTGTTAATTATGTTAGGTATTACGTAATAAATAAGATTTAGGTAAAACCATTTATTGAAAAAATTAAACAAACAATACTCATTAAATAAATATTATGCTCAAAACAAAATCTGGAATGTCCACATTAAAAACCATAATTGTATTAGGTAATAAAGTGATAAAGGCTAAAAAGTTCTGTGCAATAAGATTGCCTTAGATTATCATTCAATATAAAAGGAATATTCATCAATCAATAAATTATAGCAGAAGGAGATTTGCTCCAGACATGGAAAGACTTTTTTGTTCTGTTTTAAAACTTCTACACAAAACTTTATTACCTACAGTACGAAATGAATTTGATAATAATTCCGGTAATATACTGGGTAATCCAGTATATTACCGGAATTATTATCAAATTTCAAATGTATTAGGATAAATGGAATGGGGCGGGCGAACGGGGTAGAGACATAATGTCGCATTTCTCATTCTTTATTCGTTAAGAGTAGGGGGAACTTGATGGGGGCGATGGTTGTGGCGCGCGATAGGGAATTGGTGCGCGGGGAACGCGGGGAGCGGGGCGAGCGGGCGGGGTAGGGGCGCACGCGCAGCTCCTCCGCGCTGCGGAACGAGTTACGCGCCACTCGCCGCCGGAACAGCGACGTCGCCGACGTCTCCTGCAGCAGGCACCTGTGCATACGTTACGGTCACTTTTTTATTATTTTAAATAGGAAACCTTCAGTTTAAATAAATATTTCAGGACATATTTAGAAACGGATATTAGGTTGATGGATACCTGGTAATCGATAAATATATCTACTTTTTTATCGGTTACCTAGTGTCCAGTAACCGATAAATGTTTATGTACTTTTTTTTGTAAAGACACTGAAAGCAAAACACAATATTTTTCCAGTAAAAACCACACCCTCTTGGACGAAGATACAGGTCTACTATCCACTACGCCAATCGAGTCGTCGTTCAGTTTACTCAGTTCAGACTATGGTTGGGCCACGCAACAGTTTTCACTGTTGCACGAATGGGCAGGTCCGTCCCGGCAGTTACCACGACCTCACAGAAAACCGGCGTAAAGTAGAAGTGTTATACTTCTGCGTTTCGTTTGGTGAGTGAGGTAGGTGGGGCCCACTTTATTTAAAGGTGACAACGCACCTTCTTTTCCAATTTAACAAATATTATTTAAAAAAAAAACAATTTGCCGAAATACCATATGTACAGAGGAATGGTTTTCCAGTTGTGGGTATAAAACATAGGCAGTCTTATTTACAATCAGCGGATTCATTACTAAAAGTTTTTCCCAAGTTAATAAAAATTATCACATGTACATTCGTGTGGAAGACGTTGGGTAGTAGGACACTACGACCACTATGACCTTGGAAAACATTGTCTCCTTAATGTAGGAAATGTTGTAAGGATGTTTTACATACATACATTTTACGTGGACAAACACCCAGATCCGAAACAATTACTGCAGGTGACACAAATAATTGTCTCGTGTGGCAATCGAATCCACGACCACTGGCGCCGAAGGCCATGCCTTGTCAATTGCGCCATCATCAAATGTACATACGAACTTTGAATTAACTGCCAACGATATTACAAAATCGTCCTGAAAACCGTCCTGACCTCAAGTTTTTCCTAATGTGCAGTTAATAAGTAAAGTCAAGTAACAGCCTATACATCTCCCACTACTAGGCAAAGGCCTTCTCTGTACAGAGTATTCACGTATCTTCCAAAAAAATTTTTTTTAGTTATTTCGAAAATACGCAAGTTGCCTCTCACGATGTTTTCCTTCACCGTTGATAAAGTGATAAGTCAGCACTTGAAATTAACAATTTCATTAGTGCCAGTACCAGGGATCGCACTCGGGATGCTAGGTTACTACATTAAAAGCCAGAGCCCGTACATTTGTACGTTGAATCAACTTCCGCCCAAATTTTTGTACAAAACCATCCTGACCACAAGTGCTTTCTAATGTGCAGTCGTTAAATGTGGCCTTGATTGTATATAAAAATTAAATTACTTCTCCAATTCGGTTAGCTGCTGCTTCGGCGTTGAGGCGGCCACCGGCCGTGAGCGGCCGAGCTTGGCGCGCGTCGACTGAAGCATGTCCTTCGTAACCAGGGGCTGGTTCTCTTTCGACGGGGGTTTAGAGCGCAACGGGTTGTCCTGTCGCAAATTCGTTTGAAATACATCAACGGGTGGGAATTGATCAACGCCGCCCGTGGACATGTAAACAAGAGCTTTGCTTCCAATTATCGTGGTAGAGGCACGGAGTTACTTCTGCTGTTCCCATGCTAGCTAGTTGGCTTTCGGAAGGCCCGCGTAGGGTAGGAATGTTTACACTTTTTATTCGCGTGGGTATTGGTGTAACCCAACGCACGAAGGGTCTTTTGATATTAATAGATTACATTTAATATCAAAAAAAGTCACATACTAATGCTTAATTAAGCCGAATGAAATCCAATAATACACATTCATACTATCACGTCAATTTTGTTGCTTTTTTATTTTTGTTCGGCCCTGCCAGTTAAAGTAATATTGCAATTGAAGTATATACATCTACATTAACACTTTTAATATTTTTATAGTGGTAATGTCTGTACTTAAGATTAAACTTTAAAATTAGTAGAAAAAAAGTTTTTCGCATTTTCATTCGTGTGGGAATCGAACCACATCTTCGAGATTCGCGCCCTGACGTTTTAGACACTAAGCTAAACCGCTGATTGCCACACCGACGAAAATGTCAACATCTTTTGTCTACATTGTTTTTAACATTTGAAGTAATGCTTGACGCAACCATTGTTATGTTCTTTAAAGCACACAAATAATTTCGAATATCGTTATACAACGATATTTCGAACGAGAATTAATGTTGTCACTTGTCATTGCTTTTTAGAATTTTTTATAGTGCTAATCTTAAGATTCAACATTAAAATTTGTCGAAAAAAGTACGAAATGTTTTTCGCCGCTGTGGATATATATCAAACATCACGTCTTCGGAATTACCCTGACGCTTTAGCCACTAAGCTAAACGGCTGATTGCTACACCGACGAATTTTAAAATATTATCACTACTATATATCTTATACTGCTTATTTTGACCTACAAAAATTTCTTACATCATCTGTCAACAATGTATAAGACGTAAGAGTAAATGTGATGATATAAAGGGATATAAATGGTTAAAGGGTTAAAACAACTGCCGTTAACATACGACGTTAGTTTTAATCCTCGTACAGTTTTAATCGTCTGCCGTTAAGTCTTATCTTCTTTTCCATTGTAACATCATTGAAATTGAGACAATTAACACGGCATTAGGGGTCAATTCAGTCTGTAATGATCTTACAAGCGCTTACAACAAAGTCTATTCCTACTAACTTCGGTATAGCCAATGTCCACGCGGCGGTGGTCATGTGGTGCCCTTAGTAAAAAAACAGGCGGGAAAGAGCTCACCTTAGCCTTGCGCAGTTTTACGTTGGCTATGTCTTCGGGGGTTATGGTGAGACGGGGGGTGGTGATCCTCGGCGGGGCAGAGCCGCAACGCGGGATCGTGTTCGAGCGCACTGGTGGCCTGCTGACCGGCTGCGGCGGTGGTGGTGGCGGTGGCGGCGGAGGCGGAGGGGGTGGCGGTGGTGGCGGGGGTGGTCCCTTGACCGGCACCGCACTGATCTCTTGACGGCTGAGGGATTCCGAAGTGTATCAGCATATGCATAGCACATAACTCATAATATTTTCTGTATAAATTAAATGAAAAGTACTGGATTGATTTCAATTAATTCTTCTGTTATTTCTAAAGCACTTGGCCTTTTGGTTTTTTTCATTCAATGTTGTTATTAAAGTTTTAAGAAATAACGACTTTTGTAAGCATTATGTGTACAATAATGTGAAATACCCAGATCCGAAAAAATTATCTCTGTGTCATACAAAAACCAACGAACATAAAACAAAAAATAAAAGACTAAATATCGTCCATAGACCATACATATATATACCGTATTTAGTTACTGATGAGGCCTCTGCGCGGAAGTATAACTTTTATAATAAACTAGCGACCCTACCCGGCTTCGCACGGGTGAAATGTATTCACTAATAGGGCAGTGTGAAGTGATTAATAATATTGTGATTATGAATAGTCTATACTACAGGATATCTTTATATACAATATTTACAGCTGTTTTTTTTTCCTGAGACAGTTCAAACATGTTTTTTAGATATAAAATTCGGTACTAAAAAACTTCATTAAAATCCGTGGGTTAGTTTAAAAGATCTAAGCGTACAAACAGCGAGAGCGACTTTGCTTTATCTACTCTTATCCTTTAAACGAGCATATATATAATTGGAATCTCGGAAACGGCTCATTTTCATGAAATTTAGTATGTGCGTAGATTCGGGGGCGAAAAATCGATCTAGCTAGGTTTTATTTTTAGAAAATGTCCTTTTATCCCTGTTTTCAGGGAATAAAAAATATCATTCGATTACGACGGTAAATTTCGCCGCAAATAAATGTTATAGAAGCTTGGTCGCTAATCGGGCGGCCCCAAAAAAGACGGCCGCGTTTCGTATACGATCATATATACACACTTATTTTTTTTACTTTTTTTATATACCAGATCATTGCTTTCTTTATTTTTTTATCTTTTTTTATTTCCAAAATACATGATTTACCAGAAAAAAACCGAGCAAAGCTCCTCTAGGTACTCCTTACTAATATTATAAAGGCGAAAGTTTGTATGGATGGATGTTTGTTACTCTTTCACGCAAATAATACTGAACGGATTTTGATGAAACTACAATAATATAGCTTATACATCATAATAAGACATAGGCCATAATTTATATACATATTCTTATGTATCTTTCTTTCTTTCTGTCTTTCTGTCTGAACGTTACGCCTTCAGTCTATTCTACGCAGACGTAGTCGCGGGCAGCAGCCAGTGTATAATAAAGATGTAACGACTGAATAACTTCTGAAGGCCTTATCTGTATATAGACAGGGTGTGTTACACCCACTCAACCTCAAAGTAGACTGGCTTATCAAGACTTCACATATTTATATGAATTCAATATATTTCTTACATGTGAAGGGTGCCTTAAGACGTTTAATATAAACAGAATTTATTCATTCTACATTAGACAGCTACAGTTTCTCCGAGGTTACCAAGCCTTAAGACCTAAAATGGAGCCGTGTCGCACTAATAAACCAATAATCAGGTATAAATGCGGTACAGTGATTTTGCAACAGAACATTTAATGTTTGACGTCCTACGGGCACTGGGATTCGAATGCACAACCTCAAATCATGTGTTGATGTGTCCCTCAACTGTGCCACCTGCTGATAAACCAAACCTATATGTATTTATACTATTTTAAAATATGTACGTTCTGATTAGTATAATAACAAAAAACCGTTTTGCTTCAATTTTTAAATGTATATTATTACCTTAGCAATAACAGTGTTGAGTAGTTGCATTTATTTAAAGGTGCAATGAAACATGGATAATACCAATTTATAAAGGAAATGGTTCCCAATATAATTGGTGCATATGTTACCTCAGTTTACTTTCCAATTCCTCAATTTTGATAGTCATCTTCTTAACTTTTTCGTTCAGATCCTCGTTCTCTTGGGACAAGCGCGACTGTTTCGTATTTAACTCTTCTAGGAATCTCCTCAACTCTTTGATTTCTTCCACCATAAAACTTTCACAGCTGCCTTTACACTCATCCGTTGGATCACGAAGTATATCGGAATATAGGCCGGTTATCGACTGGTAGCCCTAAAATCAGCATCATTTTGTCTTTGCTAGCACATAATAATTAAACTTACTGCAATGTCTCCGATTTAGTTTTTTCAGGCTTTACAGTAATATTTATTAAAGCAATAGTCCTACGTAATAGTACTACATTAACTGTAGAAATATTATTTAATATGCATACGTTTGATAAACATGCAAATAAAATTGCTAACAACAATCTAACAAACAACAAAAATATATTGGTCATGATCTCCGTTTGAAATAATTACAGTGTGATTGATGGTGATGAAAATTTGTCGTAATATTCACCTTTCGACCGATCCAAGTGCAAATGTCTAGAATGCGCCAAGGTTTCCCGCGAGGGCCGCGACGCAGCCCCTTGTCTTTACGTGGCGTCTCACCTGATAACACGAACCACTCCATGTCATTAAGTAATCTAGTGTTCATCTCGCATTCTATTTCCACGTCCAACATAACACTGTCTCGTTTGCCGATCATTGTTTTGTTCAAACATTAGTTGAAGAGCTTTGTACGTTTAACTTTAAAACACAATTGGGACTGCAAGCTTCAGGTCCGGTCTAAGTTTCACGAACGTTAGATTTTAAAAGCGGGTGATGTCATTACGCTAAATTCGTATCCAAGCGAGTCTCGCCGCTGTTACTCAATAATATGACACGATCGCGCATTTTGTAGGTATATGATGGATATCCTAATCTTTTAACGGCAATTTCTATGCATTTTTTTTTCGGAACTATCAATGAACTGCGGCCTTTTATATTTACAAATATTGATTATTATTTTTCGCACTTTATTGGACAAATGGACATATAAAGATTGGCATATCTGGGTACATATTGAATTCTTGATTTTACGCAAATATTATACATATTAAATGAAACTAGTTTACGGATTTGGAGAAGGTGCTAAATAATAATTATGGTTTATATATATCTTTATATTTATATATAATTCTTCTGAGTGTGTTTATGTCACTGAACTCCTCCTAAGCGGCTGGATTTTAATGAATTTTTTTTTGTCTTCAGGTCGATTCGAGAATGGTTTAGATTCATAATTCGGTCCACTACATTATTTTTGTTTGTTTCTGTTTCTTTAACTAAGGTGGCGGTGGCGGTTGCACGGAAAGGGCAGGCTCGTCTGAAGAAGTACCACGGCCTCACAGAAGACTGGGGAAGTATAAGATTATACTTTTGCGTTTTTTCAGGTAACTTAGTGTTTCGTCATGGTTAAATTAAACTTTTATATAGATATTATGGCGTTTAATCTTGATTTTAATAACGACGTTCCGAACGCTTTACAGCACCTTTATTCACTTATTTGGGGACTGAATGTTGAAACAAAATTAAATAAAATAAAAATTATAAGATAAATCATTTAATATGGACCACGAAATGGTCGATTATTTATTCATATCTTAACTTGTTTTCATAGCATCGTTCTGACGGTTACAAAAATCAATTCCGTGAATCTGTGATCATAATTAATATACACTATCGGTATATAGGTACATTTTTAACTTTATATTTTTTATGTACAAACAACACATTTGTACAATTATTTATGTTAACGTTACAATATTAGATACCGGTATGAAAAAACTTAAGGCTCAGTAGGCGCATTGGCTTTGGGTTAGAAAGAAGCCGAATTATTTTTTGAGAAGGTGTCAAACGAGCTGGCGTTTAACCTGATGTTAAATGAAAACCGCCGCCCATTGACATTAACAATACCCGTAGGGTTGCAGATGCGTTGTTATGCTTTGCGTTGTGTTACCTTTTAATAAAGTGGGCCCCGGATATCACACTCACCAGAAGAAACGCAGAAGGATAACATTTCCACTTCACGCCGGTCCTTGGTGAGGTTGTGATACTTTTACCCGAACGGACTTGCCCATTCGTGCAACACAGATGACTGTTGCGTGGCACTATCAGAGTTATAGTAGAATTCAATCGGCGAACAAAAAATAGGTTCGTTTACATGTAACAGTAAAGGGTATTATTAGGTAAATATGGGGTATGTATGTGTAAATAAATACATATACCGCATTACAGCTATACTTAAATGTCGAAAAGTGCGTAAACAGTGCATAACGAAAATTGAAAGAAGCTTATGTTATAATTCATAAAGCAATTAAGAATAGGTTAAGATTTTTCGTTATTCAGTCATGAGTAAACTGACCAATTTTTTCAACTCAAAACGGGACATTGATTTTCAATGAAAATAAACATAACTTATTAATTTTATTTATTCCGAAAAGATTTTTAATTCAAAGAAACAAAAAAAAATCATCAGTTCACTATTTTATATTAAAACAACATTTTAAACATTTTTATATTTTTCAGAGGACAAACAAATTTGTTTTAATAAAGCAGGTGATGATTTTAAATAAGAATAATATTTATCACGTGTCTTTTTTGTTGACCTTTGTTATCAGCATCGCCTTCAGAACTGGAGCTATTCAATATCACCAGCACCACTACGGGAAATACTAAACTGTGCGACACTTTTCGCATCTGACATCCGAAGGAGTGATAATTTGCTTAATAAATGGGAATTTTGTTTGTAGGTTGACATTAAATAAACACTTGGGTTTCGGCATAATTATAGGAAAAATTTCAAAACAACAAAACTTCAAATGACAAGCGTGGTTTTAAAGTTTCGCGCGGTTTCGGAAAACGGGACATTTATGCGTCACGAAGATTTGTTCGGGGACAAATGGACAGCTGTCGGAAAAAAAGGGACAGTCCCGTTAAAAACGGGACGTATGGTCAGTTTAGTCATGAGCTTCCGAGTTATTGCGAAATTGCTAATATGTTTTTTCAGAGCCATCTATTTATGGATTATCCATTTTATAATATTTATATATTACTCAAAAAAAAATAATATTGTAGTTTTTATTAATTTTTACCTATATTTTTAAGCCCGTACCTAATTTATTAAATATTTGTATTTAATTTTATTTACGAGTTTATGAGTTTCTACCATATTTTTAAAGTGTTTTCTGTGTATTCTTATATTTGCATATAAGAGTTTATAATAACAAATAAGTTATTATATTAGTCTTTGAATCACTAGTACCTGCTAGATATGATTATGAATGGACCTAACCATTGGCATCGCCAATTGATCTACATCGGCAGATTGTCTAGATTTAAAGAAAATAATGAACTATTGATTATTGATAGTTTATTACATGGAATTTTTTTTAAGTTTTAAATCGAAGATTTTTTGCTTTCATACTATGGAATCAAATTTTAAGTTTAAGTATTCAAATTAGTACCATGAGTATGGTTAAATACATATTATTAAACCAATTATTAAAAATGTCCATCAAAAGGCAGTTAAGGCTCACTTAAAAGCATTGGTATTGTGTATAGTTTTTTTTATATCCTAAAATAAGCATTATGTGACAGTTCTGGCAAATTAAATAGTTTAATAAAGTGATTTTGTATGCTTACTTGTAACAATATTCTTCCTCGATCTTTGCAGTGCGTCCCTAAATAAACTTGACTCTGACTTTAATCTTCTTTTGCGTATTTTATAAGAACTATTACTGTTTACAGACTTAAATGACGCCTCTGACTCTGTTGACAGCCTGCTTGATGAATCTGATGATTTAAGTGATTTGCTTTCTGTCGGTTTGTAATCTGTTGAGTAGTTTGGTGTACTGGATACAGTACATTTCGTCTTTTTCGAGGGTCTGATTTCCCCATTGTCTTCAAACGACTCGTTTCTATAGCGTTTGCTGACTAAACACAACTCTGAAGTTTCGTTTGATGTAGAGTCTTCTAAATTATAGTCTTTGCCAAAAGATAGGTTAACATCCACGAAGCTACAATTTATATGTGCGATAATAGGCTCAGTTTGAGTAGAACTGTCGTTTCTACTCACGTCTGTCATAACAATACTTACAAAAGGAAGCGTACTATTACTCTCATTATCTTTATATTTATCTATATTCGGCTCCCACGAAATATCTATAATATTATCTTTAGAACATTTCCGTATAACTTCGATTGAATTGTTTAGTATCAAGTTCCTATTATCCTTGTCAATGTTATTTTCTTTTTCGGTGTCCAATGTCATTTTATTATATTTTAAAGTTAGACACCAGCCTGAATATAATATATATAATAGTGTTAAATCTCTTTTTACATCTCTGAAGACTATGATGATTTAGTTTTAATATAACATATAACTTAGGGTAGTTATAAAAACCGGCACTTATGAATACCGTCAATTTTTATATTTATTCATCATATTATACAATGCAGACATTTATTATGTATTTTTCTTACCTGTGCGAAAAATTCTAGATAGAAAAATTCTACCCTCGATTACTCCATACTTTGACTTTGGCACTTTTCACTAATATATTATATTATACATTAGTATTATTGTATGTATATTATGTTTTTGCATTGTATAACTGTGGTAGAGCTACGCAACAGACCATTCGTGCAACAGCGAACTGTTGCACGAATGGGCAGGGCCATCCGTGTATGTATCGCGACCTCACAGAAGACCGGCGTGAGGTGGAAATGTTACTTCTCTGCATTTCGTCTAGTGCGTCTAGGCAGCAGGGGCCCACTTTATTAAAAGGTGATGGGAACATGCGTTATGTGCAACCCTACAGGTGTTGCAAATGTCAATGGGGGGCGGTTATCGCTTAAAATCGGATGAACCGCCAGCTCGTTTGCCAGCGTTTCACAAAAAAAAAACATTTGCGTATATATGTGTTATCTATTGCACTTTGTTTATGTAACCGATATTTGTTTACACTGTCACTGTCACTGCCTGCTGTGACTGTCATAATGCGGTGAAATGCGGGCGAACCAAATTATCGCGACTTTGAAGTAGATCAGCTGTGAGCTGATAGTGGCTGATAATTTTATCAGCTTTTACAGTTTATGTAATAAAAAAAAGTAAAAATACATAATTAAGATTGTATTGTATTGTCATGCGTTATGCAACAAAGAAGAAGTTTTTGTATTTGGTGTTTATAATTATTGTTTTAATTTTATTACTGCATCCTGATATGAATGCACGTCGTTCTTATGAGTTTATAGAAAAACATAATATTCTTAGTTCTCTACATGAAGAAACTACTGAAAATTTAACCAGTACTGCAATTGCTGACTGTGATTACCATTATATAATTTATGACGATACAATGTTACCTGCAACTATAGTTGATGGAGATTTAAACGAAAGGTACAGAATTAGAGATGGGGGAGAATATGCTCCAAGTGATTGTAAAAGTCTGTTTAGTACAGCAATCATCGTCCCATACCGGTAAATAATTATGAACTTATATAAATCTGGATTCCTCTGTAATGTTTTACACAATTAAAACCAATTATTGAACGCAGGGACAGAGCCGAACTATTGCGAAGTTTCTTGGTGTATATGCATTCGTTCTTGAGTCGTCAACATATCCACTATCGGATATATGTTGTGGAACAAGTTGATTCACAACCATTCAACAGGGCTAAATTGATAAATATTGGTGCCATGGCTGCCATGAGAGCTGGATACCCTTGTTTAATTTTTCATAATGTTGATATGCTACCACTGAAACCAGCTAATTTATATGCATGTTCCAAATGGCCTAGGCTCATGTCAAGCAATACTGATAGCTTTAGGTCGAGAATAAGTATAAATCTCATATTCTTTATCTCATATGATTTTGAGCATCAGTAAACACTAATTTCAACATTAACGTCCACTACATGCACAACTTTTTAGCAACATTGAATAGAAGAATTATTTCATATGGAATATATAGATAGTAGGTTTAATTGCTATAAACATCCACATCATCACTTCTTAATGCTTTTAAATAATCATGTTTACCAAATATGCTAATTGTTTTGACAAATAATTACTGAAAAACAGTTTTGCTTTTTTAGATTTGTTTGGCCATATTTAAAATCTTTTGGTGGGGCTGTAGCAATTTTGGGAAAGCAGTACAAAAATATAAATGGAATGAGCAATAAGTTCTTTGGTGTGTGTGGTGAGGATGATGATTTTTATTTACGTTTAGAGGCAAATAAACTTAAATTATTCAGATTTGAGCCCCTTATTAGCACATACCAAAAAGTTACTAAACATACACAAAATAGGTAAGCAAGTAGTTACTTTTTGTAAATTGTTTAGAAACAATTATTTGAACGTTATTGAAAGTAGTTTTTAGTAAATTTAAAATGAGTTGAAGAAAATATACTTAATCATCTTTTAATCTAAATTTATAATGATTTTTAGACAATCTCGTAAACAGAAATCAATCTTCACAAAAAAAGGAATGGCAGAGGATGGATTAAACTCATTGAAGTATACTGAAGTATCCACAGTACTCCATCCACTATTTACTCATATCATGGTTGACTTATAGTATACAATTTTTTTTTTGTATATTGAGTAGAATCTTGGAAAGTAACTAAGTTGATCTGAGTTTTCAAAGTTAACCAAATTCCATCATTCTCTTAAAAAACTTACTGATTATATGTTTTATTATCAACCGCATGTTCCTATATATGTAAGTTTAGTATAGAAAAATTTAAGGATCTACAGCTGTGGTCTCACAACATATCATTAAAAAAAGCTTTCGTTCTCCTACCCTTATCCCACCTTTGTGGGGTCAGCACAACATGTGAATCATGTTATTAATGATATTGGCTAAGATTTTTTACGATCATGGGCCTGCCTGATATTGACCGTCCTTGGAACAAACAACTAGATCTGGAAAAAAATTCTGTGTGTTGCATAAATAATTGCCCAGTATTAATTGTATCCATGACTCGCAGCAGTGAAGCCAATAGCTAAGCAACTGCGGTACATTCTTCAATGTTCAGCATAATATTTTATCTGTTATATGTCAAAATGTGGCCTAATGTTACCTATGTAAAATATAATTTTTCTTAGTCGAGTTTTGACAGTAGACTAACCAACACTATAGAAAGGAATTATTTTATCCAAGTTCTTGGTTGGAATGAGTCATTTATCTAGTCATACAATGTTGTATTAAAAAGAGGTATTAAAAAGTGTTGGAATTGATTGAACAAAAATATTTGTTCACATATTAAACATGATATGTATAATCTGCATTTTATTATATGTTATAATTATGGTTATTTAGTTTAAAAAATACCACTATAGCATTCATTATGGATATATTTGGTAGGAAAAAAATTATGAACATTGCAGTAGATGGTCCCAAATCTCTACTTTTTTAAGTGCATTAAACCACTCCCATAGCTTTAAATTAATATATACATTTCATGTAATTAACACACTTTTATATTTAAATAACAAATTTTGCAAGTTTCATTTTAAATTTAATGTCTTTGAAATAAGCTTTAAAATAATTAATCATTTTAATTATTTAAGTATAAGCAATATCATTTAGTAATGACTATATTACAAGTTACCATATTAAAACATCACAAAAACATGACATTAATTAATAACTATACTAAAAATATCACACATTTCCAATAAAACTAAAAGAAATTTAGCACCCCTTACCAATTTTCATACAGAACCAAGTCAACTTATATGTAAAAAAAAAGGAAAACTGAAATAAAAAATAGATGAGTATAGGAAGAGAAATGCAAACTTGAGAACAAGTCATACTTATTGTAACACCTATGTCATATTTAAAGTGTAACAAATTTTAAATGATCATGTATTAAGCAGCACTTCATTGTAAACTAGAGAATTCAATGACAACTTATGATTTAATAACATTTACATTATTTGTTGTTAAAAGTATTGTAAATACAATATTTTAAATACATTTGACTGTTAAAACAATAAAATTGATAGGATAATACTGAGGCAATTCTTTAATACATATTAAAAGTTTTATTGCAGTTTAACTATTATTTACAACTTTTTTCTCATCATCTGCTGATTTTTAAACCAGTGTCATGTCATATTGATACACATAGTTATTTTATGAATACTCTAAAAGTCCTATAATTTCATTATAATGTTTTATTATATGAACAAATTTATGGCCGTAAAACTAGCATGCTTACCAAACCAAGGACAAAAGAAAACACTAGTTTTAAGTTTGAGCCAATATGCAGCCAGTCAGGCAACTGAGATGGAGTAATTTTCTCAGGTTGGGTGGGTAAAAGGAGTGCTGCAATGCAACAGATGCTAACTGTAACTGCAACAATATTGATGGGTTGTTGGTCCCTGAAAATATAACTTAGTTTATCAAAAACATCAGGAGAAAATCAATGAACTCTGTGATTGATATAAATTGTTAACACAATTCTCTTAATATTAGTACTAATCAATCTCCTCGGCTTAGTTGCAAGGATTAGTCTCAACGTAACAACTGTTTCTCATTTGTGCACTCGGAATAAATATATAATGAGATACATACATGATGACAAATTAGAAACATAATGATAAAAAACAATTTTGTCTTACATATTAATGGTCATTAAACCGAAAATAAAGTAAAAGTTTTGTTTTAACCTGTGGTGTAAAGGGTGATTGCATGTAGTCCTTGTTAGCTCTTCTGCAGGTCTTACAGTTTGAGCTTTGGTAGTTAAGGGGTGGAAACTGTCTCCTAAACTTTCTTGTATTGTGTTTAGAGGTTCCTCCTTCTATCAATTTTGTGGGAATGTCTCTTTTACCCAGAGCCTGAAATTATTGGAATAAAACATTTGGATTCAAAACACCCTATAATAACGTCCAACTATGTATCCAACATTTGACACCAACCAAAGCCCTATCAGTGATAAAGTATACACTTACCTGCTGGGTGTTCCTATCATACATCGTTATCCGGAATTTTTCTGTCGTGTTACAATGAGCTGCCGAAGGTTGAGTATATCGAACTACGATATCTATACAGCTCTGCGGCGCAATCACTCCTTCTGGGTCTATGACAGTAAACTTGTTGGGAGAAGTACATAACACTGAAACAACGAGATATTTTTATATGAACCATATGGGTGCAATGTGTTTGTCATATATTTATAATTTACCTTTGAAATTCACAGAGAAATCGTATGGATTATAAACTGTTAGTAATTGTTTATGTGTATGTCTTGCATTAAGATAAAACTCCAAAGAAACAGGGAACACGAAAACTGGAAAGTTCTTCATTTTTATTTGTTTCACTAACTACAGCAAAGTAAAAATACAACAACAATTTCGATTGTTTCGCATCTCGCAACTATTTGACAGGTGACAGCTGAATTTTGACACTTGCAATTGTGTGGTTCCTGTTCATTATATTTCGTAAAAATAATCTTTACAAATAGTAATATACTTTTAACAGTATTTATGTGTTATGATGTCCTTATTTTGACCTTAAATTAACTGCATATTTAATAAAATAACGGCCATTTTTTCTATGTATGTTAAGGTAGCAAGCGCGCTGGCGGTTCACCTGATGTATACTTGGTATAGTTATAATCGCGGCCTGACCATTTGGTGCAATACTCGCACACCTTTATCACCATAACGCAGAAGAATAGAACATACAAGAAACGCAAAAGGACAACATTTCCACTTCACGGTGGTCTTCGTGATAGTTACCCGGACCAACCTGACCATTTGTGTAATATTGAATACTGTTGCGTGGCCGTACCATAGTTCAAATTCATTACTGTGTACAGTGCTTATAGTTCCACAATGCCTACACATCGACAAAAACGGCAAACAAACCCCATTTTCTATCTCCTGAGATCGCGGGTCGTCTGCTTGGCCTGAATGACTCTTCGGAAGAAATTTTCAAAGCCGCCGTTTTAGCAGTAAGCTATACAGTGAATGATATTTTATACTACGGATATCTATTAAGCGCGCTCGAGGTGAAGCTTTCTACGAAATGTCGCTGCCTATTTCTTTATTCAGGTCGAGAATAACTATAAACGCTGTGGGACGTTAATGATGGCGACGGAATAATGAAGATATATTTCATGTGCTTTAATACTTCGCCTGGATTATTTAAAATATTAATAAGTCTAAGGTCGTCGTAGTTTAGACCATTCGCCTAGGGCGTTTAGTGCAAATTGTAACCTGGGTTTTGCTACAATCCGTCGCGTACAAACGTCGTCGGCGTTTAGGTCTAACTCGAGACCTTAGGTGTCCTGGACATCTCGCTCGTGTATAGAAGGTATCACACGCTGAGGCAAGCACGGCTTTCAGGTGGCAAGAAGTTGGGAGTCGCCCTTCCGACCAGGTTTTGTCATGGCGGAGGGGCTTAATTTCCGTGGGTTGATCATCCACGTCGAAGCCAAGAGGAACCCACACTAAATCGGCCTATGGTGTAACCCGAGTAGGCATTGAGCCCACTTTGGATGCGCGCTGGAGGTTGCAGGGGAAAGGTCGAGGCTGGTAGAGGAGCAGACACTCTCCCTGTCTTCTGCTACCGAGGAGGAGTCGCGGAGGAAGAGGAATGTCGGTAATGCGTTTGGCCGCTCTCCCTTACCTCCGCAGGAGAAGAGTCGGGATTGCGATGCGACGTTCTCCCTACCCTCCCCAGCCGAAACGGTGGCTCGAGTTCGTTAGCCGAGTAGGAAGGCGCGCTGAATATTCCAGGAGTGGGGAGTTGCTCCCCGAGAAGAGGCTGCTAAGGCGGCCAGCGTTGGCAGGGTCGCGGTAGTTTTCTAGTGGTCCTGCCGATATGCGACTGTGTTGATCATCGTGGGGGTTTTAATCGCCAGAACGCCAGACCGACATAACCCGTCCTTGCCTCCTCGAAGGAAGGTATGTATAGGAATTTTCCACATCAACCAAAAAAAGGGGTTCCATCAATCAAATTGAAATCGACAGTTCTACAAATGATTTCGTACAATTGTCACTAGTCAGTCTGATACATCTGGAGAGTTTATTGTATAAATATAACCGTGGTAGGGCTACGCCACAGTGTTCTCTGTTGCACGACTGGGCAGGTCTGTCCGGGTAAGTACCACGACCTCACAGAAGACCGGCGTGAAGTGGAAGTGTTACTCTTCTGCATTTCGTCTGGTGAGTGAGGCAGCAGGGGCTCACTTCATTAAAAGGTGATGGGTACATGCGTTATGTGCAACCCTACGGGTGTTGCAAATGTTCATGGGCGGTGGTTATCACTTAACATGGTGTTAACCACCAGCTCGTTTGCCACTATTTCATATAAAAAATAAGCAATTATGTATTATATATTATATAATAATTTGTACACTACGTAACTGGAGAATAATTATTAATAAATTATTCCTATTATTTTTATATCTAGAATTGTGTGGCTTATAATATAAAGGTGGATAAATATAACCATTAAAATCTTGGGAAATTAGATTAACAAGTTTTGTATATGAAACTAATAAATATATTAATCTACACTAAAATGAAAAGTTAGAGAACTTAATAATTATAAAAGATATTAATTTTGACATATATAAGACATTTATATATTGATTATTGTAACACAAGTGAAAATCCAGCACTTTTGCTGCTGTAGTATTTTTCATGATATAATTACGCAGACATAATTTTATTTTATTAATTTTAGTTTGTCACATTTATTTTTTCAAAACAATTGCAAAAATGTTTAATATGCAGCTATTGTGTTAGAAAAAAAATGCATTCTTTATGTTGCTCAAATTGAATTTATTATTCCTATTTCCAATTTATATTTCAAAGTTGGTTTCCTTTTCATTTTTGAAGGTGACAGTTTTTATATTTTTAATGGCGATATATTCTTATATCCACTTCTACCATCAAAATATTATAGTTTTACTTGAATATGTCTGACTATATACGACTTAACGATTTCAAAATAATACATTCATCTACATATTATATACCCAATGGTTATTTTGAAACATCTTCTACATACTCTTATAGCCTACCACTATCACAGCATAGAAGTATTTAAATACATGAATAAAATGAAAGGATACAATGAAAATGGTATTCAAACATCATATAATTTAAACTTTAACATACTTTAAGATTTTGTAGAAATATGATACAAATCATGAGGAAGATTGACAAAGTTAAGGTTAGAATATTTACACTTTATTTTGCAATACTGAGATTTGGTGCAATATTGTTATCATAACAAAGATGACAGCAGACCACAAATTAAACTTATTGTGCATATATATGTTGTTCTACAGAGTTGTTTTCATTCCCAGTTGACGGACAACATATTAATGTTACATGCACATGTAATTCAAATAATATGTGAATTATTTAAACATGAAATAATTCATATAATGACCACGATAAATTATTAAGTGTAAAGAATAGCTGAATACTACATTGCTAGAAACATTTTTGGAGATTCCAGAAAAATCTGTTTAACTTAAAATGAGAAATGTATCTAAAAAAAGACAAGGCATATGACTGTCAGCAATGTTATTGATAAGGATATAACATTGCCACAGCGGGGTCTTCGGTTTCGAAAGTGATCAGGACATCTTTGAACTTATCCAGAAGCTGCATGAGTTGTGATCGAGTTACATTCTCCATGAACATTATTTCTTCCAAATGCTGTTCACCACGGAAGTATCCTGGAAAAGGAGCACACAAAAACTAATTTAATTTTTTTTTCAATAATGAAAATATATAAATTTCAATTTAATTCAATAAGTATTTTAAATTTATATAATATATAATTTAACACACTTTTACAATCTTTCCAGAACCCCACGCTTTTCATAATTAACAATTTTTCTCATGTATTAAAATTTATTTAATTTACTTGTTGACTTTATATTGAGTCTAGGAAAATTCGTCGTACTTATTTTTTTTTTAACTTTTTAATCATTGAAATTTTTGTACTGTCTACTAATATCTTAGTCTTGAAATTCAACAGATTAAATTATTTCTTAATTTAAGAATGACGAATGTGACTCAATGTGGTCTACGAAGTAAAGAAATAATTAATTAATTGAAAAAAGCGTGCGGTTGTGGTTAAGATAAGGAATTAATTAATTAAAAAAATGGAATAAATATCTTAACTTCAGAAGTTGTGTTATGAAGATGATATGAAGTAGAAGTATCATCTATACGTCATTAACATGAATACACTTTTTTAAATTAAAATCTCAAAAATTCTGTGCTCTCTTATCTCTTTCAAAGTGGACAACTTGAAGTACATCTGCAATGTACCATGTGCAGCCCAGAACCCCAGAATTGTAACAATCGAGCCCTTGCCATACCTATATTGGGAGCTTGCCGAACGAAATACCCCGTTACCAAAACCCTAGAAGCTGTTGCGTGGTCCTACTAGGATCGCTGTCTTGAGCGGATCGCGTCAAGTATTTCCTTCGTACTTTTAGAATAATAAAAAAATAAAAGATACTGGCCACGCGGGCGGCGTGTCAAAAAAAAACCAAAGTAACGCACCCTTCTTGTGGAGGCGCGCGAGCAGCATGAGGTCGTCCGCGTCGCCGGCGGCGGGCAGCGCTGCGAGTGCGCTGCGCTCGGCCGCCGTGAACGCGTGCAGCGGCGAGCCCTCCGCGGCCCCCGCGCGCCACGCGCCCGCCTCGCACCCGCCCGCCGCGCTGCACACCGTCGGCGGCTGAAAGCTGTCGGGCCGATTCTAATGCAATCGATTCATACGCCTCACTCCTGTTACGATAAATACGCCCCACTCCTAGTGCAAACCCCCTCTGCACTAGGGGTGAGGCGTATTTATCGTAACAGGTATGTTGAGATGACAGACTGGAACTGTTACGAATAAACTTAAATAACACCCACACAAATTGCTCCTTAACACGCTGTGACAAAATTTTCTTTATTCATGCTTACGACTGTTACCTTAGAAAGAGATAAAAACTGCTTACACCTTGTCACAGTTGTTACTGAAAACTGTCAATGTTACAAGCTCTTTCTTTTTCTTACATCGCTCTTGTAGCTTTGTTAGAAGGAGAAGTATGGACGTGTTACCATAGAGTAACAGTTGTTACTATGGTAACAGTTGCAAAAATTGTCACAACATAGTATGAAATAACTGGCTGTGATTTTGTAAAAGGTATTTGTAACTATTACTTTTAAGGAACAGGAACAGACGTAGCAGGTCCAATACCTATTACTATTTAACCTGGTATAGCTCACTGCTACTCTGTACAGAATCTTGGGGCAGTCCACCACGCGGCCCCACTGCCAATTCTCGGACTTCACGTGTTTTCGAATTTTGTTTTTGTTATTATTCCGACAGTAGCAGGTTTTCTCACGCCGAGCACGTGTTAAGTCAGCACTTAAATTTGACAATTTCATCACCGGGAGTTGAACTCGAGATTGCTTGAATTAAAGACGAGCGCCCGGACACCGAGCTATCACGGTGTGGGGCGATTGATCTCGACTCAAATTCAATTATAGAAATAAATAAAAAAAAATTAGAGAGCATAACACTTACTTATTGATTGTCACAGTACTAATAACGATTCGGAAAAGAATAGCCACTGACTTGAGAAGAACCGGCGATAGAAACTCGGCACGACAATTTTTTTTTTACCAATCGTATGGAAATAAGATATAATATACAGCGTGTCGTAACCATCGCGACAATAAATGAACACACGTCTGACGCTACTTGCCAATAATCATAAAAAAATATTAACGTTAAACAAAATCCATAATTAAAAAAAAAATATTTTTCAAACAAACTAATTAAGTAAAAAAGAAACAAAATTTGTAACACCTATACAACTCGCGCCACAGCATCGCATTACAAGCCTCTCCTTCTAACAGTATGTTTTGTCTCTTTTAAACTCATTCAACCCATTCATATGCTTTGTGACCTTTACAAATGAACTTTACGTTACGCTTTTATAGGTATGGGTGTTCTAAAATTCTTTGTTTTGGAAAATTTAATAACTCTGTAAATATTGATGTTTAAAGAATTTAAATGTTTAATACAACTTTAAAAAGTTATCCCCTAATGTGAGTTCATTTACTGTCGCGATGGTAACGACACGCTGTATAGCGAGCCTGGAACGATCAATTCATTTCCAGTCTTATAATTTAAATAATCACTAATATTATAATAGGCTTTAACACATATTTAGACTTAAGGCACCGCTGCGTACGAGCTTCGACGCCCGGCGCACGATAACAGCCCGCAACGCGAGCGGCTCGCCGTGGCATCCGTGATTACGGTTACGATTCACATGCAATACCGTTAATTTATTGGTGTTTCCACGCCGATAATTATATTCGTTTGTATATAAACAGAAACAAATGTATTTATTTATATTACTGTCATAATATTATTATTATGCGCCGTGATCGTAAAGAGTGAATGTGTGTGAAGACAATAAGTGTTCCCAAGAACTATGAATGGTAATTAATCATTAGTTTTACTTACGATGACAAGTCGGTATAGCAACGTTAATAGAAACTCTTCGGAGGTGTTCCGTTACCACTCACCTCATTTCGCTTTGCAGCTTCAAGTTCAGCGACACGCCGTTCCTCTTCTCCGCGCCGTTGGCGGGCTTGTTGCCGCTCCGCCGCCACGGCGTCGCCTCGTCCGCGTCGAAGCGGTCCTCGTCGCTGCTCGCGTCCTTGTTCACAGCGTCCGTCTCCCTCGGCGGCGGGCCGAGGGAAAGAGACGGCGAATCCGGCGCCCGCTCGACGTCCGCGCCGGCGACGTGCTCCGAGCGTCCGTTGACGAGCTCCGAGCGTCCGTTGACGAGCTCCGAGCGTCCGTTGATGAGCTCCGAGCGTCCGTTGACGAGCTCCGAGCGTCCGTCGACAAGATCCGCGCGCGCGTTGACGTTCGGCGATATCCCGCTGTCGACGGAGTTCGGCTGTTTGCCGCCGTCGACCGCGTCGCGGCCGTCGACCACGTCGACGCCGTCGTACGAGTGGTTCGCCGAGTCGGCGTCGGCGTCGGCGAGCCGGTCGCGCCTCGCGTGCTCTGAGCCGATCACGATCGGCCGCGTGTGCGAGAAGTCCGTCTGGTTGAGGTTGTTCTCCGTGGGGTAGTCCTCGTCGGAGTCGGGGAAGCTGTTGCCGCTGTCCCGCAGCTCCACTGGGCCAGGCGCGTTCAGCTGCATCTGGTTCAGCGCGAACGTGACGCCGCACGTCGGGTTGTAGATGTCGTGCTTCTCGCAGTAGTGCTCCCTGCCGTCTGGAATCGTCCGCCGTTAGTGTTTATTGAATTAATTGTGTTCTGGCAAAACTTTTGTCGGAATGTTCTCGTGACCGGGAATTTTAGGATATTCGGTGTTTTAGTGGCATAATGACTGCCAATACATTCTTGTAGTCGGTGTAAAGGTCGTCTATATGAGATTTTGAAACTTTTGTATTTTTATTCTAACCTGGATCACGACCCCAGTGGGGCGAATTGAACTGCACATAGGTGTGCAACTGAAGTAAGAGGCGTCGTCGCAGCAGCCAGGCTACGACGCGTGCCAACCTCGCCCCTCCACCGCAACCCCCGCCAGCTCCCCCCACTCCTCGGGCAACATACCACAGCGGGGCAGGGAGAGAAAACTCACTTAGCATCTGCAATGAAACCAAATACATGATCAATACATAATTCAAAATCGTAAAACTTGTAAAATCGGTTAGAGTCCATTTCATAAGCTACGCAAATTAAAATATATTAAATTTTAAACTGTCAAGATTGTTGCTTTTATTTTTGAACAAAATTTGTTTATTTTGTGCATAAATAACAAAATACTACTGTTATTTCGTGGAAATGTAAATTCATTGTAAGTAATAATAATCCCTTCTGCATTCGTTGCAGATACGTAATATATACTTACTAAATGAAAGATTTGTTCATTATAATTTTTGACCACATTTGCAAGTGAGGGATAAAATTGATTTTACTAATTTTCTATAGATAAGAAAATGTGTAAACCAGAGAATGTGTAAACATACTTGCAATAAACATAGCCCAGGGAATTCCTTAGCGAATTCATCCAATAGTGGGGATTGTGTGTGAATGTTAGCGCCAGGAGCCACTACATACACATTGCCCTCGCAAAGGGGGTAGATGACTGTTGCCTTGGCCCAGTATACGAGATGACCAGTGAGCTGTGATACCTATAATAGAAAAAAAAATTCCATGACTGACTTTATTGCCCAGTATTCGAATCCTAGTGACGTAAATAGCAAATTTGTCACTCCATCTAGTGGGGGTCGTATAGCTGATTACGATTTGTTTATTGATTTTTGCTAATTATATTTGAGGCTACAAAGCTCAAAATCTTTGACCATCACCAAGTACCCCATTATGGTCGCATTTATTTATTTTTTCTTGCTGTTTGTATACCTAAGCATTTCGCTAGGTTAGTGTATTTAAGGTCAGCAGTGCATCTACAACCTCTTTGGTATTGTAGAAATCTAGAGGCGTCGGAAATTCAAATGAACCGTCAGCTCACTTGTCGACCACTAGTAATGTATAATGTCAACCCAAAAATTGAAGCCTATTCGGGTGCAGTGCACGTGGCCAAATACTGGTCAAACAAAAACTGGTCAAAGTAGCTATTTTGACTCAAAAAGAAGAAGAAATAGAATGTCTCGTATCTTGTATTAACTGATGTTTTTGCTTTCAGTCTCGAGACTATTAAAGCTTCATCTGACGCAGAACCGGTGGGCTAGCCAGAACCCACGGGTTTTAGCCAGAACCCACGGGTTTAGGCCCTCCGCTGTGGGTAGGGCCGCGCATGTGCTCATGCGTGCGTTTAACTACGACATGTCATCTAAGGGCCATCGAAGTTGCGTTGCGGACCGAGACCCCGATGGCCGTCGACTGTGTTTTTAGCTAATCGGTGGCTGGGGGCGGTGAGAACCGCCCTGGAACGCGGGTGTACCTTGTGTACGCGTTGTGTTGGTCTCGCCATGCTCGGAGGCGAGGGCGAACTATTGTGTTTGTTGTTACACTAGCTGTGGGTGTAGCGTTATCCGGCGGGAAATAGAATGTGTAACATCTATAGGGCACATTGAACCAATGTTATTATCAATCTTAACATTAGCTATCAATAAAATATGCTCTCTGAGGGTATTACTTAGCTAAAATTGCTTATGGTAGATATATTTCATGAATAACAACAAATACACATTAAATGTAAACAATGTTTTATTCCTTCAATAAGGTGTTTAAACAAGGAAAATATTCTTTAATAAGAATAATTAACATGTTATGACAAACTAAATGATGTCATTAAACAACAAAGATATCATTTATCTTGATCTATGTCAATGTTTACTGTTTTCAAACCATTTAGTGTTGGTCATGGTTTCATTAATTATTTCATCATTTGTTAATGGTCTCATAGTACTAAGCAATATTAATTGTAAAAACAATATGATGTTTAACAATGATATCGGGAGTATGTATGGTATAAATGCAATCTTTTAAAAACGAAACTAATTTTTATTTTCCTCTCCTAACATAATATTATTATCTTTTCCTTTTATAATTTTATTATCTATCCCTATTCAATGAGTAAAATTCACATGCAAAAATTGCTATAAAAAACACCAATATCCGCATGTATTAACATATTCACAAATATTCAGACACAACTTGTTATGTAGTAAACAATAAGTTAAAAAATGTGCTAACAGGGATATCAAATTAACATTGATGAATATGTCAAAAATGAGTACATCTCTATTTGTATCTTAAGAAAAACAATATTTCACACTTTTATTAAACTGTTTGAGGATACCCTTACAAACATGTTTACTGGCATCATACTACAGTACCTGGATGACCGAGTTTTGCTCGGGATTTAAAAAAAAAAACTAAAAAGATAGTGAATAAATGATCGTGACACGAACGGCGGCCTTCTGTTCTGGTGCCGCCCGATTACCAACATAGCTATTATTTTTTTTTCGACCAAATTTACCGTCACATTCCAATGATATTTTTCATTCTCTGAAAACAGGGATAAAACGACATTTTCTAAAAATGAAAACTAGCTAGATCAATTTTTCGCCCCCGAATCTACGCACATACCAAATTTCAGGAAAATCACTGGAGGCGCTTCCGAGCTTCCGATTATATATATAAAAGATTTGCTTGTTTAGAGGTATAGATAGATAGTGAAACACTGCTTTTAATAATAACAATGTACTTAAACTAGTACAAATGCCAAATTATAATTGTGATAATTAGCCTCTATAAAGTTCTGTTCACTAAAGGTAATATTTTTTCATTAAAATTATAAACAAAAGCCTACCTGTGTAAAAGATAAGTCTGCTTCGATTGCAAGTGTCTGAAGACTCTTCAGAGGGCTATACAGTTTAATTAATCTTAACAAAGCAGGGCTGCCATCAAGAGGGATTGATGCTAACAGATAATTTGGATCAACCTAAAAAAAATAATGGTAATTAATACCCAAATTTGTTGATTAAAGAAATTCTAGTTTGTAAATCAGTGGAATACTTATAACACACCAAGAGCAGCATGCCATGATAAGGCCTGAGTTTCTGTAAGCATTTGTCAATGGTTTCTGGTTCGATGATAAGACCTCGATTGTGAATTTGATGTGCTTTATGAGGTAAGCAAAATGATAAAAGCACCCACTTGTTTATACGGACTTGCACAATGCCTGTAAAGAAAAACAAACTATTAAGAAATGCCTGTATAGAGTATCTACAATGGACTTATAATAAAATTAGAATAATCTAAATCTCAGTATGAATAGGTTGATTGAATGGAATTCTACCAATGAGACAATAACAAAGGAAATTAAAAAATTGTTGTAGAAGTAGGTGACATAAAGGGAATTTGTAAGAAAGCAGTTGGCATAAATTTTATCACAAAAAAATATACATAAGTAGAACATATCTGATATTTTTGACTGTTTGACTTTGTGCCCTTTAAAATTATTATAACATTTTCGAAAATGATTATAACTGATCACCTGTGGAACTAAGACCTTCAAACACAGCTTTCATGGATCTTGCCAAAGAGCTTCTCTGCAATATTAGGTGGAATGCTGACTTAGGAGTTTCCTCATTACAATTTTCAGCACTGTAAGTTGTTGAACTAACAGAGTGACGCAAGTTCTCTTCATCCTCATCGTTTTCTCCTGAATTTATTTCACTATCAAGTGCTGAAACCTCATCATGAGCTGCCAACTAAAATTTAAATATTTATCTCATCACATCAAACACAAATTTTAAATAATCTACTAAAGTAAATAACATAATAGTAAATGTGTAAATGGTTTTTGGATAATAACATAGGTATGGTTTATTTTATATTGATCTCACCATTATCTTCATTTCTTCAGTCAAATAAGAGCACCTTTTTTCTTCATGCCTCAAAGCCTTGCCTAATCTCTTGCTCAGATCATAATAGCATTTAACTACAAATAAAAGAAATATTTTTGAAGGTTAGTGTACAGGTAATTGAGTAAGATGTAAGTGGTACATGGTACCACTGCACCGCAGGGGCATGTGCGTTATTCTTACACAAATATTTTAAACTGACATAGAAATATTAGCAAAACAATAATTATGAAGTAAAAATCAGAGATATCTGGATTTTGAGAAAAATAAATAATTAAATCTAGTTTAAGTGAGGTCGCCCCTTAAATAGGAAAATGTACACCCAATCAGTTTGTATTAAATCAATTTTGAACCTAATTTATCTCAATTTGTAAATAATTATGTTCTAAGTATCCTGTATTAGTGGCATCGGCTCAATTTGTTGAGCTCCTTAATGTATAAAATTGCACAAAGAACCTAACCTATCAAATTGAAATAATTGAATAATGAAACTAATTTATCTTCATTTATGAATAAAAATGTTTTTAAGTATCGCTATATTCTCCAACAAAGTAAAACCATAAGTTCCCTCTTAAAGTTAATGGCAGTTTTTGAATGCAACCTAATGGTGGATTTCCTTAGAATTTCAAATTTTTTTTTTCTGAATATTTAAATGTCTCCACTTATTATTTTTACTTCATAATTATTGTTTCTGTAATGTTTCACTATCAATGGAAAATATTTGTATACAAAAAACAACTCATACCCCTATTGTTTGCCATTTTTCATTTGAATAGAATAATAGAAAAGGGTATTAGTTTCTTTAAGTTTCCGGGTTTTTTTCGACGTAAAAAAAAATGTAATTAGGTACTGAAAAATCATTAATAAAATACTCAACAAGCAGAATTTGGCGGTCGCTTATAGTTTTCGAGAAAATAAATTATTTAAAACGTAATTTTCACTAAGAAAGTTCACCATTTTTACCAATTTGACTTCAAAAACTGAATACACAGTACCGCTAACATGAAAAATATAGGAAGTGGGCGAAGATTAATTTTCTTTTAATTTTAAGAGTGACAGATCTGACACAGAGCGAACCGACTCGGATAGGTTAGGTTAGAAGGTTAAGGCGGGAGCGTTTTTTTTTTTATGACCACCCAGAAAACTTTAGTGTAACAGTACTTTTAGTATTTTTAAAGACTGTTTTTTAATAATGCGAAGTTTATAATTTGGAAAAGTGTGTGAATTCGTAAATTTATACATGTTGTCAAACACAAAATGGCGGATTAATTTAGTGAAAATAACAAGTTTTAAATATATTTTTTTTCTCGAAAACTATAAGCGACCACCAAATTCTGATTGTTGATTATTTCATTAGTGATTTAACCGAATAAACTTTTTGTTTGGTCGAAAACACCCGGAAAATTAAGGAAATTTTTACCTAGAAAAGTATGAAACAGTACTAAGCAGGTTCTAATTTAACATTTCTTTAGATTGCTTTAAAATGGATAAAGAAATAATATACTAACCAATAGAATGACTTGCTGAGGCTTGCAAAGCAAAAACAATATTGATAAGTATCATAGCAGCAGTATCATCTTTGTTTGTTCTGTAAGGTAAAAGTGTTGGATGCCCAACAAACCTTACATCATTTACTTTCAGTTCAAATTTTCTGTTGCAAAGCTCTGCCTTTACAGCAAATAATGTTGATAACATTTCATCTGTAAATCCACTAAGCTGACCTAAAAATTAAAAGTATATCTCATTCATACTATTATATTATATACTATGTTTTACATAATAATATAGAGTAACTGTTCAGCAGTTTACGCACTCAATATGGCATTAAAAAAATTTTAATCAAAAGAGAAAAATCCCATTTGAAATAATTAATAAGCAAAATTCTGTACGACGCAAAAGTAACAGGTATATATTATTTTTTAGCTTGATTTTTATTTAAATCAAAAGGGTTTCAGAAGTAATAAGACTACATGTGGTGTATACAGTAATTTAGGAGAAAAAATAAAATCACAAGCTAAACCTTTGCATATATTTGATGTTTGTGACTGCGGATTTTGCAACAGATCTTCAGTGCAATTAACTGCGTAGGGATTGTGGCGGCCGCATTTCTTCTGCTTGCTTTCATCTTTATTTTCAGATGTATACGGATACCTAAATAGAAGCCTATCTCCTTTACTATCAGACTTCACGAAAAATATGTTCAAAGGATTGACTTCCATGATAATAGTATTCAATCAAAATATTATAAACACTGCAAACATCGATGCGAATATATGATTTTGCGACATTAATAAATAATTTATTTTAGTTGCACTTCTTTTATGCATCTTTTCGAGAAATAGTTAAAAAATTGGTTCCACACAACGAATAACCTGATGCATTGTTTTTGTTTAATTAAAAATAATATTTTTTACGAAATATACGAACTGGAAACGATACAATATTGACGCGTAGAATAAAGATAATCTAAAGAAACATCAAACTTGACGTTTTGATAATTGGCCTGGCACAGATTCAATTCAGCAATTTTTTTTATAAGTGTAGTTTGCTGTTGTGCATGACACCGACACGATGACGCTCTGCGACCTATGAAACTTATTTTTATATTTAGGAATCTAGATTTAGAATATAGAAACCAACAATTTCGTATTAGGCTTCGAATCGGAGAACTTCGACAAGCCGTCAAGTGCGCTGACCCATATTTGTGTTTTAATCAAAGATCTTATACTTAGTAAGTGTAAGATCTTTGGTTTAAATAATGTATTGTAAGCCACGTAAAGCGTGTTTGACATTAAACTGTTCAGAACTCTGTTGCCTCATCGAGGTAGTGATGCAGTGTGGGGCAGTGGTGGTGATTAATTCACATAAATAATAAATCATACCCGTTTAATTACGCTTTGACGGATCTTTACCACATCCTGGGCCCTAAAGATGAGCGTTTCCTAAGTATCGAGAGTTTCCCGACCTTCTAGTCCCTGTACACCAGTGAAATACCTAAAGATAAATTCGTGCTGTAAGCCAATAACACATACGTTACGGCTATACACGAACGATTGTATCAAAATTCATGTTATTATACTGTTATAATCTGATTTAGGCTATTTTTAGTGGTTATTTGAACTAACCGTAAAATTTTTCAGCCAACCCATTCTGCGGGGATGCCAGGTCAAATATTTAGGCTTTAGGCTAGACAAAACAACTCACATTCAAACAACAAAATAGCACCAGCTACAAAAGCAATAAGGATAATCACAAAATGTGTCAACTGACACTTCTCTCACGTGCGTCTAGTAAAATGACACTAGATGCAAAATCCATGTATACAAATTCCAATCGGCTCGTTAGCTCAGCGGTTAGAGCATCAAAATTAGCAATACAAATTCCAATCATTTGATACAACCTCAAGTAAAATCAATACTCTAGCTAATTATTTAAAGAAGCATTGATAAGACATGTTAAACGAATTCGTCACTGAAACCCATTGAAAAAAGAATTTTTTTTTTGTGTGAAAAAGAAGCAAATGAGCCGCCGGACCACCACCCATTGAAATTAGTGAAAGTCTGCCCCGGCTACCTCACTCACCAGACGAAACACAGAAGTACGATAATTCTATCTCATACCGGTCTTCTGTGAGTTCGTAGTACTTACCCGGACGGACCGGCCCATTCGTACAACAGTGAGGACTACAAGTAGGTTTGGATAGAAACCCTCTCGGTCCATGCATTCGAGACGAAAGAAGTTTCTGGTACTTTCGGCCTCGACGACGAATAATGCGAGCGTTAAGCACGACGCATCGTGGAAAGGGCGCGTAACCAAATGGGTCTATGAATGAAACTGCAACACCGTACTTATAGCAGTGTATACTGCATTCACTTTCAAACTTACACCAGGCACGGCACTTCCAGCGGGGAACGCGAAGCCCCGATTCGCAGCCTACCAAAGATATCCTTAGGACCAAGGCCACTTTTAAATCACACACACACACACACGGGTCGTCCACACACTGCCCTAGGAGTCGGGCAGGTGCAGGTGCGGGCATCGTGGAATCGAATCCCATAACCCGGGCATTGTCTCAAGGGGTGCACCGTCCCCCCGGTCAATGGCTCCTAATATCGGACGCGAACAGTATGGAAATAACGCGTGAGTCTAAGTTTACGTTATCCTATATGATGTGCCATAGGCGTTTCGGATGCGCGTATAAATGTGCCTACATTGTTTACTTTCAACACTACATAACTAATAAATTAGTCATGTAGTGTTAATTGTTTACAATAGTCGACAACTATTCATATACGCACTCGCCAACTATGACAACAGATTTCTCCGTCGCCATAGCAACGGCGTTGCAATGGACATTACTATATTGGCTTCGGTCCCGCTGTCTGCCATTCAATGTTTTGCCGTCGGAGACTTAGATGTGGTGTTCGCGTGAGTATCCGGGCGGTTGTGAACCGACGTTAAGGACGATCCGCCATTTATCCATCCATTCCGGAAGCATGTCAAGCAGCCTCTGCACCCTGCTAATTGCAACTTCGAGCCAACGTGATGACGTAAAATACGCGCTGTCGTCGGCGTACAGTGCTAAGTGGACCCCTCTTTCACCCTCCCTGAGGCGACCTTCCAGGGTGAGGATGTCATTGGTGTACACCGCGTACAGAATTGGGCTAATACAGCTTCCCTGTGGTACACCGGCCTCTATGCTTCGTACATCCGAAACCGAGTTTTCTACCACAACATAAAATTTCCTGTTACGTAAGTAGGATGTTATTAGTTTGATAATTGCATGTGAAATTTTTGTGCATTCTAGTAATTTAAAAGTAAGGCCTTGATGCCACACTCGGTCGAAGGCTTTTTCGATATCTAAAAGCACTCCGACCGATTTGCGTCCGACGTTTTTATCGAAAACTAATTCATGTAACACCCTAGTTAATTGGGTTGTCGAAGAGTGACCGCCTCTAAACCAATGTTGTTCCGGGCGAAGCTCTATGTGTGGCCATATTCGTTTAAGAAGAAGTCTTTCGAACAACTTTCCTAAATGTGATAGAAGTGTTATAGGTCGGTAGCTTTGTGGTAGACGCCTATCTTTACCTGGTTTCGGTAGTACGAAGATTCTTCCGGTTTTCCATAAATCCGGAAAGTGCCCCGCGCGAATACTACTATTAAAAAGCCGCGTAATTTCAACGATAGTTTTACGGGGGAGCTGCCTTAGCGCCGAATTCGGAATCCCGTCATGCCCAGGGGCCTTGCGCACCGGTAGGCGCAACACGGCTCGCCTCACCTCAGAAGGCGACATAAATGCCACCTCGCTGAGGTCCGGCGCCGGGCCCGACAAGAACTCTTGTACGCGATTATCCACTAGCCTGTGGTGCGCGCCGACCACAGGGTTTCCTACATTCGGAGGGCTCAATTTAAATTGGCCCTCGAGGTGTTCGGCTAGGATGTCCGCGCGCGCTTGAACGCTGAAGTGACGCAGCCCCGCTCCATCGACCAAAGGACATACTGCCGTTTTGACTCGAGAAAGCTGCTGGTTCAGGAGGTGGAGCGACGTAGGATGCTCTCCTGCGTCATCTGTGCGTCTACTCCACAACTCACCGCGGTGGTTTTTCACCTATTCCGACAGCTTCTCTGAAAATTTATTTAATTCATTCTTGATTCGAGAGCAACGATTGCGCTGCCATAGCTTTCTCAATGCCCTTTTGCGCTTGATTTGCGCATAAAGGTGCATTGGTAGTTTACTTTTAAATCGCTTACGACATGTTGTTATTTTTATTTAAGAGTGACTTTATAGACGACCATTCGTTTATTACTAGATTTCTTGAATTAATTATTTTTGTAAATCTTGTATTTCATAATCCACTAAACTGTTTTCGTAATTTAATTTTCGTAAGCGATCGATCGACATAGGCATTTCGTGATTAAATCACAATATTTTATACGGATAGTATTATTTTCCACGGATAGGTTTCACTATCGATCACGGTCCAAGCTGCGGTTCAAAATTCAAATGTCCATCTGATTGGTCTTTGGGATAGTGTCATGCCCCTGACGGTACCATAGCCACAATACTAGTCGTATATAGGCGTTGGCGGTAAGCCCTATAGTCCCGGGTTCATAGAATAGGGCTAAGGTATCCCTTGCCGTGGTCTCGTGCTGCTTCAAGAGGATGAGGGAATCGGAGAAGGTTTATCCTTCTCCGAGACGTGCTCAGGCGTAGTACCGAGGGACACCGGTGCGTTCCATGGGAGATCCCGGAGTCCCTCCAAATGTACGGAAGGCGGCCTCCGAGGGGGTTTTAGTGGGTAAGAACCCCACATAACCCTGTCATATAAAGTGACAGGGTATCTCGAAGATTTCCCCCCTGATACAAAAAAAAAAGGCGTTGGCGGTAATTTTTGACATAGATGCACATCATTATTTCGCAAACAACATGCGATGTCAACATCGTTGTTTTCTACTATACTGGAGGTGTCCAACATAAATTAACGTCGCGATGTGAAATGGTAGTTAGTTACTACCTCTTACCGTTGGTGTTTGTATAGACAAACGTGAGTAGTACAACCTATGTCGATGAAACAAATGGAATAAAATTAGAGGAGTTGTTATTATTTCGTCGTATGATGAAAAAAGGAGAGAGAAGGAAATTTTTAAATTTAAAAATATTATTTATTCAGATTGTACAAATTTTGCAGTTGCATTTAAAAAAGCGACAATCATGCATCGTTCGATGTCGATGATCTACCATCAGCAGTACTCGGTAATATTCGTTAATAATTCGGATGCCGGAGGTATCCATTGTTAAGCATTTTGCCAACGGATGTCAACATCCCAAATTGATGTCGGAGATCAACATCGTTATTAGAAAAACGATCTCTAGTCGTGTAAATGTATTAAATTTTTCGTTAAGCCAACCGGTCTTGTTCTTAGCACCGTGTTGTTGTCATGCGCCAGCTAAGTTGTTCTCGTAAATCCTCGGATCTGCCTGCGGACCTCTTCCAACCAAGCTATCTATGCTCGGGCTATCAGCAAACTGCAAAAAGAACATATAAATTATTGGTTGAAATACTACTAGTAACTTTTAAAATAATTTCGACCTTTTACACAAAATTCGGATTGGCAACACTGATCTGTTAAATTCTAACTGAATGTGAATGGCAATGGCAACAGAATTCTATTGTCAAGTGAGAAAACACTATCGCCGCAGAAATAAGGAAATTGTATAATTTATCATAAAATGGCAAATAAAGTCGACAACAATTTTAAAGTGAACCCCGAGAAAGTTCCTCTAGAAACAGATCAAGGTATTTTGGAAAGCGAAGAAAGAAAATGGGGAATGCCTTTAAAAGAAGTTTACAAACATGGACTCGCATTTTACAAAGGTGAATTTTATCTTTATTGATTAATTGTATTAAGTGGTAGATGCATTAAAAGAACATGGTATAACAAGTTAGAAGTCTGACTATTTATCGTGTTTTTGTCGTTTCGTTCACTATAAATCTTATCTAATCAAAGGCAATGCTCCTATAACATACACAATTATTTAATTTAGATATCAATCGCAACTATTTAAGCTCTTGTTAATATAAAAATAATAGATTAATAATATATATGCATAATTTGCGATGTAATATAGGATTACATGTAAGGGTAGACAATGCTAATATAATACACCTTTGTGATCATTTGCTTACATGAAATTACAGTATGTAAGAAAATTGAAACTTAATCTAATTAGCTTATTGGTATTTTATTTTCTGTGACTCCAGATAATACATAAGATTTATTGAATTTCACATAAGACAAAATAAGATAAAGTATAATCTAATTTTATGTTCATTCTCCCAGTGTGGCTTGTAGGAAAAAACAATTCTTCTAGTACTATAATATTTATTTCTCTAAATGAATGTTCATTGTTTTTATATTGACATAAGAAAAGAAAGTTGTGCTTGCCTATAGGGGTATTTGCTTGTAGAACTGACAATAGGCTCATCAAATATTATATTATTTTCTGTATTCTATATATATTCTCTGTATTATATATTCTCTGTATTATATATTTTCTGTATTCCTTAATACAAAATACATGGATACAAAATATATTTTTTTATGTGAGAAGGTGTTAAGTGATGACTTCCAACAATGGACGTTTGCAAATCCCCCTAGTGTTGCAGTTGCATTGCCACCTTTTAATAAAGTCCAGACCTTACTCACCAGACAAAACGCAGAAGTATAAAGCCTCTACTTCACATGTACCACAATCTCTCATTCTAAAATATAAATAAAGACAAATATATGATTAATTACTGCAATATATAAATTTCTTTTATGTGCCACAAAAATCATTTGATCATAATGAATTTATGTTGCTTATAAATAAGTTAGATTTTGTGTGTATAGTTACAACATAATAGCTGTAACCTATTTAAAATTGTTTAAGGAAAAAAAATGTGGTAGTATATAAATATAAAGAGGTGTTAGCAACAAATTATTATAATATGAGGTTGTTCACCCGATGATAAATATTTAGTAAAGCAGCACCCTTACAAATACCTATAATATCAGTAAATGTTGGTTTGTAGTAACAATTCTAACCTTAGGGAGAGTGCCAGCCATTAACTCGTCCTCTGCAGAGGAAGTGCAAAAGTATATTAATTTCATTTCATAAGGTGTTGTAATTCACCTAGCTAGCCATTGGTACCACTGCAGAACCCACTTGGTCATGGCTATGGTGTGTAACATGCCTTTCTTTTTTAGTAATAATAATTAATAATTATAAATGAAATTTGCAGACAAGGAAGGTAAAGCTATGCACTTGAGTTATGAAGATAAATTAAAACTTGTGGCTTACACACAACAAACATCACATGGACCATTAGATATAAATTCAGCACCACCCCTTGGAGTTTTGGATGTTATTGGTCGGGATAGAAGATCAGCTTGGCAAGCTCTAGGACAAATGTCACAATTTCAGGCTATGGCTGGATTTGTGCACACTTTAGACAGGTTTGTAAAATTAGGCAGTATATAAGGACATTCATTATGATTTAATTTTATAATCGTCATTTAATATCAGGTCTGCAGTTTAAGTCTTACAGTATTGACAAAAAGATATGTCTTAAAAATTGAAAAAACTTTGTAAAGAACAAATGAGTATTTAATTAGTTGGTGACAGTCAGAGTTATCTCAATTGTAGCAACATTGAAGAGCAATATTTTTAATAGTTATGAGTATTTAATATGAAAAATATTTCAGGCTATGTCCACTATTCCGACCATACTTAGAGGCAATACAAAAGGACTTAGAGGACAAGAAGCAGCAACAGTAAGTGTTTAAATGGCATTGAATGAATTCATCAGAAAATCAATGAATTCATTAGAAATACTATTTATAATTTTTTTTACTGCTACATTTTATTTCAACCTGTATATACAGTGAAAAGACATTTTTTTAGGATATGTATTCAAAATGGTTGTAACAAAAATAAATTATTATTCTTTTTCATTTGTACAAATTTTATAAATAGAAAGGCTGAGTTCATATATTGATGTTATATAATATATACTTTAATCAAATATTATTTATTATAGATTAAAAAAACATGAGGAAGAAAGGGCCCATTTGGAATTACAGAATAGAATAATATTAGAAAAGCAAAAACAACAGAGTACAAAACTCACTGAGGAGCAACAAGTGTAAGTTTGGAAATAAAAAAAGATACAAATTAACATATCTCTTTTCAACAATATCACAAATCACTGTTACTTTATAATTCACACTAATTTAAATTCATGAAAATTTTCTTTTAAGCAGGCAAAGAATAAAGGATGCTTTAAATGCGCAAACATATGACCAATTTCTTGAGTATGCTCAACAACAGTTTCCTGGTAACTTTGACCAGCAAGCGGTCCTCATAAGGCAACTACAAGACCAACATTACCAACAATATATACAACAGCTTGCAGTAGATAAGAGACTAGCAAATTCCAATTTAAAGAATAAGTTAGACGATGATAAAGAAAATGAAAATTCCTTAGAAGTGACAACTGAGGACTCTAATTTAAATATTTCTGATGAAATAGAATTTACAGTTAACAAGTTAGTATTTAACATTGATGACATTATAACATTTGTTAGTCTAATAGTATTAATGCTGGAAAAGATATTGTATAATATGTTCAACTGTTGGAATAAGAGCCTACTGTGTTATACTCACTGTTGTATAAAATATAGGATGGCTTGATAGAGATAACACCTTGCTGTTATAGAAGTCGAGCTTAAAGCAAAAGAGTTGAAATTTTAGTGTTTCATGTGATTACTGCTGTTGCTGTTTTATGTTAAAACCTGGCAAGAGAGCAGACTGTTCATCTTACATAAAGTGATTATCGCCACCCATCTACATCACCTGCCAGACTGCAAATGAATTCCCAACATTAAAAAGTGAAACAAGATAGTATAATACGTAATTTCAATTCATACCAGTCTTCTGTGTGACAAAGATGAGCCCATTTATGCCATTTATGCCCATTTATGCCAACATCTTTAGCAAAATAAGGTTCAATGGATTGTGGCCTTCACCTATCATGGTAAATGGTGCAATTAGAATTTTTGAAATAAAAAAATAAGTTCATTCAAAAGAAAGTCTATGTGAAGGACGCAGGACGTAATGTTTTCGGTAAAAATCTACAATTTATGTACTATACAAAGTATTGCTTCTGCTGAAAATTCATTTAAGGACCAGATCAAACAATGAAAAAATATCATACCACCTCATGATTAATATGTTTCAGATCCATGCAGACATCAGACAAGACACAGATATCAGAGTATAATGAAGAATCCAAAGCTGAAGAAGAATCTGAAGATGGTAAGTAATGGATTGTTATATTTAACAACTATTGGTAATAAAATTTTTAGATGAATCAATTTAAGAAAATTATATCGTCATGTCAACGTGTATCTGCTTAAATCTGATAGCAACAACTATTTATTATGGTTGTCCGATTCAATGACTCCATGGCATAGTTGCCAAGGTATTGGCTTCGGCGCCAGGGGTCATGGATTCGATTCCCACACAAGACAACTATTTGTGTGAACCACATGTAGTTGATTTTTGTTATCTGGGTTTGCCTTACCTTTGTTGTTATTCTATTGAAAGGGTTGCCCCCTGTTTTTGTAGGGAAGACTACAATAGATCTTATGAAATCTTGTCTTGTCCGGTGCTTGCTATAAAATTTGTTATTTAATTTGCAGACGGTTTCCCCGCGGTGGAGGAGGCGAGGATGTGGACGCGCGGCGACATAGGTCTGTTCAAAGAGTCGGCACGCGCTGGCGGCGGCCGGCTGACCGTGGGCCAAGGCGAGACCGTCACCGTAAGGGTGCCGACACACCGGCGCGCGCGCTGCCTCTGCTGGGAGTTCGCCACGGACAACTACGACATAGGTGAGATGGTGGCCTTATATACAAATGTAACTGGCCGGAAATACAATTAAGAAATATTTTTTTTTCTTTCCTTCCACAAGTGACTTTGCCAATAAATCAGTAATTTGAAATCAAATTGATGAGAGAAGGAAATTTACTTGACACAACACTCATTTAAGATACATAACACACAGTGTTTATAATTTTACTCTTGGTTGTCGACGTCTTTAAGTCATGCCAAAAATCTTTCAGCAGAATGTGTGAGTAAAGACTAAAACGCCGATGACGATTTCCAGGGATGAACAAGAATATACAATAAACAAGAATACAGAATAAAGTTATACACACCCGACCCTAAAAAAAGTAGAGAGTTATTCCACTGTTGATTGAAAATCCTGATGGCGCTGCGATCGAGAGATACGTCAACATCACCTATATTTCTTAAAACTTCACTCCATTTAGTTTTCAGAGTGTAAGGTTATATCTGAGTTTGAATATTTAACGTGCATTTAAGCGGCGCTACTATCGTCATCTTTATTGCACCAGTATCGATAACAAAGTTTTGCCATACCTATTAATTGGTAAGCGTATATGTAATGTTTTGTTCTATGCCTGATGGCCCTGATAAACGAATAAATGAATTGGACATATTTATAGTTCAACATTGTTCCAGGATTTGGTCTTTACTTCGAGTGGAGCAAATCGCCGACGAGCGAAGTCACAATCCACGTGTCGGAGAGCGACGAGGAAGACGTTGACGACGATGGCTACGGAGACGAAGGTATCCTTAAGCTTAAGTTAATACAAGTTTCATCGAATTTGCTTGTAATGCAACAAAAAAAATATTTTATCCTCACGTAGCACTCAAAAACCTAAGGCGGGGTTCGAAAAACTTCGAAGTAATATTGTTATCATTGTGAATGAACGGTTTTTGCTCTTAATATGATGAGAATAAATTTGAAAAAGTAGTTGTAGTCTTTGTAGTTGTATAAATAATTAGTACCTGCCTTTCGAGCTTATAATTTATATGATTTGATACTCTCTTAAATCTATATTTTATTTTTAATTCATTGCACATACCACAATTTCTTTTCACGCCCCAGTTTAGAGAATGATAGAGGCATTAAGTCTGCCCGTGGTTATTCCTATATACCTTACGTATTTGCAATAAATAATAACATAGAAGATCCAGATCGAATTTTCGAAAATTTAATTTTTTAATAATTAATGAATAGTAATAAACGTGGAGCAATTACGGATTCTAATGGAGCATTTCAAGAGCAATTAATTGGCATATTGTTTAATTAAAAAAAATATTCTGTGCTAACTTCCTTCAGGACATAGAAGAAAGGTGTTTGATATAAATAAATTGCATTGTCAAACGGTCCTAATATTAGCAAAATAAAATAAAATGCATGTGTTTAATAAAATATTTGGGATCCAAGCTGTAACCCTCAATCAGATTCCTTGTACCTCTACAGACTGTTTAGTCTTGTTCCTTGTTAATATATTGCCATAGATTTCTTTTATGGGAGAAGGTGGCAAGCAAGCTGGTGGTTCACCTGATGTTAAGTGCAGGAACCTATCACGGCCGTCGTAGTATATCCATGGATCTGTTCATTCATGCAACAGCGAAGACTGTTGCGTGGCCCTACCACAGTTAAATAGATATTATGAACTTCTGTTAATGTACCTTTTCAGAATTCACCATTCAGAACAACACTACTGATCCGGAAATCGGTGGCGAGAGACGCGCGCTCAGCCACTCCCGGCCTCTAGTGAGCCTCGTAGTGCCAATCTATCGGCGCGACTGTCATACAGAGGTATCTTTTCTATTCTTTAAAGACCCACACATACAAACAAAGAAAATGTATCGTATGCTTTATTAAAAATGTAATTTAAAAAAATATTTTTAGGATTTTTAGACTCGCCCAGTTTGTTGCATATAATGTTCCTTGTCCATTTGCAGGTGTATGCGGGATCGCACACCTACCCAGGCGAAGGAGTATATCTGTTGAAATTCGATAACACATACAGCCTCTGGCGATCGAAAACGTTATATTACAAGGTATATTATACTCAGTAAAGTTACATTTATGAAAGATTTTATGACCCATGACAAAATTTATAGAAAATTTAAGCGAATATTCAGTTATTTGTTATAAAGATAATATTATACTTTATATTACTGCCTGTAAAGTTGTTTTAAAAGTGCAATAAGAGCTTAAATAGAATGCTTAAGAAAGATGTTAATGTAAACTTAACAATTGAGTATTGTTTTACTTATATAAAATAGTTTCTTTTATTTTAGAATTATATATTTTATATTTCATTATGTTAATTTATTAAAATTTAGTATATTCAATATGTTTTGTTATTCAAGTCAATTTGATTTCGAATTTATTTCAAATTTATTATTATTTCAAATTAAAAAAAAAATGTTATAAAATCAATTAACATAATATTATGCACACTATTACTAATCATCAAGTCCTGATTAAAAATTACTTGTAACACATTCTGATTCAGACACAAATACATTAAAAACGTAATTTGAATTTGATATTATGAGTACATGTTTTAAAGTCTTTATTTGTAAAAATTAGATTACATACAACTTAAATTAAATAACCATATTTTTAAATGTATTTAACATATGGTGATAACTGTTAAAGTTTTGTCTGTAAAATATAAAAGATATTTATATATTTTTAACATCATATTAATTTTGTGTGTTACATACAAAACAAAGTGCCCTTGCCTTGTTAATTTTGGTCTTGAATTGTATAAATATGTCACGTAAATACTATGTGTTTTGATTTAAATTTATGCATTTTACTAATTTAAACGCATTGTGATAACCGTTACTGCTTTATTTTATTCAGATGAGCATAATATCATAATTAATTAGTCACTCACGATTCCTAACACTTGTATACATAAATAACATATAAATAGTATTAAAGGCATCTTTAATGATAGTTAAGTGAAAGAAATTAGGAAAATAATCAAAAAATAAAATAACACCACTATTATCCAAGTATAGTGATTTCAAACACAATATTTAATTTTCAAGAATATAATGAAATATTTTATGATAGCTTAAATTATTATGTTCCCAATGAATATACTATAATAGAACTCAGTGCCATATCTAACACAATAATATATTATATTGACCTTTAAGGTTGTAACTATGACAATATGTTCCTGTTATTTCAACTATTGGCAACATCATCAAATTACAATCAGTTATAACTCCAGAGCGACAGATAGATCTTTAAGATTTCCAACCACTTGAGAGCTGGCTCAAAAGTTTTGAAGGTTTGAGGAAATAAGTTGTTAATACCAAAAAAACTTATTTTTAAACTAATAAGAGCATTATGTTTATTTCGGCAGTATTGTTTATAAAATGAAACCTTAATTTGTTATCACAGGAACAGTGTTTGCAGTACTTAATTTATCCACAATGTTTAAATTTTCAGGTTAATTGTTAGAAAATATGTAGAAAGATTTTTAGATTATCGTTATATAAAAATTAAGCGTCATTTTAAATGACTTGTAGTAGCGTGTGTGTAATAGTATTTTAGCGCGACATTAGAAATTAGTTGCATAAATCCATTGACAAATTTCCCATGAAAGAATTTTTTTCTATTCTTTAAAGACAATTCGTGCTTTGCCTTTATTAATATAAGCTGAAAAATTAAAACTTGAAAAAATCTATGGTTGCGTTTGAAAATTAAATCTAATATATAAAATTCACATGTCACGGTGTTTGTAATGAACTCCGAAACGGCTCGAACGATTTTGTGTGCATATCGGCCAAGTTGGAGGAAAGGACAACATCTATTTTTCATCCCCTAAATGTTAAGGGTGGTCCACCCCAAACATTTCTTAATTTATATGCCAAAACAATGTTTGCCAGGTCGGCTAGTATGATATAATACAATACTGGTTACAGTATTATATACTATAATGGTCCGAAGTTATAAACCACTTTTGAACTGATTAAATTATATTGTACCAATATCATAAAACTGGTAAGCTAAAGTCTGATTATATTCAAACTTTGTCATTCATGTTAATGTCATTCATTGGTGATTTCAAAACAAAACAAATTATGAAAATTTCTATAAAAAGTATAGTGTAATTAATTGTTTAAAGGCATTTATTTAGTTATAAAATATGTTTCTATCACATTTAAAGGTATGTTAAAATGTAGGTTTCTAAATTAATGTAAAGTATATAGTATATGTGGTGTTTAGAATTTCTATAGAAATGTTAAATATATGTGTTGCTAATCTTATTCAGTAGCAAAATATAAATCTGATATCCTATTGTTTGGTTTCTGGAATAATATAACATATCCTACCAGCTTTAGACATATTTGTTAAACATTGTCAAAGATTGATTATAACTAAAAAATGTAATTTAATTATAATCACCAATTCTTATTCTTTATTTCCAATCCATGTTCAAAGGTAATAATGAAGCAAAAAATAATTATTTATCTTCGTAAAAATAACTTTAAATAAACATAAAATAATTTGCATAATTATTGTTATAAATTGAAGTTTGTCAGCCCATTATTGCCCATATTAATCAATGTAAACAGTTTTTATGATTTATTAGTCAATAAACATCGAGAATAACATGTTTTATGAACATAAATCATTTTCTCAACTTTATCATAAGCACTAATTACAACAAGCACGCTAAGTACTTGTTTCTATTTGAAATATTATATATGATGTATTAATTTCAATATGCAAAACAGTGAATAAAGAAATATCCACGAAGTTTTTTTCATTGAAAACTTAGTGTTTTTACAAGTGTTTTTAGGACGATATAACATCATAGAAAAAATGTACAAGATAAAGATTAATGTTTACATGAACACTATTAAGAAATCCTTAAATGTAGAGTTGTTATTCTAAATCGTTTAGGTCGTGCATAGCATAAACGTTGAAGAAAGCTAGTTTCGCGAATTTTGCACAGTACATTATGTATAAATATCACCGCGCGAAAATCTCTACGTCATATTTATTGCCTTTTAGAATCTTTGCGTCATCAAATTTTTAACAGCAAAAAAATTTTTCACGAATAAAATTTTTATAACGAATATTTGAATAACCTTTGATATGGAACTTTTACGGTGGTAGGGTCACGCAGCAGCCTCGGCTGTTGCACGAATGGGCAGGTTCGTCTGGGTAAGTACCACGACCTCACAGAAGACCGGCGTAAAGTGGAAGTATAATACTTTCGCGTTTCGCCCCGTGAGTGAGGTGGCCGGAGCCCAATTTCTAAATGGTTGTCAACACATCTGGAACCCTCGAGTGTAGCAGATGTCCATGGCGGTCACTTAACATCAGGTGAACTGTCTGCTCGTTTGGCAACTTTTCACATAAAAAAAGGAAATTTAATTTTGAATTTTATTGAGTCTCTGCACTTAAGATGATTATTATGATACATTCTACGTTTGGAAAACTAATTTTGTCCACACTCTTCTGAGAGCGGGCGTGCTAAAGGGATCGATTTCGGTAATATCCTCAACCGATTATGTATCTCGTGTATGCACTAGCGACGTCCCTAGGACCCCTCAGCTTAAGTTGGCACTGTATGCCGCTGAGATAGCACTATATGCGAACGATCGGAAAACAACCAGGATTATCCACCTACAATCTGCATTAAACGCCTTGGGCAAATGGTTCACTAAGTGGCGGATCGAGGTGAACCCGGTGAAGATTAAGGGAATCAATCAATCAAGCAGATCAATCGATTCAAACAGGATCGCTGTTTGAATGCTATGCAGAATGTCATCGAAAGAAAACTCCCGTCAATTAATTGTTTATATATTTAATTTTCGTAGATCATTTAATTCTCATAAACTAATCTTGCATAAGCAGATTTTCTTAATAAATCATAACTTCGTCCTCATCGCGGTTTAAACCCTCGAGGTTCAAACCTCCATCTGGGGGGCTCTTAAATCGTGTTGTGCCCCCGTTGTTAGTGGAATTGTTCATCTTTCGATAAAAGGGTCGCGGGTATGGAGCGAAGTGAACTTCATCATCGTGTAGGGTATGTTGTTCTCGGATCATGCCTGTGGAGGATCTCTTCCGGCGCAGCGGCTAAAAGCACCCTCCTAAAAGCATAAATAAGTACAAAAAAAATTGCGACGTCAACGTCGTTGCACTTTTCATAGAAAAAAAATTAAAAGTGCGATACGTCATATTTATGTCAATTGTCAAAATCTTAAATTAAATTATTTTAGTATTCTGTGGTGTTCTGTCAGATTGTGATGTTTATTTTATTTTTTAGAAGTTTTCAAACGTACATTAAAAATGTTACAAAGATTTATTCATGTAAATTTAAATGTTAAAATATTTAGTAGGCACAATGAATTACTTTATAGAATTCCCGTACGTAATCAATCAACACATCATTGTGGATTCAGGTTATATTCTAGTCACAAAGTTTCAGCATTACGAAATTATTATGAAAGGACTACATTACGAGGTAATGGACTGTTTTTAAGAACAAGATTTTATAGTAGTCATGTGGACACCCAAAGAAGAGACAGACAAATAGACAGTGCACATTTAAAAAATGCCAATCAGACTGCAAAAAGAATTGACCTGAAGTCAAAAAGTTCAGAAATTAAGCGTTTATTTTCTTTGGCAGCGCCTGAAAAATGGACTTTAACTGGTGAGTAACATTTGATTCATATGTTTAAATTTAATAGAACTATTGTTGAAAATTATTTAAAAGTTGTGTTAAAAGTTATGTGAAACAGGAATAATTACAAAACCTATAAAAACGAATTGTGGTACTTAAAAATTGTTTTTGCAAACATGTTGCCAAAATTTATTTTTAATAGTTGTAATATACTCAATGACACTTGCACCATAAAGAATTTAATAATTTGTTGGTCATCAAAGTTGCTTCAACCCTTTATTTTTTAACGAGAGGAAACATAGGGAGGGATGTACATCAAATTCAAATACCTTTTTTTAGCTTCCCCTCAGTTGGTTAAAAACTTCATTAAACCTTAATGGTCCTGCTGAAAATGTTTATGACAAAGGAACAAAATTACATAATAGTAAACTTAAAATATATGTAAATGAAATAAATCTTAAATATTTTCAATATAACAATCATTACATTTTCAATCAATCATTACTATTAATATAAATTAACATCTTGAAACAATAATTAAAATAATTTATCGTTGGAAAATATGATACTCTTTTTTATTTTAGTCTTAAATAACCTATTTTCTAAGAGTAGGTTATCTCTGTACCCTAACCTTTTTCATATCTACCAACAGCAGTTAATACTTAATGGCTTAAGTAGTGTAAAAAAATATTTAAAAATATGAGGTCCCTCTACTGCTATTATTAATATTGCTATTATTAACATTTTATTCTAAATGTGTATAATTTTAATTGGAGGGTTCTATTTCATTTTCTGTTGTTAGTAAACAGCAACATCATTGAAATATATTGTATAAAATTTATTTGGTATTTATATGCCTAAGATGAATGAGTTCAGGTCATAATTAATTTTTCTTTGAATTATTAGTAATTATAATTTATATATCTACCAAAATAACTGCAAAGATATCTAAGGCTATTTTCCTCTCTAGTGATTACATTAGAACATGTATATGTTGTTATAATTATGATGAATGGTTTAAGTCATATTTATTTTATTTCAGGTGCAATTGGTTTCTTGATTGTTTCATCGAGTGTGACAATTGCAGTGCCATTTTCATTAGGCAAAGTGTTAGACATAATTTATAGCAGTACAAATGATCTGGGTGCAGGTAGAGAGAAATTAGATGCATTGTGTTTCATGCTATGTGGAGTATTTCTTTTAGGTGGCCTATGTAACTTTGGAAGGGTGTATTTAATGTCTATATCAGGTGATGTATATTGGTATGGATTAAATTCTATAATCTGTTAAAATGTAAAATATTTTAAAAATTATTAAGGAAGTCTGTATATTTTTCAAACAACAATAGCACTATTTTAAGGCCAGAGAATGACTCAGTCACTTCGCAAGAAAGCATATGCAGCGATACTACGACAGGAACCAGCTTGGTTCCACAAAACGTCGACTGGAGAGCTTGTAAATCGTCTGTCAGCTGATACTCAATTAGTTGGCCGTAATCTTAGTCAAAATGTTAGTGATGGTTTACGTTCATTATTAATGACTGTGGCCGGTTCTGGAATGATGGTAAGAATCATCACATAAATACATTAAGGATTCTTTTATTGTCTGTTCTTATGTTGAAATTTAATATATTATTATGCTATCTCATCCATAAAAATAAAGTAGTCTATATATTATGTCCCACTGTTGGGCAAAAGCCTCAGTACAGAGGGTATTAGGACATGTGAAGCCAATGCGGATTGGCGGACTGCCTATATCTCCGAAATATTTATTTTTGTTATTATTTCGAAAATATGCAGGTTTTCCTTACAATGTTTTCCTTCACTACTCAGCACTTAAAATTAATAATTGCGTTGGTGCCGGCACTGGGGACTGAACTCTTTGTTGTTTGAATAAATTGAATTAAAAGTGAGCACTCCGGACAATGACCTATCTCATCCATACCTATACAAAAATATTTTATTAAAGAAGTTACATTGACATTTCATTTATCATCAATTCAGCGGTGTTAATACGAATCAGTTGTTATTTGAGCTGAGATAAATTTTAACATTATTTTATCAGGGATTTTTTTAATTTACAGTGTTTGTTTTAATTTTGGCATTATAAAATTTTAACGTCGAAAATTCGTATCGGAAGCCTCGCGGACATCACGTTTTGCGCTATCTATTTAACAGATTGTTATCGAACTTTCGCTAGTACATAAACCATATCATTTAGAATATATTTGTGAATATACGTCCTATAGCTCTATACGTTACTTTAAACGCAATACAGATGTGCGCCCAAGGTTTTCCGATCTACGGGGATATTTGTGAACTTGGTAAGGGCGGCAACTTGAGACCAGTTTCTCAAGTTGCCGCTTGTGAAAGACCTCGGGAAGCTTAGGTTTTGTTTTATTAGCTCGAATTAGGAGATCCTAAAGGTAGCTACTGGGGGTGATTCAGAGAGTGATATCCCTAAACAGAGAAGAAGCGAGGGTCTCTTCCCTACAGGAGGCAGGGTTTTGAAGTTTATGCGATACTAAAAAGCCGCAATTTTTAGTGAGGAATACAGATAGAAATTTTAGACGGCGGTAAACTTATTCTATGTCAACTTTAACCTAACAATTTTGTTTGACGAGATTAGACTTACATTTATCGTACAAAAACAAGTTGCGGAAGATTTGCTCGTTTTTATCGTCTTTATCCGAAAACGATTCAATATTTATGAAAAAGGTGTTATATATATATTGGATTTTATTTAATACTTTGTATATAATACGATCACAATTGATCGATGATTACCATCTTTTAACCGCAATATAACATGAAACATTGGAACATTTTGGATTATTCAACGATATCTTTAGCGTCTTCTTCCAAACAGTTAGCCATGTATCGAAATATAATGCAGCGGCATCCAACACTACTTTAGGCGGAATATACCCCTCGGTGTGGCTGTAAAAGTGTAAACCACGAAGTTATGTGTGACAAAACTTCGCGGGTCCCGTTTCTATGTAGAGAGGGTGCGAGATATTTTAATATTCCAGTTCTATATGTCGCCTTCTCTGGCGACCATCGGCCTGTGCGTCGTTCCCCCTGTGTCCATGCTCGCAGTGGTCTACGGACGCTTCGTTCGGAACATCACGAGACAACTTCAAACCACATTGGCCGAGACCAGCGAGGTATGGACCGTATCCCGTAAATGTTTACGTTTGTGTCTTGGTCTGAATAAAAAAAAACTGTCATACAATAAATATTTTTGCTACATAAGAAAAATAGGTCTTATGCCCTTTTTCACCATCGATCCCTAACTTTAAGGGACATCTAAAAAAATCTAAGTGCTAGTTCGTTTTAAAGTTAGGGATTGATGGTGAAAACGGTATTTGCCTTGTTATATTTTGAGGAATACTTAAGCGCGTTAACCATATCTATTTTAGTTATTTTAGGGACGACGTTTTTTATTGAAGCTCACTGTCTAATGTCGACAACTAGGCCAAAAAAGTGCTTCGTTATGTCGACAACCAGGCCAAAAAAAGTGCAAGATAGTTGTGTTTAGAACTGTATGCATAGGTACTGTGTATGTGGTTCATGTTTGAGGTATGCGCGTTAGCTGTCAATCATTATTTTTATTGAATCTACTGATGATCTATTATAAATATGCTGTGTTACAATTTTCATTCATAATATTTTTTTTTATTTTTAGGTTAGTAAAACTATTATTATTTTTATAATACTCTTTTCTAGACTACGAGACGATCGTCATTTTTACGCGATAATATCACCGAATAGATATTTTGTTTATTCGTTCCGAACTATGTGTATTAATTATTCATACTCATATAAAAAAATCATTCTATGTTTATAAAGTATCATTTAAAATATAACTGTGCATGACGTAAATGCGGCTGCAGAATGTACGCACAGAAATGGAAGGTGTAATTATCGATCCAATGTAGAAAAGTGAACGTTTGAGGATACGCCGTTGAAAGGTCACCTCCGAATTCGTTCTGCAGAGTGCAGCCTACTTGGGCCTTAATGTGACATAACCGGAAACTGCTAATTGCCTTATAAAAAACCGGTTGTCGATTATCGGTATTCACGAATTTTAAATAATTAATTAAATAATACAATTTTTGCACTATTTCCAGTACTTTCGTTGTATGTGCCTAATTCCGTGTTAATTGTGTCGTAACTAAAAATAATATATTATTGTCAGTATATAATAAGTGTTTGAAGTAAGATAAGAGCACATTTTTATAGTTGTATACTTTTATATAAAAATGTTTTTCTTTCTTGGTATGTACAGAAGTTTTGGAATGAATTGTTTTTAGTTTGTCTTCATGATAACGTTTCGTTTTTAGCTAGCCGAAGAGAAGATATCGAACATAAAAACGGTGAAAGCGTTTAGCAAGGAGCAAAAGGAATGCGAATCGTACGCGCAACGGATCGAGAATGTTCTAAAGCTTGCTTACAAGGAGTCCTTGGCCGTTGGCAGTTTTTACGGACTGGTAAGGGTGTAGTTGCGGGCGATAATTTACCATGACTTGTGCTGTAAAAAAAAATGGCCTGGTTTGACTGTACAATGTCTCGTGGTTATCCATGAGAGGTGGTAAAAAGCAACGGTTAAGCTGTAATTTATATAAAGAAAAAAAGGATGATATTAAAGTGATGTTCTTATAAATGAATTTGCTAAATCAAATAGAAAGAATATTAATTTCGTTTTAATTCGAAATTTGTTAATGGATTAGGGCATAAACTATAACTGTCAACTATAAGGTATTCGTAATTACTGCAATAAGTAATTTTAATATTAAAAAATGAGTCATCGTAACGGTGTAAAATTCTTTTGAGTCAATGTCGGAACATTGAAGTTATGTTACTTAATAGTACATATTTTATAGAATACATAAATATGTAGATAAAATAAATCATAAGCAGCGCTAATAACATGACATTATCATAATTTATCTTCTTAATAATGTTAGTAAGAAAAAATAAAATAGGAATCTATAGGCTATTAGGTTAATATGTCTTATCAAAGGCCTTTCACAAAAACAGATAATTAGACACACAGATAAAATTCTCAATTATCTGAGGAGCGTACGAACGCATGTTACATCTAAGATGGGGCCTACGACTGGGTGAAAAATAATAAAAAGCATTTTTGATCTCAATCACATTTTGTTATGTTAATATGATTTACGCACTGCTTCCCGAAAGAAATGTGCCTCTACAGGACTGAAGTTGTATAACATTGCCGCAGCCTAGTCAATCGTTTGGTTCATTAGACTGTGGTGAAGTCGCCAGTCTGGTGAGACCATAGATTTAAATAGACTGTGTTGCGTTCGCCATTTTACGGACGCGCCATGTTTTCCTAGACAGGGCTGGCGGGAAACTCCATAATAATACTGGTGCTGTACTACGGGGGCAGTATGGTGGCAACGGAACAGCTGACCGTTGGCCATCTAACCTCGTTCCTCCTTTACGCCGCCTACGTGGGGATAAGCATTGGGGGTCTCAGCGGGTTTTACACCGAACTGAACAAGGGGCTGGGCGCCGCTACCAGGCTCTGGGAAATCATGGACCGAAGACCATTGATCCCCGTGACGGGTATATTATAAATAAATAAATATTTACAGACTCATTTTTTGCACGTTAACATGCGCTGCGTTATCTAGTCCCAAACTTAGCAACGATTGTACTGTTAACAAAGCATTTATTTACAAAGTTCCTTAACTTAAGACTCACTTTGATAATTTATCTTATTCAGTAATCACTAGAGATCGGATTATATGCATTTGATATTTAGTTTTTTTTATATTATTGGTATTTTTTATCTGCGATCTGGTGATGGTGCATAGTTTCGCTATATTTAGTAAAGTAGCTTTATATAGGCCTAGTCTATAAATTTCCAGCCACTCAAAGACTTCCACAGTACGGAATCTATCAGATGTTTATCAGTAACATAATACCCAAATTCAAATATTGCTCCGCTACCTCAGTTTTTATGCAAATCCTCTTCTACTTAAAAACATTATTTTTGAGTAAAATTATTAAAACTTTCGTGAGACATTATTAACGTAATAATAAGACGGCTGAATTCACGTAAACTCGTGTATGTACGGACTAGTATGTATGTAGTTGTAGCGCAGTGCGAAACGGGGCGCGACCGCGAACTAAAGGCCCATATACACGATGCCATTTTCTTGAACATACAAAAGCAATAATTGAATGCAATAAATTGCGCGCAATAATTGTTTTGACCATTTCTTGTTTAGACCATGCAACTCATTTATTGCTTCAATTTAATTGTATACAACAGGCAAGAAACTGGCACCGTGTAAATGGGCCTTAACTCACTCACCCTGATGAAGGACGTCCGATGAGTCCGAAACTAGTCGGTACATACACCGAGTTTACGTGAGTTCAGCCGTCTTATTATTACATTATTTATGAGTGTTCGAAAACGCAATGTTACTACCAAACATTTGGAACAGTAATTGGTTTGCATAATTGTTAATTTATCGTCGATTACTGTAGTTTAAGAATCATCTTTCATGCATATTTTACGCAATTTCATTCATTCATCCGGTGTCTCTTAATCCCTAATTGGCATCTCAGAGTGCGCTCAGTAATTAAATAAATAATATTGAAAAACACATTACCTTATATACAGTTATTCCTTAAGCAGAGGGGTCTTTCGGGAATATTATAAATTTAACACATCATTTGCATATCAAATATTAATTTTAATTTAGTATACCCACCATTATACTGACGGTTACTGTCTTATTTATTGAAATCTGTTTATATCTGTTTTATATTGTCTGTTGTTCTGTAATTATTGTAATCTAATGTCCCATTTTTTGATACCTAAAAATAAATACTTTGCCTAAAACATTGTAGGTCTCTTAAATACGATAACCTTACACGAAAGTTTGTTGCAATATTATTCGATCTTCTTTAATGGCTATCTTGTTGCTAGACGGATCTCTCTAATAGCTGGAGGAGTAGGAATGGCGATAAAAAAAGTCTTAGGGGTCACGTCTATCTAAGTCAATTTCGCGTTCTAAACGCGCTTCGGAACACTGCCGATTAGACATGACCTCTTACAAAAACTCTGTCATTGTTCTCCGGCGATTAAAGCGACCTCTCGTGACCCGTTCTAGGAGGGCTGAGGCCCGATACGAGGCCGAAGGGCGAGGTGGTCTTGGAGGGGGTGACCTTCTCGTACCAGGGCGCACCCTTGATCAAGGGGATGGACCTGAGACTCACCCCCGGGAAGTCGATAGCGCTCGTCGGCCGCTCAGGGTGCGGCAAAAGCACGATAGCCTCGCTAATAATGAGGCTTTACGACCCGGAGAGGGGTCGAATACTCCTGGACGGTGTCGACATCCGCGAATTGGATCCCGCGTGGCTGCGCAGCCACATTGGTTTCGTCAGTCAGGTGGGTTTTATCTCTTTGTGACTTTCGACATGTGCACTTTTTCTACTTTTTATTAATCACTTTTATAGTTTAACGTCTTGGGAGTTTTTCTATGCAGACAGTTCACTAATTATGCCGCCTTTTTCTACTTTTGTATCTGTTCACTACTTGATACGTTTAAAATACAAAAATGTATACCGCGGCAATATTTAGACAAGAAAAATCTTAAGTCTTAAGATCCCATGTTTAGGGCGAACATTTAATTGGTATTATAATTTTAGTAATTAATATGTTGTTAGTTTGATTCAGTTTTATTAAAGAGATTTAATCGTCAAGTTATTACCCATTATGTTTTAATGTTAACACACTGGGAAAGCGCTCTATAGTTTTCAATTCGAACTTTTTAAAAATTTAATATCTCCTTTAATTTCTATAACAATTTCCTGATCAATTTCTTTTCAGGAACCTGTTCTATTTAGCGGATCAATAAAAGATAACATATTGTATGGTGCCATTGACGACCACGAGGAGATGATAGAAAATGACGTAAGCATGCATTTCTTTTCACTAAAATCGTTTACAAGTTTGTGTTTACTTCGTGGATAGACATAGGTCACTAGATACACGGAGGTATCGAGCTCATGACTGAATAAAAGTAAATGCATATATGGTAGGTCTTGGATAATCAGTAAAGGATGTGACTACGCACGTTCAACAAAAGGAAAGGGAAACTTAAGATTCCTCAACAAAGAGTTAAAGTATCCTGTATAATACAGGATACTTTAACTCTTCTTTTACTATTGCAAACTACACTCCTCTGGAACGCCCTCCCCTATATGATCAAAACAGCTCGAAATAAGTGTATATTTAAAAAAATAATTCGAGAATATCTACTAGTTAAATCATTCACATATGACTGGTGGAGAATGCCATTAGGCGTTAAGTGGCAATGGAGCTTAAATAAATAAATAAATAAATAAAAGGGGTCGATGTTAAACTCCGTCCGTTCGCTCAGGGCAAGGTGGAGCCGGCGTGGCTGGTGGCGGCGCGCACCGCGCAGCTGCAGGAGGTGGGCGCGGCGCGCGACGGCTGGCTGCGCGAGGTGGGCGCCGGCGGCTCGCAGCTCAGCGGCGGCCAGAAGCAGCGGGTGGCGATCGCGCGCGCCGTCGTCAAGGTGCGCCCGGCCGCCGTGGCGACGGGCCCGGAGCGCCGTGGCCGGTCGCCATGGCAACGAGTTTTGTGAGCCCGGCTCCTATATGATGCCGTTGGAAAGTCATCCGCTATGCACGTAGCCATAGCAACGAACGTGCTTGAATTCCTAACTTCTCTGTGGACCATGGTAAAAGCTTTATAACGAAGACGTCCCCTGACATGGTATTTTGCACCACCCAATAATGTTCGATCGATGATGGACCCTGGGCACATCCCATAGACCACCGAGGTCCGTGGGATGAGAGTCCGCAGTTGAAAGTGGCTTTCGGTGATTTTACAGAACCCCAAGATCCTGATACTGGACGAGGCGACCTCCGCGCTCGACTCGCACTCCGAGTACCTAGTGGACAAGGCGCTGAAGGACATCAGCAGGGACCGCACCGTGCTCACCATAGCGCACCGCCTCAGCACCATACAGTCGGCCGACGAGGTGGCCGTGATCGACGACGGCCGCGTGGTCGAGCGCGGCCCCTACTCGGAGCTGATGGCGCGCGAGGGCGGCGTCTTCCGCGAGCTCATCACCCACCAGGCTTTCGCGGCGAACAAACGCGAGATGCAACACAACGGCCAATGACGGCCCGCGAGCCGCGAGCCAGTCCAGCAGCCCTATTGCGTTCCAAATTCGAAATAGCACGAAAGTTCTCTATGCGCGGCTGCCAGTCTCGCCGGCTGCAGTGGTTCGCCCCCGAATACGGCCCAAATTTCCCCTTAGACCAATTTCCGTAACGCGCTGGCTGTTTGTTCGATAATCTTTTTAAAAAATAAAAAGTTTTTTTTTTAATTTATTTATTCTTCACTCTGTTGGGATATAGATATTTTTATATGGATGCAACAAAATTTTATTGTAATGTTTATAAAAAAATTGGAAAGGATATGGAATTTGTTTTTATTTTTTTTTAAGTAGCTCTTACGTAAGGCTCGGAAATGGTTGTCTATACCGCAATACTTGCAATAAGAAAATTTGTATAAATATATTTAATTGAATCAAATACTCCAAGCACATGTAAATATCATTGTTAAAACGAAGTTACCTTAGCACGTCATGTTCACGCGTTGTGAACTCAAAAATATTTAAATAGTCAATATAACGCTACATGATTACGCTAAAATCATAAAATTGATTTATCATAAAATTCAGAATAAAATGATACACATCTCTATTCAATTCCCGTTGTCTAATAATTAGGTATATCCTATGCAATTAGGTTCTTTTTAAAAGTCCGTTGCATCAATAGAGAATTTGTTGTTTAGGGTAATTTTTTTTGTTGGTAGGTCCAATTGTAAAAGAATTTTTGTTTAAATTTTTTTTAAACGAAAATACAATTTTACTTCTCATTCAATATTAATTCTCCCTTCTTAACTGCCATTTATAGGGATTTCGACGCAACTTGGCTATTCTTAGCCTCACAATAATTTAGGTTTTAAAAACGTGGTGATAATTTAGGTAAAAGTGTTAAATGTTACAAACAAATGTATATGTGAATTGTGTTCATAGTACGACTACGAAATGCGATCAAGGCCGCTTTAAAAATAGGTGTAATAAAGTTACAAATGGTAAATATTCGACGGGTATCGGCTTATTTTGTTAATAAAATGAGATGGTTGTTAACATTTTACTGTGTCTTTTATTTTGCCGATTTTGTGTTCAACATATTATTTTGCTTTTGTTTTACAGTAATATTGCAATTTTCAATGGTTTATGTCCTAATATATGAAAGTAGAGCAACGTGGATAACATTAAAAAAAGAAGACATTTTTAGAATATTATTGCACTTTTTTAAAAACCACGAATGACAGGATACATGACTGCCTCCTTAAACAATTGTTAAAGTAGAGGAAAATACTGCGCCATTATAGTTCTTTTCCAGTTTCGGGGTGCTTATATCTATATCTATTTATTTACGAAAGAAAAGTATATTTATTACTTAGTAGTAGTAACTATAATTATAAGCTCTGCTTCGTTTGTCTGCTCCGCTGTGACCTTAAATATTTATTTATTTATCTATGTAGCTTCACACAGTTCACAATTTTCTGTCCAGTGTCCCTTCCTCTTAACAGAAAACTTTTCGCTCCGCAACTGAACCATGTACTGCATGGGTAGTTCTTTGCAGTTTGGGGGTAGTAAGTAGCATCCGAATCAGATTGATCAGTTACGATCGGAAAATAAAGGAATAACTGATGTGCGAAGGAATTGATTTTTTGAAATGAATTAAAAAATAAGTGCACAATCAAGGAAAAAGGTAGTATGCGCAAATTAAGAAATCGAAACTGAGATTTTGGTACAAGTCCCTGTGCAACTTGACACCGCTTTCTGTCTCATAGGGACTCATTAATGTAAATAATTATATGTACTTACAGCACAGCTACTATCAGCACAGCCTTTTAGAATTAAAAAATTGCGGCTGTTAGTACGAAAATTGACTGCTACGAACAATTATACAGCGTGTCGCTACCATCGCGACAATAAATGAACACACGTCTAAAGCTACTTGCCAATAATCATAAAAACATATTAACGTTAAACTAAATCCATAATTAAAAAAAAATATTTTTCAAACAAACTAATTAAGTAAAAAAGAAACAAAATTTGTAACATCCTATATTACTCGCGCCACAGCGTCGCATTACAAGCCTCTCCTAACAGTATGTTTTGTCTCTTTTAAATTTATTTAACCCATTCATATGCTTTGTGACCTTTACAAATGAACTTTACGTTATAGTTTTATACGTAAGGTTGTTCTAAAATTCTTTATTTTGGAAAATTTAATAACTCTGTAAATATTGATGTTTTAAGAATTTAAATGTTTAATACAATTTTAAAAAGTTATCCCCTATATGTGTGTTCATTTATTGTGGCGATTGTAAAGACGCTGTATAGATAAAACTAGCTGATCCGGCAAACGTTGTTTTGGCATATAAATTATTTGTAGGGTGGAAAAAATGTTTGGGGTGGACCACCCTTAACAATTAGGAGGATGAAAAGTAGATGTTGTCCAATTCTCCACCCTGGCCGACATGCACATAAAATTTCCCGAAAATCGGTCGAGCCGCTTCGGAGGGGTTCAATTACAAACACACGAGAATTATATATATTAGATAACTGTTCTGTATTATTTGTCAATTTTAATTTTATTTAATTCATGTTTTTTTTTAAAGCACCTATGAACTAGTCATGAGTTTCCAAAGTAATAGCTTCTCAGAGAAGCGGCAGGAATGTTTAGGACGTTTTATATTTTTTTTAAAACATGTAAATACAATAAAGTGCAAAATCCGCAGCACTCAATGGGCCAACAAGTATTGAGCAAGTCCTAACACATTCTGGTTCTCTATGTAATGTTCAGATTGCCGTTACTATTTTCTTGAAGTTTTATTGATTCAGTTCTCTTTAGCTACAATTGTACCTTGCACAGATCACACCTGAAATGATTATGCAAATAGATTAAAATGATAAAATGCTGCAAACGTTAATAAGCGAACCTTGCCCTATGACGGTTTTGCTGCGATCGCGCCAAAACACACCGCAGCGCCTTAGTACATTTGCGCGCCGTTGCTCCTTTGAGATACATTCTAGTGAACATGTCCCATATTAAATTTCTACGCGGTTGTTTCGCACATTTTGTAAATATTAGTCCTTTTGAGAGAACTATCAGAAAGCCAAAAACTGCGTGTCGGATCGTTGCCAGCTCCAACGTTTTTACTCGAAATTACGCTACGCAGACAGCGCCTGATGTTGAAAGTAAGGTTTTAAATTCCCCGTGGGGTGAAATTAAAGTTGGGAACGAAACATTAACTGAATACGTGTTTAGTGATTGCGAACTATGGCCGGATAAGCCATCGTTGGTAAGAAACAAAATCATATACTAATTTTAAGGTAAATCTGTTAATCCTGTACTCTCTTATGCTTTACGATTAAGAAAGACGACTAGCTAAATAATATGGAAATAGTGCTAACCGTAATTATTGATTATAAGAATGTATTAATTTTTCATAATCAACATTAGATACTCATTGAAGTGAATATTTTTGAATTAGCATATTATTGTTCATAAATAAATGAGTACCATCGAATTCATGGAATCATCCATGAATCTTTGATTAATGTAAGCGATGTTTCTACGATAATAATTATGTACGATGTTCCAAAGTACAAAGTTCGTAGCGTTCTATATTAGCTCACATGCGGACACTTACTGAACCCAAAGCGATATTCGTATAAATAGTTCATATCCGAAGGTTAAGGTTACGTTCTTGGCAAGAAAATCCATAGACTCATAAACAATGACTTATTGATATAAAATAACTATAAACCTCCAAAATAAACAGTATAACATAATTATAATTTCTTGTATTTACGCGATTACACATTATAAATGAAACTAATTTTACGGATTTGTCGCGTTTATTTTTAATTTTAGTTCCCGACGTTTCGAACCCTTTACAGCGTTCATGGTCACGGGACAGACTGAGGTGTTAGACGTCTGATTGTCAAAGTTAACCCGGGCTACCGTCAGTTTTTGTATTATTGATTTTGTGTCCGATCTATGCAGAGGGAGCTAATTGTATCTTGTCTTGCAGTAGTGGTTCTTTTGGGCTTAGATTTAATTTTATTGATGATAGGATCCCAAGCTGATGGTAGTACCCAACCCTCTTCTCTATTGAAATTAGGGTGTTTTTATTTCAATAGCCTCGCGAATCATCCTCGGGAGGAATCGGTGTTCTTTTGCAAGGATCTGTGGTCTATCAAACCTGATGTAGTGGTTGGGCCGATTTACAGTGTGCTCACAAACTGCAGACTTGTTTAATCTACTATGGTTTATGTCAGCTATATGTTCTTTCACGCGGGTTTTTATAGCTCTTTTCGTTTGTCCTATGTAAGAGAGCCCACATTCACAGTCAAGTTTGTACACTCCTGGATCTTGCAGAGGGATATTACACTTGACAGATGGTAAAAACTGACTAATCTTCTAAAGCGGCTTGTAGAATGTATTAATGGAAGCCCGCTTTAAGATATAGCCAATCTTGTCGGTGACTCCTCTGACATATGGTAGAACAGCAGGTACTCGCTCCACTGTGGCTGGTTTCACTCGGTCACTGTGACGTAGGCGCGGTGCTCGAAGTTTGTTGTCATGCAGAACTTGCTTGACATGTTGAAGCTCAGCGGCCAGGTGTTGTTTGTCACAGATCCCTTGTGCTCTCTGAAACAAAGATTTACCCACGGTAGCTAACTGGGATGGATGGTGGTGAGAGTCACCGTTTAGGTATCTATTTGTATGGGTTGCCTTCCTATACACAGTGTGACTTATAGTGTTATTTGGATTGCGGATGACCAAAACATCTAAGAAAGCTAAAGAGTTATTATTCTCTAATTCCATAGTGAATTGTATTTTGGAATTTACTGAGTTAAGGTGATTTAAAAATGCATTAACTTTACTTGTTGGTAAAATGGTGAAGGTGTCATCTACATACCTCTCTAAAAATAAATTCTCTCACCGCTGAGAGGACACATACGGGCATACACAAAGGGTTCTTACCATTTTGTTAGTGAGATAAAACAACTATGTCTTGCTGACAATGAAACAATGGTCAGTTTTGATGTACAGTCTTTATTTACATGCCTACCATTAGAAGACTGCATCTCAATTGTAAACGGTGACTCTCACCACCATCCATCTCAGTTAGCTACCGTGGGTAAATCTTTGTTTCAGAGAGCACAAGGGATCTGTGACAAACAACACCTGGCAATTGAGCTTCAACATGTCAAGCAAGTTTTGCATGACAACAAACTTCGAGCACCGCGCCTACGTCACAGTGACCGAGTGAAACCAGCCACAGTGGAGCGAGTACCTGCTGTTCTACCATATGTCAGAGGAGTCACCGACAAGATTGGCTATATCTTAAAGCGGGCTTCAATTAATACATTCTACAAGCCGCTGAAGAAGATTAGTCAGTTTTTACCATCTGTCAAGTGTAATATCCCTCTGCAAGATCCAGGAGTGTACAAACTTGACTGTGAATGTGGGCTCTCTTACATAGGACAAACGAAAAGAGCTATAAAAACCCGCGTGAAAGAACATATAGCTGACATAAAACATAGTAGATTAAACAAGTCTGCAGTTTGTGAGCACACTGTAAATCGGCCCAACCACTACATCAAGTTTGATAGACCACAGATCCTTGCAAAAGAACACCGATTCCTCCCGAGGATGATTCGCGAGGCTATTGAAAATAAAAAACACCCTAATTTCAATAGAGAAGAGGGTTGGGTACTACCATCAGCTTGGGATCCTATCATCAATAAAATTAAATCTAAGCCCAAAAGAACCACTACTGCAAGACAAGATACAATTAGCTTCCTCTGCATAGATCGGACACAAAATCAATAATACAAAAACTGACGGTAGCCCGGGTTAACTTTGACAATCAGACGTCTAACACCTCAGTCTGTCCCGTGACCATGAACGCTGTAAAGAGTTCGAAACGTCGGGAACTAAAATTAAAAATAAACGCGATAAATCCGTAAAATTAGTTTCATTTATAGTATAACATAATACTTTATATATTAATGTAAAATGTCTGTACGGCAATATTACATTAATATCGCGAATATAAGGGGCGCGAGTTCAAATCCCGGTTGCGTGACCCCACGGAGTCATTTTCAGATTTATTCCGTGACCCGAAATCGTTGTTTTTTTATGTGATGATAAATTATAACTGCCGGTCATTGAAATGTGCAACACTCGTAGTGTTGCCACCTTTTACCTTACTCACTGGACGAAACGATGAAACATAACACTTCCGCGTAGTCTGCGAGGTCTAGTTAGCTTGGTACTTGCCCAGACGAGCCTTTGTACAACAGCAATAACTGCTGCGCTGCATGGTCCTACGTCAGTCAAAACTGTTAGATCTTTTAAGCCGGTGTATGTTGACACCACTTACTACGTTTGAAACTTGAGCTATGGAGCCAAGAATAAAACACTAAGGTAAAGAAAGGTAGCCTGTGTGTGCATATGTTCAACTTCTAGGCAAAGGTTTCATCTCTTCGGGAATAGTCCACCACACGACCTCACTGCGGATTGGCGGACATATCTTCATATTTTTTCGTTATTATTTCGAAAATATACAGGTTTCTTCACTATGTTTACATTCAACGCTGTGATAAGTCAGCACTTAATTCACCGGGATTAGAACTTTCGGGTTGTTCTAGTATACTAAACTTAAAGCGAGCGCCTGGACACTGAGCTATCACGGCTCGATAAAGGACTAAAAAGTTTGAATTTGATGTATTTTTTATGGTGACCAATCAAGACATGCGGCGCCTCAGGCCGTTCATATGATTACGGCTTCTTGCGGATGATGGTCGATCGATGTGCGATGGCTTTGATTGGCCACATGCGTCTCTCTCCTGGCCAACGCATCGGCCTGATATTGCCCAATATTCCCGAATTCGCAGCTCTCATATACGGTGCGATGCGAGCCGGTTTGGTTGTTACATTTGCCAACCCGTTGTATACAGCAGGTAAGCAGTTTATACTTACGAGATGGACGTTGATTTTTTTTAGATTTTCTGTAAGAAAACCTTAACGACTTACGAACTATAGGAATGAGATCAATATAAAAACATTTTTTCTTAAAAAGAAAGATAAATGTTTACGATTATAAGTATACTGTATCTCATCGCACTGTTACATTGAGTATATTTATAAATTATTACAATAAGAAACGAACAACAAAACTGAAAACATTTCGATGTATTATGATTTGATTAATCGTAATATTTGTAGAATTAATTAATTGACATCGATGAACTGTTGCTTTTCCTTGATCAATAAGTTTTAATGTCGTTTTATATTACTACATTAACGTTTTATAATCAATAATCTAAGACAATTAAAATTAATGTATAGATATTATATTATTAATGTATGTCATTAGCATTTATCATTTTTTTTATTGTCCGTGATATATTCAGAGGAGGTGAGAAGACAGTTCTCTGATTGTGGCGTAAACGCAATTGGCACTATAGAAATGTTTATGCCATTGGCGCAAGAAGTTAGCAAGTCTTTGAAAGATTACAAAGGTACCATTTGGATTGGAGGCGAAGACGATAAAACTAAAGGTATATGTCTGTGGCATCACAATTGACCTGTACTGTCATTAATCTCTTTGCATCAAATTAGAGCATTTTAGTTGTTTAATACTGCAATAAAATTAAATATTGAAGGGGCCAGAATCGTAATTACATGCGAGAATATGTAAAGCTTAAGAGAAAATTCGTTGGTCTTAACTTGAAGGTTCCTGAATTTGCTTTTTTCGAAGTCAACAATGCTTATTATAATTGCGAAGCCAACTGGCTTACATTAAGGCTAAAATATAAGTTTAAATTGGGCAGTAACTTTCCAGAAAGTTGAAACGGTGAAATCTATGTTTTATTTGTTACATTATGATCAAAAGTTAAAGTGGATGACAAAATAGTAGTAGTTAATTTATCTCTAATATATAAAATTCTCGTGTCACGGTGTTTGTAATTGAACTCCTTTGAAACGGCTGGAAAACAAAATTTGGTGTGCATATCGGCCAGGGTGGAGATTGGGCAACCCCTAATTTTTTACTTATTTTTTATGATACAACATAAAAAATACATACAACACTAAATTTTCACCCCTCTACGCTGACGTAGTCGCGGGCAACAGCTAGTCACAATATAAAACTTCCTTGATGCAGATATAATATTTTTAATAGCTATAGTTTTAAGAATGCTGTTCCAGAGATATTTGGCTTACGCTCACTTCTGATGGCGGATCACAAAGCGGACCTGCCGACATTAAACTGCGATGACGTATGCCTGATTCCTTACTCCAGTGGCACCACAGGCATGCCCAAAGGTGTAATGCTGACACACAAAAACCTCGTGTCCAACCTTAAACAAACACAATGCCCTACGATAATGAAGTATAAAGGTGAAAAAGGTGAATATGTTTCTTTTCCTCTTAAGAAATTTAAAGAAAAGTTTTAAGTTATCGTATCAGCGTATGGTGATAAATATTTAAGACCAAAGGAGTTATTGAATTATATGTAAACGTTTTATTTTATGGCGATTGTTTATAGTTCTAATAGAAAGCTTTCTCTAAACTAGGCCACGGAGACGTGATTTTGACTGTACCGCCGTTTTTTCACATATACGGCTTCAACGCAGTCCTAAACTATAATATAACACTTGGATACCATGTTGTCTCCATCCCTAAGTAAGTGAGTTTATATTAGGTTTTTTTTTTCAAAAAAATTTACATTATAGAAAATTTATATAAAATTAGAAACTTTTAAGTATGAACAATAACAAGAAGCTATGTGTTTCTTACCCTGACGGGCTAGATAAAGGCTATGCTATTTATTTTTCATCTATCTAATTTAGTTTAATTCACTAAATATGACTGAAGATCTGTCTTCGAAAAGTTCTACTTACCTATTACATAGAAGCAATCGAAAATCGGAAAGCTCAGTGCAGGCTAATGAGATTTTAATCCACTTTATTTTTATAATTTGGTCTCTTTAACCGACGATGAGTAGACTAACTTATAAACTAGAAATAACCATGGGCAAGATTTTTTTTTAATTGATAGATGTGAAACCAGAAGCTATCCCCAAATTTCCATTTTCACTTTTTAAAGGTCGAATCGAATTACACGAAGTTAATCTATTGTTTCTTGTGATGGACTCCACTATAATAAAGTCACGCATGAAGGTGAGGGGATTGACGGCTACGGGCCTCAGAGCTTAGCATGTGGAATAATATCTCGACTGATGTCGACTGTTTAAGCCCATAAGAAAGAACAAAGCTTGAATAGGTTTTTGTAAATAATATGATCTATATGATGTTTCCGAAATGTGTCCAAAATGGAACAAAATGAATTATAATAATTAATGAATTACAATCAATTTATTTTTAGATTCACCCCGGAAGATTACGTGAAGTGCTTAGTGGAATACAAACCCACAACCCTGTTTGTGGTGCCTTCGCTCCTCGCTTTTCTTGCCACTCATCCTATGGTGAAGAAGGAGCATTTGCAGTCTGTGGAAACAATTATGGTGGGGGCAGCCCCCACTACGGATAGTATGCTCGAAAAGTTCCTGCTCAAATGTGAAAAAACTAAAGACGAAATAAAATTGTTACAAGGTGATGTACTCTTATTAGAATAATTCTCATCTTTTATTTTATTAAACATTTAATGTTTTAGCATCGTTCTCACGATTAAATAAAAACAAATAATTGTTAAAATGTGCAATGTTATGAATTCTCGAGTGCTATATCTTTAGTTCATTTATTAAATCACACAATATTTTACGATTTTCTGACAAATGGACTAAACGGTACAGGTTACGGCATGACCGAGAGCTCCCCGGTGACTTTAATGACACCATACATTTATCCATACAACAAAGTTGGCTCTGTGGGCCAACTGCTGCCTAGCACCCAGGCGAGAGTTATTTCTCTCACCACGGGGGATTCGCTGGGACCGCACAAGTCCGGAGAGTTGTGTCTACGAGGGCCACAGGTAAATCATGAGTATTTCCAATGTAATTCCCTACTTTATTAGGTATTACAGTTTGCGTTTATGACCGCAGCTAGTGTATTTATTCAATCTAATATTATAGGAAGTGAAACTACTCGGCTTGTACTGAAACGGAAGCTACAAATTGACTCGAGCGGCCGTAATTTAAAAACTAATAAATCTGTAAATATACTCTTTTACAGTAAACATTTATAAGTATACATATTTATAGTATATATTTTGATTTTAGTAATATGCAAACAAGAAATCGTAATGATTATTGATGTCAGTAATGACACACTGCGTAATACCGTTTATCTCTGACCATTCATGAGAGTAGCAGTGTCTGTCGATCGCGGTCTAAGGTCGCGGGCTCAATTCACAATGACGTGAATGATGTAAAAATGAATTTCAATTTTACAAAAAGCCTTTTTTTGGTGCCTTGTGTACCGCGTGGGCTCTACGCCGCTCAGATTTAGTACTAAGATAGGTAACAGTTAATATGAAGTTTGTATGTCCCGGTTGTGTATCACACAACATTAACGAGCTTTATAAGCTAATTTACATTTAATAATAAAATGTTGCTTTACTAGTAATAATTATACAAACAAACCAAGTGCTTCTGTATTACCTACTGTTTTCGAGACCGTCCTCTTTAAAGTTAAAATATTTAGGTAAGCATCATATATAACATATAAAGAAGTGGCCACATTCAGTGATATAAAAATATTTCATAAATTAATTATCTTCTCTTGGTTGTTTTATGGTCTTTATATCGCATAATAGATTATTCTGTATTGCAGAGGCATTTTAGAAATAAAATTTCTTGAAAGACAACCCCGGTTTCAGAAAAATTATATGTAGGCAAATGCACCTTACAGAAGACTAGCGTGTGTAATAAGTGTAACATATTCGTTTCGTCTGGTGAGTGACGTAAGAACTCGGTGTTTTTAAAGGTTGGCAACCCACCTGCAACACCTCATGTGTTCTGAACGTCCCTGGGTGGGGGTAATCATGTAACATATAATGGTAAAGTGTGGTAGGAACACGCAACCATTTTCATTGTCCCATGAATGGGCAGGTCCGTCCAGGAGAGTGCAACGACCTCACCGAAGACCGTCATGAAGTTGAAGTGTTACACTTCTGCGTTACGCCTGGTGAGTGAGGTAGCCGAGCCCACTTTATTATAAGGTGGCAATGCATCTGAAACACTATAGATGTTGAAGATATCACTTAAAATCAGATGAACCGCCAGCTCGTTTACCGCTTACCTTCCGTTTACCTTCTCACATAAAAAGAACTGCCTACCCGCTGAACAACTTTGCAAGAACTTGCCTCGGGTGAGATTCGAACCTAGTTCTATGTTGTTCAATGTGCCTTAAGTGTTAACATCACGCAGATCATGAAAGGCTACTGGAACAACGAGAAAGCGACAAAGGAGACAGTGGACAGCGACGGTTGGCTTCACACGGGCGACGTGGCGTACTTCGATGAAGACCACTACTTCTACATAGTCGATCGCACCAAAGAACTCATCAAAGTTAAGGGCAACCAGGTATGTACTTGTCACGTAATAATAAGCAACCTATCACTGGTAGGAAAATAAATATGCCTGGACTATGCCCTGATACCCTCCGTACAGAGAGGCTGTACGGAGGGTATCAGGGCATAGTCCACCACGCGGCCCCACTGCGGATTTCCTGACTTCACATATCTTCGAAATATACGAACCACAGATAGTTGTTTCGCATCTGGGTGTTTATCCACGTGAAATTTATGTTTGTAAAACGTCCCTACAACACAGGATAATATTATAAAGGACTTGATAATTCAGAACTTAAAATTGACAATTTCATTGGTGCTGGCACCGGGGATCGAACTCAGGATGCTCGAGTATGCACTATGGATGCGCCAAGCATAGCTTTAAATGCCAAAAAACAATGTAGATGAAAGACGTTAAGATTTTCGGCGGTGTGGCAATCAGCCGTTTAGCTTAGTGGTTAAAGCGTCAGGCCGCGAATGCCGAAGACGTGGGTTCGATTCCCACAGCGGCGACAATCTTTACGTACTTTTTCTACATATTGTAATTGCTCGAGTATATTAAATTAAAGGCGAGCGCCCGAACACTAAGCTATTACGGCTCTGACAGTGCTTATGCAGTGAATTAACCAAACGTATTAAGAGTAGCTATTGCTAGGGGCCCCGCGCCAATGGGGGCCCCGCGCCAATGGGGGCCCCGCGCCAATGGGGGCCTCGCGCCGAAGGGGGCCCCGCATATTTAAACCATAAGCCTTAATTTTTGGAGTGAAACATATTAAATAAGTAAGAGTATTTAATGGTAAGAAATAAAAATCAGTTAATTTGAGATTCCTGGTCTCGGAATATATCACGATTAAAAGTAAAAGCATGTCCTTACGAACATTCATAACTTAGTTTTTTTATCGATATTAATTACTTTGTTATCCCAAGTACAAATAATTGAAGCATTTACAGAAGCGAATCCGGACTCTACAAGTGGTAACAACTAAGATTTTTATAAACAAACATTCCTTCCCGCTTCCCACAGGTTTCCCCGACAGAAATAGAAAGTGTCATAATGGAGCAACCGGAAGTTGCGGATGTCGCGGTCGTCGGTATGCCGGACCCCCTTGCCGGGGAAATCCCAAAAGCGTTCGTAGTTCTAAAACCGAACCACACTCTTACGGAGAAACAAGTATACGACGCTGTAGCCCAAAAGCTGACGAAATACAAACATCTTGCGGGAGGAGTCGCTTTCCTGCAATCGATTCCAAGGAACGCTGCTGGAAAGATCTTGCGTAACGAATTAAAAGTTCTAGGTACCAAAAAATAACGTGCTCATTGTGTGAAAATAAATGACTAGTTAAAATGTAGATAAAATAAGGTAGGGAATAAAAAGGTACAAGGAAATAAGTGGTAGGACTATTGTACATAATATTAATTAAGCAAAATTAAACTTACAGGAATATTTATGAAGTGCTTGAAAAAAACATTCTGTCAGTCAGTTCTGTAACTTATGACTTTGGAATTCTTACTTTCTAAAACAACATTTGCTGATGTTCAGAATATCAATTTAATTACACGTCTACAAAACTAAACTATAAGCTAGTATTTTCAATGTCGAAATCCAGTGTATATTAATGATAAAAAATTGGAAACAATAATGGACTCATTACAGTTCTTATTGTTAATTAAAAAGGACCCATTGTCTAGGATATCTTTAAACTTATTTTAAACAAAACTTTATAACTTATATTATTAAATACCTACTTTTTTTTTAAATTGCTGACCTAAGGTCAATAAATAAAGCATTGACAATACTTAAAAATAATAATATTCAATATATAAATATCTCTAAGACCTTATAATTAATGGACAATGATGTATCCTAAGTAATAAATGGAATAAAAAGGTAAGGCAACAGGATCATAGAACCTGCATTCATTTCTGGATGCAATTGAATGCCAATTCTTTGAAAATAAGATTTTTTTAATATTCAGAATGCAGCAACTACTTTTTTCCCTTACCCCCTACAGTTGTTTAGGAAAATATGTTTATATTATAGTAATAAGATGAAACTTAGTTTAGTATATGAACTGTGATTATTTTACTAATTAATAAATTAAGTAACAAACACTTTCTCAGGTTTTTTTTCAAATAATTTTATTGACGATTATGCATTAAGATTTAAATACATTTATTTCTAGTAACTAAATGAAATAAATTAAGGAAGGGTTTACATACGGTAATAGTTTATATGGACTCAACATAAAAAATTAATTATTATTGATATGGCGATAATAAATGTATGAATCAAATGAAACTATACTGTGTAAGAGCCATGCAGCTACTTCAGCTATTGCACGAATGGACATCCAGGGAAGTACCACAAACTCACAGAAGACCAGTACTTTTGTGTTTCATCTGATGAGTGATGTAACTGGGCCTACTTACTTTAAAAGTTGTCAATGCATCTGCAAGCCATTGGGTGCTGCAGATGTCCATCAGCAGCAGTAATTGCATAATATCTGATATACGGCCTGCTCACTTGACAATTTTTCACTAAAAAAACTGTAGTATGAATTTTTGAACAACCGTAAATACTCTAAATAAACTTTTTATTTAATTCATCATTTCATTAAAAAAACTTGAATCTTACTAGCTTAGGGCAAAAAAAACAATATTTTCTGATACAAAGTAAGTTTTATGGTACCGGTGTTGCTTTAACTTCAGTTTCTAATTCCAACTTTTCAACTGGTTTTTCTTCCGTCTTTTCATCTCCTGTTTCATTGCTTATTTCTTCAGATTTAGAAATTTTTTCGGGAGATATCTCTTTTATCTCTGAGTTAACATCACTTATAGAGTAATTGTCAGTTTGAATAGTGATTTGCGGAGTATTGTCTACTGTCTCATTTACTGTGGATGTCTCATTACATGCCTCCTCAGTTTTTGTATCCTCATCTGTGATACTACCACCTTTAATTGATTCTGCCGGAATATCTGTTTGGGATTCAGGACCCGGTTTCGGAGAGTTACTGTTACCATCAGTATTATCACTTGATGATGAACTTTCTTCACTTGATGTAGAAACCTCAGAAGCTACTTTAATAGGCTCAACAATGTCTTCCTTACTTATGGTGCTAGAACAACTATCTTCATTTATGGCTTGCAGAGGTTCTTTAGAAGATTTAGGTTTTATTTCATTTTGACTTGCATTTTCTTCTTTTGAGCTAACATCAGAATTTTCCGATTCAGTAAGATTCTGCTCTGTCATTTCTGCATTTTTTACTTTAATTTCTGGAATAACTAACACATTTGGCACTACTTCAGATTTCATTTCAACATCTTTAATCTCAGTTTGTGGTGGTATATTACTACTTTTCAATATTTCATTAGGTTGTTCTGTTATTACTGGCACTGACTCAGAGGAAGTACATTCACTTGATTTGTTTTCTGCATCTTGGGGGCTTACATTACATTTATCTTGTTCATTTTGTACTGGAGTAACAACAGTCTCTAATTTACTATGACTCTTCTCTTCAGTATCCATAGGATCATCTTGCTTTGTTTGTTGACGTGTCTCAACACTGCCCATTGCAACATGGGAATCTGAAGAACTGGGCTGAGGTTCTGAATTTTTGCTGTTCTGTATTTTCCTTCCATGACACATCCTCCATTTCAACGTCAACATTGTAATCTGAATTGTTATCAGAACCATTAACTATTGGTTCAGCTGGCTCACCATTTTCTTGTTCTATATGTCGTGGAATTCCCGGTTCTCTTGTACTTACAACTAATATATTTTTCTCAATCGCCCTCATGAATTTATCCACACGGTTATATTGTTTTCGAGGGCATGTTAATAATTCACAAATTCTCTGTACGGTAAACGGAGCTGATGTAAATGAATCAAGCCTTTCTAATAAGCTGTCTTTCATAACGTCATAATTAAATGGATCAACATTTGGATACGGTGGTATGTCGATACCTGGCGTGGTTTCATAGAAATCAGTTATAACATTCAAAAGTTTTTCTTTGAACAAAATTTTTACGTGAGTCCATTGATACACAGGGTCGCCGGTTCTAGCGACATACGCTAAGTAGTCATTTAACTCTTGAGGAATTGTTTTCGGCTTGCGTTTTGAGAATTCTTCCAATACCTGTAAGACTTCTTCAGCGTTTTCCATTTTTAAAACAAATTTAACAAAGTTTTGAATTTATTTATGTTCAACAATTTTTAGAGAACAATAACAAAACAGCTCAACGTAAGTACTGAATTTGAAGCTTCCACTGACCAGTGTTGCAATCCATTTCACTGACCATAGGTTATGGGCTTATAGATAATTAATTTACTGTTAGACTGTGACTCAACAGCCGAATATTGAAAATATTTATAAAAGATTCATCAACATGGCGTAATTTTTTTTACATAGTGCCAATTGTATTTTCAGAAGTATTTAAACATACATACCATTCAATCTAGAAAATACATTGTGTGGGGTCTGGATGCTGAGCATCTTTCACTTTACCCCTACTCTACGACCGAAAAAATTCTTCCCATTACATTATTCGTCTAATCCATCCCGTGATAAAGCAATGCCAAGGTGTTACGCTAGACAAAAACTCACATTCAAAGATCATTGCAGAACACTGTAGTCAATTAGGTGTTATATGCAATGGCTCGCGCTTAGTTTCACTCACACGAGAGTACTAAAATGACACAAAGATGCAGAGAGCACCTAAAAAGTCGTTTTCCAATGACATAATGCGAGAGTAAGGCAGATCGGATCAATAAGTGACACTGTGCCACCGTGCTTAGCGCGCCACACACTGCATTCACTTTCAAACATACATCAGGCACATTGCAATCGATGGTGAACGTAAGGTCACTGATTCGCAATTTACACACGGTATTCTTGTGTGCTAGGCCGCTTTTAAATTGCTCGAGTTATGTCGTTATTGTTCTTTAATAGTGATTGTGCGTATGACCGTTCGCTTGTTTCGTAATTAATGACAATTTGTTTTTATGAACTGATTATTTGCGTAAATCTTGTGTTTCGTAAATAATTTAATTCTTGTAAACGACCATTACATAAAGTTTATGTAAAAACCGGCAAGCATCATGAAAAATACATTCGATAGCGAGGTAACAACGGCGGGTGATTGCCAACGCAACTCAACGTTGGTTGGTTGAAAGTGGAAATCCATAAACTTTTCCTCCACTATATCGCTTTTTGTGCAAATTGTTGGCCGATTATTATATTTCTTGTGAATAAGTCGTTACTTCTACTTCAAAACTTTTTCTGATTAGGTTCCACAATTATATCGCACTGCCTTAAGATCATGGTGAGCTTTTCCGTGTTATTCATCTTTCGTAAAAAAGGGTCGCGGAGATGCATTGAAGTGGATGGCTTCATCTTTTCGTCGTCGTCGTGCATCAGCTGATTCAAGTAATTCTACGATCACGCCTGGTTTCTGAAACACTGATCATCGTAGAAGTCAACTAAGCTGATTGTCAGTCAGTTGCAAAAAGGATTGTTAAACTCTTTGAATTGATCATTCTGTTTATTAATATGGGCATGAGTGTTCCAGAAATCCGGCCTCTAGTCTACGGATCATCTCACATCTCATTCTTATCTCATTATCTATTATCTGTCTGTCTGCGGACCTCTTCCAACGAAGATCAAAGCTCAGGTAGCTTTGATCTTCGTTGGTTCGTTTACATTAAACTACACCAATACAAACAATTTTTAATCTTTTTGAGAGATTGACGTCTCTTCTACGCCCCGAATTTTTAACTGATTGAATGCGAAATTCACCATAATTAAGATCGGTCACTGACTTTGGTGATAATGTGACAAACTGTCAGTGTCAGAGTGTCAACTGTCAACTGAATTTTCGATGATCTGAACTTGCAAATCATATGTCATATAAAACATATACTAAAAGACAATCTTTATTGATCTAATATTTACAAGATTAAATCTATCTAAAATTACATATCATCTAATAAACCTAATCCACGCGGCATGGTGCCAAGAACGCTAGCTGCATTTCCTCGCTGAATAGTTATGCTTAACCTTTGAGCGAGAAAAGAACCAGCTCTCTTGTCACCAGCCGCGGCGTTAAGCCTAGGACATAAACTTTAAAAAAAAAATGATGTGCGGGGACCCCACGGACCTAATGTTTCAACAGCAAATGGCACAAATACATAATCTGAACATAAAGACTCATATTTGCGCCATTTACTTACTTCAGCTGCCTCCGATGCCGCCCCGGCCCTGACCGAAGTACCCCTTAGATGAGAGGCAGCCAAAGTGTCTACACAAGTGGCGTCCCAAACAAGGGCTTTGCCTCTCTCCCAAGGGATCAATGTTAAACCGTCGGGTCTCTTACCATCGTCGCGTAAAATACCACAGGGCTCTAAAATAGATGGAACATTGATGGAAACAAGAGCCCTACGGATGATGTCGTTCAGGGAACCGTGGCGAGAAAAACGGCCAGCACTTTTTTGACAAGAAAGCCCGTGGAGACCAAATTTGTCTACACTGACACCACAAGGGCATTGGTGTGGTTGACAAATCGGTGCCCCCAGACCGTTTCCTACAGCAATGCGTAAGCTTTCATCGTCAAGTAATGTGCCCAAGTTACTTGATGGTAAAGCGTGAAGCCAATAACTCGATTCTTTAGATGATACTCCTAGGAAACGGGCACGCTCTAAATTACTTTCTAAAGATTGAAACGTATCTCTCTGTACTCTCCGCACCAAAGGAACATCCCACTGTTTTTGTAGGTTTACTTCCAGTGGGATATTTTCGTTGGGACAGATAGACAGCCAAGACATCCTTGCCTCCTCTGCATAGGAAAGTTCTGAATCGTGATTAAGGATGTTATTACATAAATTATTTACGCTATGCACGGAAGCAAGGAAGGCAGGTAGAGCGACACTAGAAATTTTCCTTACACCGATACCACCAAAACGAATTGGCAGCGTAGCTTGAGTCCAGCTTAATTCATTAAGAGATAAATTTAGAATTTTTTCTAGAGCTGATTTAAGATGGAAATCAATTTCGTTCAAAAAGTCACCGCATTTCCAAACTGGACTCGAGTGAAGGAGGTACGTAAATTTAGGTACAAGAATACAATGTCGCAAAATAGTAAGTGCGAATTTAGTTAAAACAATTTATTGACATGATCTAAAAATTGACTTAACTTTAATTTTAAATGAGGTTCCAAACTTGGTATCAACAAAGGAGCACCTAAGAGGTAAAGTGAATCTGAACGGACTACGTTAATTCCCGGTATGATAGAGCTAAAATTTTGGGTCAAAATGATTTTGTCGGAAAAAGAAATCTTTTCGGAAAAGAAAAGTTCGCATTTGGAATTATTTAAATCGAGACCGATATTTTTAAATTGTCTAATAATTTCAATAAGATCACTTTGTACATCGTCAACTTTACCTCCCAGAGTACCATCGTCTAGGTACCAGACATTAAGTTTAGATTTCAATTTTGAAATAATTGGATTAATTCCCAAACTAAATAATGCTGGTCCTAGCGGATCTCCCTGCTGAACGCCGACAGCAGAATCAATAATATGGTTTTCATAAAATAAATTACTCTTTTCACTGTAACATTGCCAAACATAGTGATATATTTCTGGTGTATGGTTAGCCACTTCATTCAGCAGAGTCGTTCTATCAATGGAGTTAAAAGCATTCCTTAGGTCAACCTTCAGAAGTACATCCAAATCACTAGTATTTAAAGAAGTTCGAACGGAATGTACAGCCGCTTCACAGCCGCCTTTGCTTCCAAAGCCTAGTTGAATAGGCTGGTATTTTCTTTTAAGGCCGGAGATTATGTGCCTACATGCTAATTTTGAAGTTAAGCGACGAAAGGTAGAACCAATAGCAATAGGACGGATACCATTATCTTTTTTTTTTAAAGGCATATAATCTTGCCCCGTATAAGAAAGGAACAAATTTAGGATTTACTTTTCCGGAAAGCATTAAGTTGCATAATTTGGTAATATCATTAAGAAGCGCTCTGCCAGCATCACCGGCGGAAACGCTTACAAGATCTTTCAGATGTTGTGGCGTTATACCGTCAATGCCGCCAGCAGAGCCACTTGAAAATGACATAATTGCCTCGAAAGTGTCTTTATCGGTAATTTGCAAAGTTCCTACCGCTGCCTCCCGATTCTTCATATCAGAATCGGGAGGCAGCGGTAGGAGCGGCGGAAGATTGATCGATGGATGCTTTTGTCGGAGGTTTTCTAGAGTCTCATCATTATACGGAGCAAGGATGTCGTCTGAAAATAAAATGCGCGATGCATTTTTTAAATCACCATCCATAACTTTAGTCTCTACAGTTCTCTTTAAATCAAATTTACGGGGGGGTTTAGTTATGGATGAGGCAGTCTTTAATTCAACATTTTTGAATGAATTGCTCTTTCACTGAGAAGTAATTGATTTTGATACCGATTTATCAAAGTGAAAATGGGAATACGCAAAGGTAAATAAATTATGCCAACTAGATTCAGTATTTGAGAAACAATTTTGAATACAGGTTAATAATGACTTGGCAAGCTGCATCCTTGCACCTCTTGGAATCCTTTTGAGTATTGGTACATTGCTATGGTAATAATAGATCTGTTCCGAAAACAACTTTAAATTTTTGTCATTATAATCGCTAATAGTCTTATTACAAAATGCGATAGGCTGTTAAGCTGCAACAGGGTGACTATGACAACGTTTGATGTGAATATTTAAGCCTCTTTTACCTTTAAAAAGCCTACCGTCGGAACAATTTTGACATGGTAGGAAATCCGTTTGAGAGCATGTACGTACATCGTTATTCATAATATTAAAAATCACCCTTGAAAAATTAAAATAAGGTCACTAAAATTTACTAAAAGGCACGACGAGGAAGCCTCGCGACGACCACCATTGGCTCTTAACACGGCAGCGAGGCGTGGACGTGTAAGCTGAAAACAAATACAAATACATATCTGGGGCGACAAATTAGGTTAAAATATACGAGTTATTACAGTACTCCCCAGGTTTTATTGCAAAATCCAAGACAACATATTTTCAAGCGTTTGACAGCTGACGTTCCTGACTTCGATCGCAGAGAATTTTATGTCATATTGTTATTTCACTCTTAAAATTAATCTTTTAGTGTCAGTACATAATTTCTAACGGTAAAATATAATGAATACAATGTTAAGAAGGAGTGTTTTTCCATTATTTAATAATAAAATTTTAACATCATGTCGTACATTTGCGGATTCAGTTATAAGCGAGAAAATTGATAAAATTGTAAAAAATAATAAAGTCGTAGTATTTATGAAGGGTGTCCCAGATGCTCCAAGATGTGGATTTAGTAATGCTGTCGTTCAAATTATGAGAATGCATGCCGTTCCATACGTCAGTCACGATGTTCTCTCAGATGAAAATCTTCGACAGGGTAATCTGTTTTCTGTTGTTGCTTACATAATCAATTCATTATAAAAATGGGGAGAAAACTCATTGGACTAAGACTTCATGTTATTTTTAAATATAAAAATATCTTCAACTTGTACTAATGATAGCCTAGCAGAGTGAAGATAACCTAGCAACATACAAATTTGCTGCTTCTTTAAAACTGTAGGCAAATTGCCCTATCTTCTCTTACTTTCTAGTGGATTTAATTTTTTTTTGTTTTTAGGTATAAAAGACTACTCAAATTGGCCAACTATACCTCAAGTTTTCATTAATGGAGAGTTTGTTGGTGGTTGTGATATCATGTTGCAAATGCATCAGTCTGGTGAATTAGTTGAAGAACTCAAGAAAGTTGGTATAAAAAGTGCTTTGTTGACAGCTGAAGAAGCTAAAAAAGAAGATAAAAAGTAATGACAATGAGTTTCCTTTTAAATAATTCTTTAGACATACTTTAATATTTATTGCGATGAATGAATTGTGATTCCTTGTTATATAGTTAATAAAATATTAAATTCTATACTTTCTGAAGCACAATAGAGAATTCTTGAATAGCTTGTTAAGTTTCCCTAAAATAGTATGGTAATAATTATCATAACAAAAATAGATATTAAATATAAATATTTGTGTATATATATTAAATATATTATGCATTGCTGCATAGGCAAACCACTTTAAATTAGTATCGGAGACTGGAACATGAACTCTAGCGCATATTGTATAGAATATTATTTTGTTGATTTATTAATAGTTAACATACAAATATGATATAAAAATTTGAGTCTTGTGTCAAAATACTTTAATGTACTGGAGTTTTTTAAACACTTCATTATTCTCTTCTCATAATTTACATAAGAGATTAGTATTTTATCAAATCTGTTTTGCATGATTCAATCTTTTATTTTGTTGAGAGATATTTTTTGTAGGTGTAATTATAACCTAAGACCTCTATTATCAGCCATCATAATTTGAACTGAAAACAATATTAGAAGTTAAAGCATATTTCATCAAGTGTTTCATTTCAGTGTTAATTTAAACATTCAAGGTTCATAAATGTAGAGCAGAGTGAAATAAAATAATTGTACTATTTAAGAGCTCTTTATTAAATTAGCTGTACATTCGAGTTAGTATACTTTTTGGGCACATTATTCATTCTTAATCTACATCCACTGTTTCCTCAATATAAATTATAGGTTGGATTAACAACACAGTCAATTATTAAAAGACAAAATATGGCAGATCATTTATTTTGAGTACTCATTCTAAAATACTCTCACAAACAATGTTTATAAAAAAATAAACTGAAGAGATAAATAAATAATTGCAGGCAAGGTATGGCTTTCTTTCTATGATATAAATAATTTGTGTGACACTTCCCTGCAACATTTATCAATTTAGGCAACTAAAAAAAGTTTTAATTTCCACCATGATAATTACTAATGGCAGTAATAAAAATGTGAACTTGTATAAATAATGCATGCTTAAAAATAAAAAATATATATTTATATAACAAAAACATCCTCACATTTTAAATGAGTCTTATTTTGGTGTCACACATTAGTGAAGCCTAACATTAGCACCATGTTTAACTTACAAATAAATGTTTTGTGACTTTCCAGATAATTTTTTTATAAAAGTTACAAATAGGACCCTAAATCTAACTACATAAATAGTGTGTTGTAGAAACATGATTTTTCAGATTTGAGCCAAACAGTTACGCAAGGAGAATTTTTCTTGATGACAATGGTAACATTTTTGGTTTTAAAATTGCACATATTCAATACAGGACTGATTTAAATAACTTATAGTATCACAAAAATTTTTTGCCTTGTGTTGGCAATAGATTAGGGCGATTTGTGAGATTTTTGCCAACATATGGGAAACAATTTTTGTGTGACGTTACGCCGCTACCACATTATCTTGGGCTGTGGTTGTTAGTAGTGGAGAGTGCGGCGCGTTGGCTAGGATTGAGTTCCTTAAAGGTGTTTCATAACCTCCCGGATAGTGATGACACCTGCTGGTGAAACCCGTATCTAAAAGAACACTTATAATTTATAACAGGGAAAACAAAAAGTAATGGCAAATTCTCTTGAATTGTAAATATGGCTATTGACCCCTGTAGAAATAAGTAGTATATGTATATCAAAGTAATATACAGCGTGTCTTTACATTACATTCTTTAAACATCAATATTTACTGAGTTATTAAATTTTCCAAAACAACGAATTTTAGAACACCCTTACGTATAAAACTGTAACGTAAAGTTCATTTGTAAAGGTCAAAAAGCATATGAATGGGTTGAATGAATTTGAAAGAGACAAAACATCTGTAATGTAATGTAAAACATACTGTAAAAAGCCTTGTAATGCTACGCAACGAATAAAAGTCTCTGAATGTATGAATCAGTCAGTTGTAGTTTATAGGTGTTACAAATTTTATTACTTTTTTATTTAATTAGTTTGAAAATTTTTTTTTAATTATGGATTTTTTTAATGTTAATATTTTTTTATGATTATTGGCAAGTAGCGCTAGACGTGTGTCGCGATTGTAAAGACACGCTTTATATCAAAGTTAGAACAAATTTGCCATATAAGTCACTTTTACTTTATATCAGCCGTTAATGCTGTGTATTATACCTTTTTTTTTGTTATCGGGGGGGACATCTTCAAAAGATACCCTATCACTTCTTACGTAACAGGGTTATATGGGGTTCGTATCTACTAAAACCCTCTCAGTGGTCACCTACGGGAACTCCAACAGAACACACCTGTGTCCCAGGTTGCAATAGCACGAGGGTAAGTTGCACGCCTGCTAGTCTGACTCTAATGTCCCCTTTAACGACAGGCAGGGGGTACCTTCGTCGCCTTTCACGACAGGCAGGGGGTACCTTAGTCCTATTCCACGAGCAGGTGACCACAGGGCTGGCATAGTATACCTTCTAGGTATTACCTAGAGGTCGGTTTCGCCGTAGAGCGCGGTGGAGAAGGCCATGTAGTCGAGGGCACCGGGCGGTGCGCCGGAGCCGCGGTATGGCGGCATGCGGGCCACGCAGTACTCTGCCTGGTCGGGTGGCAGCTCGCGGCGCAGCTCCTCCGCGGTTATGTACGGCTGCCGGGAGAACGAGTGCTCAATTTTGTTGCCTGTTGTACATCTACCGAACTTTGTACAGAGATAAAGTGAAGTAACAGCCTATAATACGTGCAAACCATGTTGCCAGGGAAATATATTATTTATGCAGTTTTGCGAACTTCAAACACTCAATTTTTTTTTCATGCAGAATGCTACTTATATTTTGTTTTAACCAAAACCACATTATATGTGAATGAACACTTAAAATTGCAATTAACAATTTCACTGGTGCATGGGAATAGAGTTGCTTGTGTATACAGAATTAAAAGGCAGATAGAAGACTGAGCTGGACTAAACATATAAATGAAATACGAGCGAAATCATGTAAATTTTTGTTTTTAAAAGTTAAATGTTTTTAAAGTACTTGCAGGGTCGAAATGGGGAATTCACCCCAAGCATCTTAGGCGACTATATATTGCTATTATCCGTAGTAGAGTAGATTATGGTAGCTTTTTATACGACGTTAGTTTAAACAGTCTTCTATACAAACTAGATAATGTACAAAATCAGGCGATGAGGATAAAGGTGCTTTCATAAAGAGCTCTCCTATCCACGTTATGGAAAGTGAAATGTGCCACACTTTGTAATAATAAAGATTAAAAAAAAAAGGCAAGCGCCAGAGATACCAATGATCAATAAACTGTAGAAATACTAATCAATCCTGAAATAAAATAGAAACAAAAATTCAATATAAGGACTTCAGAAATTTTTGTTTACCTTGTCGCCGGCTAAGATCCTGAAGCTGTCAATGACCTGTTCAGCAGTGTCAGTGTCGGTGGATTCCCGTGTCATAAAGTCCAAGAATGCGTCGAATGACACGTAACCTGTATCAAAGATTGATTTTAACTATTGTTGAGTTCACTTACAAATAAGATTTATATACATGATAGCTCACACGATACAATGATTTTGTACAGATTTAACTTATGGTGAAGAATTGTTTTTGATGGAATACGATAAATAAGATCGAATAAGAATCAGGATTTTATATTTTTTTGTTCATCAGGCCTACCCAAAAATATAGATATGTTAGATTTTGTCTATATTTTTAACCGACTTCAAAAAAGGAGGAGGTTTCTCAATTCGACCGTATATTTTGTTTTATGTGTGTTCGGGGATAACTTCGTCATTTATGAACCGATTTTGATGATTCTTTTTTTGTTGGAAATGAGATATCCCAATGGTGGTACCATGATAAGGAAACCCAGATCAGATGATGGCATCCCAAAGAAATCGAGGGCAATCCTCAAATGTTATAAGTGTTGACAATGCTTTTAGTTTCCTGTTTGAAGTCGGGTTTTTTTTGTTCAAAATTATTCCTACATCAATCTCTAAGCATTTCTCGATTTACTTTTACTTTTGTCAGTCTGTTTTCATGGTTTCACGACACAAAATACACATACCAGTGTTGTTCGGGTCTACCACGGCGAGGATGCGCTGGAAGTCGAGTTCTCCTTGCCTGTCCTTTCCGATGCTGTAGCCGAGAGACACAAGGCACGATTTCAGCTCTTCGGGAGCAAGGCGCCCTGTGTGTTAATAATTAATTTTCTATGTTAATTTCATTAAAGAAACGGTCGAAAACAACTAATTATTAACATTTTATTCATGTATGAATATTGTATTCTTTTCAAGTAAGAATATTTCAGTTCCAACATTTAAAAAGGTCCAAACTAAATTGTTCTGTCTTAAAAATGTAAAGATTCCACTACCAGTACTTTGGTAAAAATACAGTCTATATGTATTTTTCATACTACACTTTTATAACTGTAAATTAGAGTATCCAGGGCATTGGCTTACGTCACGACATTCTATAGAATTGCAATATAATTAAAATTAAATGGTGTTACTTGAGTGCCTGTTTCAATTATTTATACAGTGTTTAAATATCTATACAGTGTGTCGTTACCATCGCGACAATAAATGAACACACGTCTAACGCTACTTGCCAATAATCATAAAAAAATATTAACGTTAAACAAAATCGATAACTAAAAAAAATATTTTTCAAACAAACTAATTAAGTAAAAAAGAAACAAAATTTGTAACATCCTATACAACTCGCGCCACAGCGTCGTATTACAAGCCTCTCCTTCTAACAGTATGTTTTGTCTCTTAAATTCATTCAACCCATTCATGACCCTTACAAATGAACTTTACGTTACAGTTTTTTAGGTAAGGCTGTTCTAATATTCTTTGTTTTGGAAAATTTTATAACTCTGTAAATATTGATGGTTAAAGAATGTAAATGTTTAATACAATTTTAAAAAGTTATCCCCTATATGTGTGTTCATTTATTGTCGCGATTGTAAAGACACGCTGTATATAATATCTATGTGTGTAACACATAGCGAAAATAGCTGTTACAGATAGGTTGCTCCATGTTAACAGTTACATACACTGTTTGTCACAACATAGTATGAAATGACAGGCTGTTTATTTTGTAACTAATATTGTCGCTGCTATCAATGATGGATTTGATCCGTTGGTTGCCCTAGGCCACAGATGCAGACGCCCACCTATTCGCTGAAAATTAAATGCACGAAAAATTAAATGAAGTATAGGAATAAGACAGGGAAATGGTACATACTCATCATGGCCGCTTGATTTATTACAATTTTTACGGAATATCGTCTACGTGAAGGAGCGAGAGGCGAAAGGTACGACTACTAATAATAAATCCAACCAAGTTATGCTGCTCCTAAATTTTGCCGCACTAAGACCAGGTCTACTTGACCTATAAGGAAATCCGCTCCTGGCTGTTATTATCGACTAACATAATTACTCTATTACTTGATCCCAGTATTAATTAATATTTTAATAAAAATAATTAACATATAAATAAATAAGTCAATTAAAAATTAAACAAGTAAAAAGCGAAACCGGTATAATCCGCAAGATTTGGGTTGCTGTTATTTTTTTATTCGATTTTACCTAGTATAATTCATTCTTTCGCCCGGTTTCTGAAACACTGGTCATCATAGAAGTTAACTAATCAGCTATCAAATGGCTTTTCAAATATCATTTCGAGTAGCCAAAAGGACGGTTGAACTGTGTTCGTAATGACCGGAATTGATCATTCCGGTCATAACAAACATCATTTCTATAAATTCAGCCGATTAGTTAACTTCAACGATGACCAGTGTTTCAGAAACCGGGCGTTAGTGTGAGGGAATAGGGCGACGCACCGGTCCGGTTCTTGTCGAAGTGGTTGAAGGAGGCGCGGAACTCGTTGAGCTGCTCGTGGGTGATGCCCTTGGAGTCGCGCGTGAGGATCTGGTTCTCCACCTCGTTGATGGTGCGGTTGATGGAGGTCAGCAGCTGCTCCCAGCCGACGCGGAGGGTCTCCATCGTGTATTGCGAGTATCTATCCATATGCGAACTCCGGTTAGTTTAGTGCTTTCAGTGTATCGTTTTTCAGTATTGTATGCATGAGTGATTAGTGCACTAGACATTTTTGTTTTCTAAAGCAACAAATACACCGTCTAAAAATCTAGCAAAAAGTCGGTCAACTTTAGACAATGGTATTGCATTAATAATTATTTAATGAAATTATTTTGATGGATTTTATGGCGTTTATCTTCAGTTGGGATTCCCGACGTTTCGAATATCGCGCGGCACCCATAGTCACGGGCTCACGGAGCTACTGAGAAGATACGTATCTGTGCGTAATTGTACAATTTATTTTATGTAAGTGCTGTACGTTTTCCTAACGAATGAAATAAAATAAAAATATCATACATAGTTTTCCTATGCTACCATCAGCTTTAAAATAATTAATTTTGCCAAAAAAAATGTGGTATTAGCGTAAATGCATGAAAAAAATAATGATTATTGTTATGTATGTATAGATAGATATACCTGTTCTCGAAGATCATGCCCTCTTGCACAGCTTGGTGGATGCGTTCGAGCTCTTCGATGTGCGGCTTGTAAGCATATACGCCCGCCTCGTACTCCTTGAGACGGCGCAACTGATCTTCTAACGAGCCCTGTGTAATGTGTATGCAAATTTATGTAAATGTTCTATAACAGATTTTTTGTGCATTTTTCAAACGGATATTCTTTTAAGACGGGATAAATGTTATATTAATCTCTTTATTGACTCTGGCACAATTGTCAATTTATTGGCACACGTCCTACACCAGACAACTATTTGTGACCCACAGATAATTTTTACTGATCTGGGTCTTTATCTAAGAGAAATTTATGAAGTAAAAACTTGGTCCTTAAGAACCAGACTAATGTTATATATCCTACGCAAGGGGCAATGTTTTCGAAGAGAAGACTACAAGATCTTTCTAGATCACTGTGGTCGTTAGGACAATACCCAACCCCTTCCATACAAATATACATGATATGTATAACCTCTATTTTGCATAGCATTCGAAATAACCATTATGTTAGTATTGACTTCGGCTAAGTACCATCAATTCATAGTTCACACGACGTATTACAGTAAAGCAAGCTAAGATTATCATTACGAACTCTGCAATAATTCCGTGATCCGACCGGTGATTACACACCTTGTAAGGCGCACATGAAAAGCACCGCTACAAGGTGACCGAACTAATACAGCGAAGCAAGCGAAAATGACTTCTATTCTTATAGCAAAGAGATTCGAGATTGACTACACGGATATCTGAGCTTGACAAGTGCACAAACGAAAATGACCGCTACGGCCACAAGGAGACACGACCTAAAACAGCGAAGCAAGCGAAAATGACTTCTATCCTTATAGCAAATAGATTCGAGATTGACTACACGGAAATTTGTGCTTGACAAGTGCGCAAATGAAAATGACCGCTACGGCCGCAAGGTCACACGACCTAATACATCTAAGCAGGCGAAAATGACTTCTAACCCTATAGTAAATAGATTCGAGATTGGACTACACGGTCACCGCGCGCACGAAAATGACCGCTACGGCCACAAGGTCACAACACCTATTACAGCGAAGCATGCGAAAATGACCGTTATCGCGCCACGTAATAGATTCGAGATTTGAATACACGGGCATCCGCTCTAGGCACACGAAAACCATCTCTACAGCGCTGGCGATAGGGCTGAGAGTAATAGATTCGAGATTGGACTACACGGCTTTCCGCGCTTGCACACGAAAACGAGCTCTATAGCATTGGCGATAGGGCGGAGACTCGCCTGCAGGCCCATGCCGATGGCGGTGACCGCGTCCATCTGGCGCTCGATCCACGGGCCGACGGCGTTGGCCTTCTCGGCGAACTGGCGGCGGAGCGTCTCGTTGTTCTGCTGCTTGCGCAGTTCGGCGGCGAGCGTGGAGTCGCGCTGCGGCACCAGCTGCCGCACGTCCGACCACTTGCGGTTCAGCTCCTGTTGACATATTTAGACATTCGGTTTAATAATAAATAAATAATAGAAAAAAGTAGACTCAGCCTATAAATGTGCTGCGTGCGTAGTCACGCTTTAAGACAGTATGAAACATCTAATATGGTTTGGTGACGTGCGAAACAATATTTTGAATCTTATTTTTTTCTGAACATAAATATAAATCTTTTATAGTGCTAAGCTGTGCACTAGAAAAAGTATGAAAAGATTGTCGCCGCTGTGGGAATCGAACCCACATCTTCGGCATTCGTGGCCTGACGCTTTAACCACTAAGCTAAACGTCTGATTGCCACACCGACGAAAATCTTAACGTATTTTTTTCATCTTGTTTTTCGTTACACGTGGGTTCGATTCCCACAGCGGCGACAATCTTTTCGTACTTTTTCTACATATTTTAACATTAATATAATTAATAAATAATTGTTCTTTCATACATGTCATATTCATTTCCTTTCATAATCTATCCTTTTTGTATAAAATAATTTTGGTGCTTCGTATCTAACAGGCGTCTTGCGATGGCTTATTTAAAAAAATTATAACTGCATACAATTACCTTCAATGTTAATATAATGATTTTAAATAAAGTTGTATCAAATTTATGAATAGATATGTACATAGATTTAGATGTTGACAGTGAGTAACACTTGTTCATTTTAAAATACTAGCATTAAAAGTTATCCGTTCCATTTACCTATTATTATATACAATCCAGATTGATTAAACAAATTAACGGTGAGACTTACGTGAGCGGTGAGTGTAGTGTAGGGGTTCTCCAAGCCTCCAGGGATCTGGTGCTGCTTCACGATGGATTCAACTTGGTGCACAAGGTTGACTATCGCCTGAAAATTTAAAGGCACGGAAAGCTTTAAACACTACCTATCTAAAGCTTCTTAAACACAACCACTATAAAGTAGCTAACGAACATAAAGTTAGATGGCATTTAACTGTGGTAGGTCCGCGGCAACAGTCTCAGCTGTTACACGAATTGTTAGGTCCGTCCGGGTAGGTAACACGACCTCACAGAAGACCGGCGTGAAGGGGAAGTGTAAACTTTCGCGTTTCGTCTGGTGAGTGAGGTAGTCGGGGCCCACTTTATTACGGGTGTCACAAATGTCAACGGGCGGCGTTTACCACTTAAAATCAGGTGAATCACCAGCTCATTTGCCACCTTCTCACAAAAATGGCGGTGTACACCAAGGAGTAAGATATAATCGCTTATAATCTCTGGTAATCAGAAAGTTGCTCTGACATCCAGTTCCTGGGTAATACTTTCTGGCCCTCAAAAGCCTTAAGCGGCAGCGCACCTGGTACTCCTTGTCGGCTTCACCGAGCGTGGCCTTGAAGCGGGCGTGGGCGTCCATCAGCCCCGAGATCTCCTCAATCGTATGCACGATGAACATATCCACCAAATCCTCGCGGGTGCCGTCCAACCTGAAGATAGCAACAGGTATAAAGACCTATAAACTGACCAGTAGGCTATTCTACGCATGCCTGACATTCGGTGGGAGTATATTTTAATCTGATTTAATTTGAAATGTTTTGTATTAGAAGTTGAATTATAGATAAACCGCAGCTTTGTTTTCAGGCCCTTGCTGGAGCGGTTGTAATTTGCGAAAGGGTCCATAAATCGAGCGGTTGTACCAAGGCAAAAAAAAATTGAATATTAATGTCAAGCTCTTACTTCATAATTGAACGATAGAAATAACGTTAAAATTTCTAGTTATTGGCAAAAAACTAGAGGCACTGTAATGAATCGTATCAGAACAGCAAGGAGAACCAACGTTCTGTTTATTTGTACTGGGAATCCTTAGCACTCGCTGTGTGTGCGAGAGAGAAAGAGACAGATAATGGAAATCTACGAAAGAACTCAGGGGAGAAGGGGAGCTACGTGGACTTTGTGATTAATCGTATTGCTGGGACTGTGAAGGGACGCGACTGGGAAAGCTTAGTACAAACTGAGAGAGAGAGAAAATGGATATCTACGGCAGAACTCTGGTAAGAGGGTTAGTTGTGCGGACTTTGTGATAAATCGTATTGCTAGGACTGTGAAGGGACGCTACAGGGAAACCTTCGCACAGGCTGACAGAGGACAGTGTAGTTATGCGCGCGCGCGTGTGTGTGCGTGTGCGCGCGCGCGCGCGCGCGTGTGTGTGTGTGTGTGTGTGTGCGTGTCGCCCCTACCAGTTGTTGAAGGGCGCGGCGCGCTTGGCGAACTCGAGGTGCAGCAGGTCGATCTGCTCGAGCACCCGCTCGGCGTCGTCGAGCGCGAGGCGGCGCCGCTGTGTGAGCGCGCCCAGCCGGTCCCACTGCGAGCAGATGCGCTGGCAGCGGGCGTTCACCGCGCCCACCTCGTGGTACTCCAGCGTGCTGCAACGTGCACGCTATATGTGTACATGTATTTCTAAACGTTAGAAGGCGGCAAGCGATATGACGCATGCAAAGTGTTTTGCTTTAAAATCTGATAGGTATAAACATGTTTACGATTCCCGATATGTGTGTCAATGTATTTAGATATAAATATATCACACTTGTATGTGATATATTGTAATTGGACACATGTCCTTGTGCCCATGTTATCCATAACGAGGTACACAATGGCTTAGTGCGACCATTACGCGACGTGCTACAGATGTCGCGCAATAGAGGTGAATAAATTACGATTCGTCGTGGAAAGGCTATCCATAAGGTCGTTCATCACGCGAATGAGTGGAAGAGCTATCTGTAATTTCATTCATCGATCCGAGATATGGAACGGCGTTCCGTAAGTTCGTTCAACGAACGGAGGAATAGAACGGTGTTCCGTAAGTTCATTCGTCAAGCGACCGAATGGAAACGCGTTCCGTTCATTCGCTCGCGCCGCTCGGCTTACTTGAGCTCCTGCGCGATGGCGGCGATCTGCTCGACGCGGTCCTGGTGCGCGGCGAGGTCGGACTCGAACGCCTCGTGCTTCTTCTTCAGCGCCTTGATATCGTATAGCTTGCACTGGCGGAAGTCCTGCGACTGCAGCATCTCCTCCTTGCCTGAGATCAAAGTTCAATTCGGTTCTATTGACGCACAGGGTCGGACTGAATACGAATCTCTTATAACACGATTGGAAATAGTCGGAATATCCCGCTGAATGCGGAATTGTTTGTGTGCGAAACTTCCTTTTTTATTTTTTACTCGACTGCCCCAGAAGGAGGATTATGTTTTTCGAGTGTATGTATGTATGTATAATTGTTTGGCTCTGCAGCCTGAACGGCTTGACGGATTTTAGCTTGAGAGATTCGTATTTACTTTGAGAGTGACACTGGGTATATCAAAATAAAAAATTACACAGAAACGCAATATGGTTTTTTAGTTTTATAAATTATATTCTACTTATTAGTGATAATTTTTTAATCAATATATTATTTACTTTTTTAAACTGTGATTTATTTTTCACTTTTTAGTTCTGTTTCAAAGCCCTTAATCTCCGAAAAGAAATTTTATTTTTTTCGTTTAAATTGATGATTCGGGATAATTGGGCACACTTATTAAACTATTGTTTTGCCTGATAAGTGTGCAAAATTTCAAACTAATTTGACATTTTAAATTGGATAAAAATAGAGTTCGAAGATTCCGTCACAAACTTGCATACAATTGAAGCTAATAGAGGCGTGTTTAAAAGAGATTGTCCTCCTAGTTTAATTTGAGTCAACTTGGATACAACGTTCGACTCTAGATATAGAGTTATGATGAGCTTTACCCCTGGTCCAGTCCTCGTGGATGTCGGCCTTGTGCTTGAACTTCTGCGCGAGGTACTCGAGACGCTCGAGGCGCATCATCTCGCTGAGCAGCCACTCCTCGAACGCCTTCTCGGCGATCTCCAGACCCTTCCACGCTTGCGCGATGTCCTGCAAGCCAACGTTTGCGTGAATCGCCGGTTCGAATCCCGCGCCGCGCCAAAAATAAAGATCATAGCATATATAAATAATAAATACATAGAAATAGTTGAATATCGAAGAATGAACTATAACAAAATGCATTCAATTTCATACTAAGTTTTATAGTGCATACACTAACATTACAAATTGCAAAATGCATTCAATCTCAATATTAATAGTTCTCAATAGTCGCGTTCATCGTTATACAAATATCGTTTCGATCAGATTCATGAGAACATCTATGATGCGTTCAATACTATACAGTAAAGATGTCAGAAATTATATTATATACCATTATTATTATATTATTAATCCGTGGAGTATGAGTATTTTGCGATACTAAATTATTTATTTAAAAACTTCTTGTACAATAGCTTACAATGGCGGACTTAACAGCATTAGGTGTGTGTTAAGTCCGCCACCTCTACCCGCCTCTCTCTCTCTCTCTATTTATTACTCAACCAACAAATAAATAGAGAAAATGGTATAGACCTAACGGAATACTTACAGAGACCATCTTGCCCTCAGTGGGCATATAGGCGGGTCGGTTGCTGAGACGCAGCTTGGTCTGGAGTGTGTTGAAATTGGTCTCCAGCTTGGCTTTCTGCTCGACACGTGGCGGTTTGTGCTTACGCCTGAATTGAAATCATGTAACAATTTATAGGGCTCATCTATATATGTTCTGTAAAGGACGTTAAATACGCCAAGCATTGCTTAAAATGCATGCGAAACATTGAATACATTGAGATTTTTTTTTAGCAACGTTCTTTTTATACTGCTTTTTTTCTGTTTTAACCATATTTTAGTTAATGTTTGTATTATTATAATGCTCGTATTTCACATTTAGTTTTGTAAAAGTTTTTTGGTTTTTGTCTCTACTGCCTGTTGTAATGTAGTTTTTACCTATAATTAAGGTGCCACTCATCACATTTTTGTAAAACTTGTATAATTATTGTCACAGTGTGTACTTTGTTGGTGATAAATAAATAAATAAATAAATAAACATAAATAAATAAGAAATACATTTATCGACGTTGTGATACGACCAAAAGTATGCGTTGGTGTTTTGAGTTGTGTTCAAAATCTGACTACAGACCTGTAAGTACGGTAGTCTTCCAGCTTCTTCTGGCAACCGGCAAGCGAGTTGTCAGTCTGGCGGCTGTTCAGCCAGGGCATGGTTCGACGGATCCACTCCAGCAGCTGTAAAGTGAGGTTAGCTTTTTTAATATAGCTTGGTACCCCAAATTTTTGGACCGAGCGTAATAGCACAATACCGAACGGCTTAGTCGAAAGATAGATGGAAACAATTAAATTTCACAAGTGAATCGAAATAGTTTCCTTTCATAATTTTAATCAATGATCACACTACGATAAAGTTATACATTTTATAATATAACTCTTTTATTTTGTAGTTATTACATTCACATGGGAGAAGGTTAAAAAACGTAAAAAGATAAAGAAATAAAAAAAGTATGCGTACTTTGTAGACACGTTAGAAGTTATACTTCTTTAGGGTAACAAAAGAAAAATAACTAAAAATGTTATCGCCTGTGCCGGTACTTTTTGTTTTTAAAAAAGACGATTAAATGCTATTGTTTACTTACTTACTTAACCGTTATTGTTTAATTAAATAACTTGGAAATATAGGTCAAAGTCAAAAAGTTTTTATTTGTTGCAATGGTATTACCATGAATGGTAATACCGTGAAGTTGGTCGAAACTGGTCGCTTTGCAACTAACTTCGTCATGTCGCTTTTTGGCTGTCGGTGTACGCGCGCATTGTAAAAATTTAACTCCCATTTCCAAACACGCCAGATGATTACTGAGACAAATTATGTTTTTTACACTTAATTGCAGACGAATTCCAAAATTGGACAGGTATACTCACATCGCTGGCGAGACGTTCGTACTCTTCCATGAGGCGTTCGTTCTCCTGGTTGACTTTGAGGACCTTGCAGATGCGGTTCGCGGCCGTTTCAGCCTTTTTTGGGAAGGAGATGCAAAATAGCAATATTAGTCGGTGTAATAGAGATAAGTATATACCTCACAGAGAATAAAAATAATTGAGGCTATTTAAACGATAATAATTTAAACGATACACAAAACTGATAGGTTCTGATTTATTTGCCTAGAAACTTCGTATATTATAAGAATGTATAGGGGTACTTGGATAATATTTATCCTCGATTGTAATTTAACATAAAAATTTGTAGCCTTTTGAAACATGTAATATTTGTCAAATATTTCAATTTTCTAAAGCTGACATTAATGTTACTTATATAAGTAAAATAAATATAATGACTGATAAAATAAACTAACTTAAAAAAGCAACATGAGCTAAACACTAGGCGTTAATTCGAGCACATTCAAGTTGCTTATGGTTTTATTTTTTTAAGGTTATTGGAATGACTTGTAATCCGTATTAGTTCTCGCAAGCATTGATGAACTTCGTATAAAAATTGAAGAGTATAATGAGATTAATATTTAGTCAAATTGTAATTGTCTGACTGGTGTTTTTCGTAGTATAAATATTATATCTGATCCGAAATTTTCCTTTGACGAAATATTGACGCTATTTCGATATTAGGAAGGCGGCCTCTAATGAAAATAGACTCGTACTACCTTCTAATATTTAAAGCTAACTTGAATAGCAGCTGGCTATAATTTTACTTGCCTCACTATTTGACTCATCGGACACCGATAGACGTAAGATCTGTCTGAATTACTAGTATAGAAGTTTCAATTCTATCATTTTCTTTCCTACCACAATCACCGTGGGAAGTAGCAACTGGTATAAATGTGAAATTTTTACAATTTTTTTCGAAAATATTCAGTCAAAGAAAATTTCGCTTGCGCTAACGTCGATTTCGTCCTGTAATCGGATATATAATATTTTATGTACAAAGTTCATTTTTTATTGTTTTTTTTGACCATACAGCAAATTTCTGAACACGCAACGGATTACATCCAATCGAATAAACCTTCGCTCCGTTCGTATACAAACCTTCTGCGCACCCGAGAAGCAATGGTAGTACGAGGAGACGTACGTCATGACGGCGCGCTCGTCCGGCATCGCCGTGTTCTGCAGATCTAGCGAGCGGCACGCGGGCGACAACGGGTTAGTTCACATGCGGACTTCTTTTTAATGTTTTCTTTTTTTTTTATTTGATATATTAACGAACAGAATGCTTGCGTTCGAAATTTGAAATAATGCATATTTATTTTTAATAATAAATTCGCCGAGCGCTGACCTATTACGGTGCTATTGCTTTTTTTTAATTGTGTGTTTTTAAATGTGGTCCATTATTCATTTTTTGGGTAAAAGTGTTTATAGAATTGAGTAAACGTATTGATTTTTTTTGTAATAAATGACATCCGTCGATATAGATAATAAATATTAATTCATAGTTTACTCTGAGTTTATAAAAGTTTGATAATCAAATGTTAAAATAAATTAGTTTAGGCCAAAAATCTGTGGTGGTGGCACCATCATTTTTTTTGCGGGCTAATCTTGCAAAAATAAAGTGTTAATCTTTGCGGTTAACTTTTACATTTTACTGATGGAGTAGCCTTGTCTCTTGTGGTATAGTATACCTGCTCACCGATTCTCTTATAGTTCATAGTGCGCAGGTTTGAATTGATATACCTATACTTACTTAGGAACGTAAGATAACACGTTCGAGTGTTTTTTTATAAACATACTTATTTACTACAATCATTTAATGTTAATTGTTCGCTAACATAAAGTCCCCAATGCATAGTACAATTTATTTATTTGACAGCACCTTTCGAAATGTAAAAACTATGAATTTTGATGGTATTTGAAATATAGTTGCAAGCATTCTATTCGTGAGCTAAATTAAAACACAAAGTTATTAACGAAAAGCTAAAACATTGAAGTAGATTAGCGTTACGATTGAAACAAACTGTTTATGGGATGTAGCTTGAGAAATGAAAGATTTTGTAGCGGGAACAATTTTGGGTTTTAAAATGACACGATGACAAATTATTTATATTCTAAAATTGAAAATAGGTTTTATATGCTAAAATTGCACTCGGTTCATGCTATAAGTGACACACATAGGCCGGGCGTTAAGGGCTGGATTTTTGGGAGTTGGCGGTAGCGGCAGCCATTTTTTTAGTCTCTATACCTGTTGTGCGCCTTGGAACGCGTGGTAGTAACATGACACATAGGTCATAATGGCGCGTTCGTCCGGCTTTGGCGTGTTTATGAGGTCTGTAATATTCAGTTATGCCCAATTTAAATATCCTGATTGAAATCATGATGTCTTATTGGAATTCTATATGCCATTTTATCTATGAGTATAACATTAATTATTACATAAAAATATATATATCTATATTTAAATAACATCAGATGTAATTTTATCTGAATTTGGAACTTCCAGATATGGGAATTAAAATTGCAATGAAGTTACTTAGTTGTTATAACACAATGAGCTCTCGTTTAATATAGAGCAATACTATGAAAATAACTTCTATCTACGAGGTCTAGTACTATTACCAAGATATAAATTATTTATAATTGGTCTCATAACATTTCGTATACTTCATTCTAATCCGACGCACTCTCGTTGCAATAACAACTCTCTGAGCCGTTTGCAGCTATTCAGTTTCGTACGACCTTGTTTAAAAATAATAAGATATTTTCAGTTAAGAAACGAACTATTTCTTACGTCACGCTCACATTTCTATCTGGCAGTTTAATAGTTTACTTTTTTATTCGATGACGATAATGTTCGCCACCCATTCAAAATTATCAGCACCATCGGTCAAAAAAAAAGTTTGAACTAATAATAAATACAAATTTTGAAAAAGATGCCGATATAACTAATAATGAATTATCTGTATGGAGAAGACGTTAAACTATAAAAATAAGAACAAATTTCCCGCCATTTCTTGCGCGCTTCGATGTGTTTTTTCTTTATTGCTTTTAGATTTAGATAACATTTCGTGGCCTCACCGTCGGGGTCCAACATGCGCGGGATGTCGAGGTACTTTTCGGCGACGTCGAAAGCCGTGTTCAGGTTCTCCATGGGGTTGTCTTTGGACAGTTTGCTGTAGTCGATGAGGTCGGGCCTGTGCCTGTGGATGAGGGCGCAGAAGGCCAGGCCGTCCTTGAAGGACAAGTGGAAGTTCTGCACGTTGACGTTCTTGTAGGGCGCCGTCTTGCGCTGGCACCAGAGGAGTAGACCTTCCTGCAATGCGATAGAATAAGATTCAGATGGTTCGCCAGCAATTTTCTAATCCTGATAATTTAATCTGTCTGTCTGTCTTTACGTATGCTTAGGTCTTGAAAACTACGCAACGGATCTTGATGTGGTTTTTATTGCTAGATAGAGTGATTCAAGAGGAAGGTATATATGTATAATATATTGCATCCGTGCGAAGCCGGGGCGGGTCGCTAGTTATATATACCTCACCTTTCTTACTTAGAGATTTAGGCAGAGGCGAAACTATATAGTACAATTTACACGATATTTAATACGTTATGCTAATATATGAGAAAGTTTTATGCTATGTTAATAAATCTTACCTTCCAAAGTAATTGACAATATAACATAAATTTTACGAGACAATTTTGAAGCGTATAATGATAAGGTTTTTCCAATTCTGTTTTTGCCATTATCGATGAAGCAAAAGTATAACTATTATAACATAAAGTGTTAACTGTATTTAATCAAATGGACGCCTGTCATTGACATTTGATTGCAACAGATGCAGTCGAATACCGTACCGCATTAAAATAAGGACCACACATATAATTTTATGGACGGACAAATTTATTCGTACGTACGACGTGCAACAAGGGCCATCAATTATTTAAACTGTGGATATATGACCCCTGCAGAGTTACTACGGTTGTTAAAATATTTACGGAGAAAGTTCAAGGACCTCTAATAATCCTGATGCCAAAATGTAATATGAGAATTTTTAAACGTTTGTTGTATAGGGCGCGCAAAACTTAAGTGAACGTTCCAAGTTCATCTAAACTATTGCGCGTAATATTTATGAAAAAATTTCATCAAAATCGGTCCAGCTGTTTTGAAGTTCATAGGAAACATATATACCTTCATGTATGCAGTTTATGCATAACATCAAACGCAGTGCGGTATTTACCGACAAACTGATAACATCAGTTGTTTATAGGTGTTTTAAAGATACCCTTTTAGGTTTCTTATAAACTTATACAAAATTTGGCGGTCCTTTAAGAAGACAATACAATTTCGACCCCAACGATGCATGTGCAGAGCTCGTGGAGCCTACTTCATTCAGACGTCTAAGTTTTGGCACGGGCAACGAATACTTTTTGCTTCCATACCTTTGCGGTCATTTCTTCAACGGAGATGTCCTGGATCGCGAACCTGAGGATGATTGTCCAGATCATACCCAGCGTCATCTTAAGGTTGCCGTCAACTATTTCCTCGGCACCAATCGACACCAGTTTTACGCCTGCAAAATGGAAATGATGGTTTTTGGATATGGGCTAAAACTATTTCCGGGAATAGTCATTAGGAGCGTAATTATAAGTACCTAGTTAATATGTAATACAGAAGACAGATTTGTAAATATTAATTTTCATCTACAAATTATTTCATCGACAGTAATTAGCTTTTTAATTCTTCTGAAGAAGAAGAAGAATAAAAAAGAAGAAGAAGAAGAAGCTTTTTTATAGTAAAAGTAACAGCCTATACATGTCCCACTGCTGGACAAAGGCCTCTGTATAGAACAGAGGGTATCAGAGCATAGTCCACCACGCGGCCCTACTGCGGATTGGCGGACTTCACATATGTTCGAAACATATTTTTTTTGTTATTATTTCGAAAATATGCAGGTTTCCTCACGATGTTTTCCTTCACCGAGGAGCACGTGATAAGTCAGCACTTAAAGTTAAAAACTTCATTGGTGCCGGCACCGGGGATCGAACTCAGGTTGCTCGAGTATATTGAATGAAAGGCGAGCGCCCGGACACTGCTATCACGGCTCAAGCTTTTTTTATATTTATATATTATATATAGATGGTCTCTGGATTACTAAGAGCAATTATTGTTAAACTGTCACAAACGACAATTTGTACGCGGTATGTGGTATATAGTCTTTTTCGCAACTGATAGTGACACTGTAAAGTAGCTCAGTAGCTTATAGGATTTTATATATATACCGGTTTGAAGTGGAAGTGTTATACTTTTGCGTTTCGTCTGGTGAGTGAGGTAACCGGGGCCCACTTTACTAAAAGCTTGTATCGCATCTGCAACCCTGCGGGTTTGTAAATACACTACACGAATTTACATGAGGTGAGCTTGGAAATTTCAATTAGGATATCTCACCTTTAGACGCGATGAAGTCTAAGGCTTTGTTGACGTTGGCGATCTTGTGGAAGCGCATCTTGCCGCGATCTGGCTTGGGCAGGGTTTCCCCTGAGATCACCTCCAAGAGCAACATGAGCTTGAGCCCATTCCTGAAGTCCTCGTCGATATTTTCGATGCCCGTGCCGGCTTTCCTTAAGTGACTGTTGCACCATGCTGTGAACGTCTGTGAACATATTGTGACCATTAGTAAGGAACCGCACCAGTGAAGATTTCGAAGAAGTATAGTGAAATGTGGATAAAACATCCATAGTTCTTATCCCAGCAATGTGGGGTTTGTGATTTTAAGTATTGCGGGGATTGGGTAGTATGTCCCAGCGACCACTGCGACCTTGAAAGATATATCGTAGTCTCTTCGAAAGCGTTTCCCCCCTTACTTTGGGACAATATTATTCTGTGTTTTAGGACGTTTTACATACAAATTTTCAAGTGAACAAACAACCAGATCCGATACAACTGTCTGTGGGTCACACAAACAGTGTCTCGTGTGGGAACCGATCTCACGACCCCCGGCGCCGCAATTAAAGGAAAGAAAACCCTTGGCACTGCGGCACCAAGTGGGAAAAGCAATATTTTCAATTTTCTGCTTTGTAGAAATAAAATTAAGGACGAGATCCTACTGTGTTGACGAGCGAATGAAAAGTTTTAAAAAATAATTTATTAATCGATAAATACTAGGTATCTAAAGTAAACATTACATAAAATTGAAGTTTTTTATTTTATTTATTATTTCAGCCGTTTTAAAACTGAAAAAAGTTAGTAGAGGTTAAACTTAATATAGACATATGAATATGGATTTCTTGCGTTCATTTTTAGTTTTTATACCGAAAAAAAAAAACTAAACAGTTTTGAATGTGATTACAGCAATAAGGCCAGATAAAACTTGCCGGTTGAAGAAAGCTGTAAATATATAATAATAAACTAACTTTATTGAGCTTAATGATATACGTAAAATATGGATACAATAACTAGCAATCGTAAATTATCTTGCCACGTTCAGGTGACATTTTTATTAGTCTCTGATTTGAGTTTTGAGTCATTCTCTCGTACATTAATGCATACCTTTTTAAATGTTACACTGATAAAAACTTGTAACGTTTTATACAAGTAAAAGGCAATAATATAGTAAGCGCAGTAGAATAAAAATGTAAGATTATTTTATAATACACATTGTTTATTATTAACGAGTACAAAAATGCAAAAACTCGTGTATTAAACATTAATTAGAACGCGAATTGAACAATTACATAGAAGGATAATGAATATGATACATGAATATGACAAAGGTGTTTTGTCAGGAGTATAATTTTGAAGTAATTTATGAAAGATAGAAAAAGCGAGCATAAGAACGCAATATGGAGCGATATCTCCTTCAAGGAATCTCCGCATATTGAAATAAGGAATGTTATATAATATTCATCAATCAAGCAATTGTCTTGAAAATTAGCCACTAATATCTACGTTAGGTTTGTAAGGTGGGCGTTTAATAATTTTTACTTTACAAATACGAGATGTCCTTATTTGAGTCAGTTGTACATGGCCTCTGCTTGGGGAGCCCGATGGCACTTACTGATCAATACTGCAGCGTGCATTGGGCAGGGGCGCGACAGTGGGGTCGGACCCTCTACCGAATTTGCGAGGGGCTATTAGCACTCGACACGAATATATGTAGGTACATATATGCATATGCGAACTCGCTTCGGATAACTGCGTCAATATTGAATATTTAGCTAGCTACGATATTTATTTCTTTTGCGTACTCAGCAATGGAGCCAAACATTTTGGAAAAACCTGTATATTTAAAAAAATAATAATTAAAAAAAGTTCGAAGATATGGGTGTCTGCCAATCTGCAGTGGGGTCGGCGTTTGCTCAGCAGTGCGACATATAGGCTGTTGTTTGGTTACTTCTCCTTTACTCTATTATTTAATAGTTTCGACTGCGTATTATTAATCCAAGGAAATGGTATCGATGAAGAATTAAACGGGTAAAATCTATGGTTTTAAAAACGACTTGAATAATAATAAAAATACTGGCTGGCACTCGGTGTGTTGCTGCCGCCGAAATATCGTTTGAAATTTTAATGAGTTTCTCATATTCATAATCTTGCCGGTAATACACGCCACCTACTATAAGTTAACTGTACTATAATTATATTATAACCTTCGCATAGGTGCAAGGAACAAGATAAAAGTTTTTTCGACAATCGGGTGATAAAATAAGAAGAGATAAACAAACATTTATTTCTATATACATATTTGATAATACTAGAGCATAGAAGAATGAAATTAAAAAAAATACTCAATCGTCTTTGCTTACTTATGTAGAGCAGTGTCCTTCCAATGTAACGTATGATTATTATTGTAATTAAACACATTTTTATTCAAATATCACTATTAGTCTTGAAGTCTGGTCGGTGTTGTTTTCATTTAGCTGATCTCTCATCTTTCTCGGCGTGAGTCAGTTAACGAGTTTCGAAGGTAGTCTGAGATATTTTCGGTATCATACTCTGAATGTTTTACGTCACTTGTATAGTTTAACTCAACTGCTAAGCCGACAGTATGTGCCTGAGATCACCGTAATGGCGGCATTCATCTTGCAACACTTTCCATATAAGTCTCGTGGAAATGCAAACAGTTTCAAGGTCACATAGAGTCGAGCTTATTTACTTTAGATCGAACATAGTACTGGATAATGTCCAGTAATGACATCGGAATTGGATAAAGCGTCAAAGAAGCTATTTTCCGTAAAGTTTGTAAGCAGATTAACACATTTATTATGAAAAACGGAGTTCGATCCCCTTAATAATACTACGGTGTAATATAAAAAATTATATATATTAGCCGTGATAGCTTAGTCCGGGCGCTCGCCTTTAATTCAATATACTCGAGCAACCTAAGTTCAATCCACGGTGCAGGCACCAATGAAATTGTTAATTTTAAGTGCTGCCTTATACTGTGCTTCGCGGTGAAGGAAAGCATCACGAAGAAATCGCATACTTTCGAAATAATGACAGAAAAAAAAATTTCATAGATATGTGAAGTCCGCCAATCCGCAGTGGGGCCGCGTGGTGGACTATGTCCTAATACCCTCTGTATAGAGGACGACTTTGCCTAGCAGTGGGACATGTATGTACATGTTTCTTTTATTTTTTGTACAGGTATATATTTTGGGTTTGACTATTCAAACGACGACGATATTTTTGTGGTATAGATAGAAATTTTATTTCGTTGCTGTTTTAAGTTTGGAAGCTTCGAGTACTTACTTCAATGCATCGTAAAAGTCTATTATGACGATGAGGGCTCCCGTCGAAAGCGATATATTCTCTTTACCGAACACTGCCAGGTGCACCGGATACCTTTAGACATAATTGCACCTGTACTAAGCGTCCCCTCGTCAGTAATGATTATGGGTAATAGTAGTACGAATATGTAAAATATTAATACAAGCGCCTAACCTACAAGTAGGCAGGTCTCCTCAGTACTCGATTTATTGAGAGATTATTATTACGTATTGGCGGACACAACCATGAAATATTCTTTTAATTATGTTTTTGATGATAGTAATATAAAATTATCTGTTACTAATAGAATCTACATAATCGTAGGTTGAGGTAGATCTATTTTCACGGCACCGACCCACCCCTTTACATTGATTGTTCTGTTAAAATAAATTTATACACGAGCGCCTAGATTATATTTCAGCGCCGTAATTAATAATGTAAGAAATATATTTTTGAACATACGCTGTAACTTGTCAGATAATGATTATGTGTATGTAACTCATGAAAATCACAAAATCGCGCTAAATGCATAATTTTATGGTTGAGAAACAATGGAGGATTAATTCACTACGGCTCTTATAATGAGTAAATGTTTAAAACATACATACATAATATATATACTAGTTATATGACAAAGTTGACTACCAAAAAGAATCTCATAATCTAAGCAATTTTTCTTATTACCAAAGCTGTGGTGAAAATTTTAACAGTGAATTATCCAAGAACTTGTTTCACTTTATTACTGTTCTATTGTTAAATATGTTTTCACGTTAATGTTGAAACGATATTATTTATTAAACTTGAATATAATCCAGTCTAATTAAGTCCTATCTTGGCAATGATATTTCAAAGCCGTTTTAGAAAAATTACTTTAATTCAAAGAATAAGTTGAATACACTTTTATTTCCGTTTGGATTTTTATTTTTTAACAAAGTATAAAGTAACCCTTTCACCAGTAGGTATTTCCGTTCGATGCACTATTCCGGTCTGAGCAATACGTGATACTCTTCTAACCGAGTTTCCTGGAAGTGATACGCTACGTCGTGTGACGTGACAGTCACTATACTCCCTACAAATGCGATGTGTCGTACTGTCCTTACATCTATTAGAGTTGTTGTTTTACAATAATAAACAAGACTTAAACTTAAGGTATACGAGGGGAAAGACTATTGACATCTTCGACCTTTTTAGTCTCGGGAATGTGGCTTTTATTATGTTTGTCAGTGTTACTGGTGCAAATTTGTAAATATTAATAAGAAACGTGACCAAATACATGTCGAGATTATATCAACGTTGACTTAATTTATATGAACAGAGTCGAATGTTACTTAGACACTTACTGTTAACCCCCAAACATCTGCTTACGTAAGCTCCATAAACATTGCATTAAAAATATTAAGAACTCCATATTGACTACCATATTGAAATACTGCGAGGCATCTGATGATTCTAGAGCTCGCGAAAGAATTAGACAAACATACTTTCGCTCTAAAAACAATACCGTCCTTCGGCAGTCGGTTAAATATACTAACTGGCCTTGTTAGTCTGCGTACTAAACAATAGTTTGAACGGATTGCCGTGGTTTAGTGACCGCACAAGAGTTGATCATGCGTGCATTTCCTTTGTATTGTTATATCTATTATTTATTTATCATAGTACATATTCCATTAGCCTTTATTTATAACTTCACGGCTTATGAACTAATTTGGAGAGCACGAAGTCGTGACTTCAGTTTACATTACTTAAAAGGCAAACTTCCATTGTCTGTTAGCTCTTAGCTCTCGTAGGCTAATGTTAATTTTGGTCAATACCTTAAAGCTTGTAGTTTATTACGGCGATGGAGACAACCCAACTTAGGCTGAAATGGAGCTCAGACTTCTTTTA